TGTTGCTTTGATAAAGCTGGATTACGTGCGAGAAGGCAGCGCCCGTGTGGTCTAGAACTTCCGACAAGGCACAGAACATCTAGGTTAAGTTTCGCAAGAAATCACATCAATTGGTCTGAACGAGATTGGACTAAAATCTTGTTTTCGGAATAGTCAAGGTTTTGTTTGAGGTCTTCTGACGGCCGGGAGTTTGGAGAAGAAAAGGAGCGCGATATATCCCCGCAAAATATCGCTCCGGAAAAGCTATGGAGGTGATGGTATTAAGGATGAGGTGGTGGTATTATGGTAACTTGATCTTCGTCGAGGGTTCCCTAACAGTTGTGTGATACATTGAAGATATGTTATCAGATGTTACTTATATGCCACGAACAGGCGATGGTTTTAGTTTTATGCATAACAATGCTAAGCTCCATACAGCTAGGCTGTATTCCTGACATAGAACGGGCTTCAATTCAACGTTTATAGTGGCCTGCACGTAGCCCCGACTTAAACCCTATCGAACACTAGTACCCGAAATCCAAAGTCCAATTTTCCATAAGATTGTATTACCCCGTGCACATTTGCCCGATGCTACCCTACTCTACTCTACTCGATCCCCACTGTCCAGATTTTCGTCGAGTAGCATCGAGTACAGTCGAAGCCAAAAGAACACCGGACACATATTTTTATTTAAACTATTTGCATTATTGTCGTTGTATTAATTACAACATACTTATTTTAATATAAACCAAATTAACCATGATCAAAAATTCATTAGTTTTTATTTTTTTAAATTAATTTTAATGGTTTGGTAGAAAATTTATCAAAATACCGGAATACCATTTTTTCTTATAATGAATTTAACTAACAATTTATTACACGGTTTCGCTCATAAAATTTAACTAACAATTTATATCATGGTTTTGCTCATAAAATTACACCATTTTCGTCGAGTAGCGTCAGAACAGGACACTCATATTTCTTGTAGCTTATTCCAGACTAAGTATATGTAATTTTATCGTTATATTAATTACAACATTCCTATTTTAATGTAAACCAAATTAAACGAGATCAAAAATTCATAAGTTTTTATAAAAATTATTTAATTATGATGGTTAAAAAGAAAATTTATCAAAACACCGGAATAACTTTATTTAAAACAATTAAGTGTTAAAACAATTTATTAATTGGTTGTGCTCATAAAATTTAACTAACAATTTATTACACGGTTTTGCTCAAAATAAAACATTAAGAACAAAAGAGGCATTGCGATTGTGATACTGATTTGTGATACACGCTGTGTACGTGGCGTACGCTTGACGTCGCATAGATGTGCACACCCTACCAAAACGTGACAGTTATGTAGCATCGGGTAGCGTAGCATAGCGTTGCTCGGGTGTGTTCCCCGTTTTACGGGACGAATTGTCAAAGAGGAAAAAACGTCGCCCAGTATGCCAGAGAATTTGCAGTAATTTAGAATGAAATTACTAAGTATATGTAATTTCTGAGTATGAAAATATTACTCAGCACTACATTCAAAAAATCGATGCCACGTGAAAGCAAGTGATCAACGCAAGAAGAAATACTCCGTACTGAATTGAATTTTCTTCATTGTTTCCACAGCAACATTTTTGGTAAAATTGTTTTACTCAGTTTAATTTTTATTTAATCTTTTTATTTAACTATATCTTATATTTTTATTTAACAATACCCACTAAACAACAAAAAAATAAATATCCGAGATCATATTAAAAATCTGATGCGATCTTGTCCGACTCGTATTTCCCAACCTAGCGGTTCTGGGTTCAAAACCCGGCAGAGCCCATAGTTTTTGATCTTTTGACCCGTCCGCGACACACAAGGGGAATAACAGAAATCACTTTTTTGTTTAATTTATAAGCTGGAACCTGACGCAGACATTTTGTAGTCCTGACACATAATCGAAAGATGAAGTGAAAGGATATATTCGAAGTCTGATGGTTGATCGGCCTCGTCCCGGCAGACCGTTGAGCTTATCTTATCATTGTGACGTACTAATTGTATAGTGAATAAGAAATTACAGTTATATACACATTTGGAGACAGCCGACCTAATATCGCCCTCTTGATGAATTAGGCCCTTGAAGGAAGATTTGACAGGCAGGAGACAAAAGTCGTTCGACACATTTCACGCAGAAAAATTGTCCAAACATCCAGATCCCGGAAGACAAAACATATGTAATTTAATCTAATATTTATTATAGACGCATATAATAAATATTAATTTTAATACCCAACTGTCGGGAACTGTATTTTTTATTATATTGTGTTTAAATTAAATTATAAAATTATTTTTTTTGCATTGACTCCTTATCAATGCCTAAGGCATTAGACATCTGTTTTGTGAGCTTATCGTTATCTTTTATTATCTCATTGACAAGTCATGTATAACACTTTCTTTAAAATAATCTCGCCAGATATTTTCTAATTGATGTCACAGGGGAAATTGTAAGAATTCAAATGATACCCGGCGACGAATGAGCGGTGCAAATATTTGAAAATGTGTCCTCTTCCAAAAACAATTGTAAATCCTTTGAAAGAGAGATAAGATATGTAAATATAATTTATCATCAGATAGGAGGAGAACTTTGAACTTTTAGAAAAGTTCATAGTGGTGCATAATAAACATTTTTATTACATTCTTTGAAGAGAATTTCTTGGTAAAATTGGATCGCAGTCTAGGAATTTATAACGACTGTTTATATTTTTTTTTAAATTTCAACTGTATTGTCTTTAAAGAGATTTTATAGTTAAGCTGAATAAGATAGAGTAGGTATTACATATTTAATTAACTGGATACACGTACTTAAGTACAGCCTAGCACCTTTCCTACGTCAGATTATTTATGATTGAATTAAGATTGTTATTTATGTGTAGTGATTAGTAAACATTAGGATTATTCAGAAATCGTGAGATGCGGTCTGGTGTGATGTAGGTTTCAGAAAAACATTTTCTTTATCGTGCCAACGTTTCGATCTTTATTGAGATCATCTTCAGATCCTACATGTATTTGTTAAATTTAAACAATGTTTGTAAATCCCTGGCTCTGAAGATGATCTCAATAAAGTTCGAAACGTTGGCACTATAAAGAAAATGTTTTTCGGAAACCTAAATCACACCAGACCGCATCTCACGATTTCTGAATAATCATTGTTATTTATTTGGTTTTATATGGCCTTATATTTTTTAATATTAGCTAGAGAAAGAAATGCTGATTGACCTTTTATTTTTTCCGGGGGGAGGGGGGTGAACGTGAAGAAAACTCCAGGGGCGAGGGTGGGAATCGAACCCACTACCGCGGGGTCTACAAGTCCCTAATCTCCTACCATGGTCCCAAAGTTAAGATTTCATTTATAATGAGAAAAAAATTAATAAGTAAACAAAAACAGTCCATGTGGGTATTTCACTCTAGGGAATTTCCGAGTGTTCTGCACCTGACTGCTGATGTGAAAATGGGACGGCTGAAACTTGGCCGATGGAGATTGTTTGATGTAGTCAGTTTAGTGTGATGAGACGTGATAACTCTTGCCACATCGTTTCTAACGTGATCAACAAGACGAAATTTCAGCCATCTTCGAATTTGAGATGTTACTACAGCTATCCAGAGCCCACAGAAATAGCTTCAGTCGAATAATGGACATGGCGTTTATTTTCTAATAACACGTGTAATTTATACTACATTGGTGGCATTACTTTTAAAGAGATAGATTCAATTCTCGTTTTTTCACAACAGTTGCAGGATAAAAGAAAACGACGAAAATATTAATTTCTATTTTTTTTAGTAGTATTCCTTGATATTTAAACTAGACGAAGATGATGAAAATTTTTGGAGTGGAGTGAAAAAAATATCCAAACGTGATATAAAAGGAGTTCCGCAGCCCAGTCTTCATCATTAATAAATTCTTCTCCAGCCAAAAATAGGATAGCATGTACAAAATATCCTTCAATCTCTCTTGTCGCCATCGGAAAAGAAAATATTCATTCAGATGCAAAAGATACGGAGATGCTGAAGATTTTTGGAATGGACTGAAGAAGTTATCGAAATGTAGAGTAATATCAAAGTAAATTTTTTAGTCACGAGACGAAGATGATGAGATTTTTTAGAGTATATCGAAATATGGATTGATACCAAAGTAAATTTTTTAGCCACGAGACGAAGATGATGAAGATTTTGGAGTATACTGAAGAAGTTATCGAAATATGGATTGATACCAAAGTGAATTTTTTAGCCACGAGACGAAGATTTTTGGAGTGTACTGAAGAAATTGATATCAAATCAAATTCCGCAGCCTCATCTTCACCATTAGTGAACCCTTATCCGTCCAAAAACCGGATGCCGCCTGCAGAAGATCCGTGAATTGTCAATCTCCATCGTAGCGACCGTTCTTCCATGAATTAGAGAAAAATGAAGCTCGGTTGTCGTCATGACGATCGTATTTTCCCTATCCGCGACTTGTCTATTTTTATTTTTTTGAGAATAGAAATAAAAATTTGATTCGAGAATCGCGTTGAAATGGTGAAAATCGTAACTTAGGTGAAAAGGAGCGGCGACGTGGAATGGAGTCGGCGCGATGGACGCCGGCCGGGCAGAATTCGAAAATTCCCGGCGTCGGGTTATCTTATCGGGCCCGAATCGAAGACGTGGCGGAACGGGGGCCCTGCCGCGAGGATCGACGATTTCGTCCTCTTTCCCATCAGACTGTCGTGTAGTTTGTGCAGAGCAGAACGAAACTCTCTGCACCCGTTTCCGAAGACGTATCGTGAAAAATAAGTGAGAATTGTTCGTCGGTGGCGGCGGCCCGAGGAACGGAGCGGCGGGCCGACAGATGTCGCGACGAGTCGGATCGACTCCGCTACCCATGATGCAATGTTCCTTTGGCATGTGCCTCCTGTGTCGTCCATTTTGCAAGGTTTCCGTGAGAAATTCCATAAAATCAGTGAAAGGGATAAAACTGGTAAGGATAATATTTAGTCAAAATCTTGTCTTAGGTGTTTGGAATGTCGGCCGGCGTTTGGTGAAGGCGATCGGGCTGCGTCGACGGCTCGGCATCCGTCCCTTTTCCCCCGAATCTGTCCTATTTCGGTCTGGCTCCGTGGGCTCGGGCCCGTCTCGCCTCTGGCCGTCTGGTCGACGAAGCCTCGTGCACATGGTTTCCGGGTTCGCCTCCGTTCCTGCGGCGTACGTTCGTCCGAATCCGCTCTCCGACCTCTCGCATCTCGCATTTACGATCCGTCCATCGCCTTTCGCGTCTATTACGTCATAATTGTGTTGTAGAAAATTACACGGGATCAATTATATAAGAATTTGTGTCAGATCGCATTGCACCGTCCCGATGTGTTTCTAAGTGTATTTTGTACTTTTCCAGTTTTCCGACTGCCTTCCGTCCCAGACGGTTTTCCACCCAGGCCGACACGTCCTTTCCCCGTTCTCGTCCTTCCGACGTTTTCCTCCTGTTCTTCCTCTATTCGTCTCGGCTCCATTTTTTCGTTCCGGCGGAGTGTCGACTGATATCGGCGAACAAGCCCGTTTTCCAATTTATCCACCGTTTCTCCCTTTAATCCATCAAGCGAGCAATTTTTACAACCGTATCGTATTTTTCTGGAGTTATTTTTAAGGAGAAAAACCGATGTTATTGCGGAATACGAGTCGAGAGGATTCTCTTAAATGATAGGTAAATGCCATTTAAATTTTATTTTTTAATATTATTTAAGCTTTAAGTCAGACCCGCTCAGCCGATCATTCCATCCACGCACGTTTTATTTTGATATTTTGTATTTAAAAGTTTTTAAACCTATATTTAGAAAATCCTAACCTTCTTGAGGCAGCCATATTTAATATAGCCTACTTTCCAACTACACAATATAAACCTTTTCATTTTTATATATTGAGTTTTTTTTTTTTTTTTTAATTGAGTAGTGAGAGGATCGCGTACGTTTCAGTATCGGCCGAATCGAGGGATCGGCTTCGCTGCGACGAGAATTTCAATTTTCCATTTTTTCCCGAGTGGAATTTTAAGCGAGAATCGCTTCGAGGACCGCATTTATAGCAAGTCAGTATCGTTTTCCTTCTAACTTATTTTCCTTTTTTTTATTCGACTGTCCGATTGTTCTTGTTTGATTTAAATTGATAATCCGGCCGTTTTCGCCCTTCGTTCCGACTCCGAATCTTTGTTTAATTAATTAATCGTGAAGTTACATTTTTATCGAGTCAAAAAATCGAAAAACCGGTATTTTAATTGAAATCGTTTTCCATTTTTTTTCTCCACTAATATCAATTCGTAATCGTTTCCCCGGTTTAACCTTCAAAATGAACATTTTTTTTAACCAATCCCTTATCAAAAAGATTTCCCCAAATCTATAAAAAAAAAGTCATAATCTCTCTATAAAACGTTAATGTTACGTTAAATACCGATTTATTACATTTTTTTTAAACTTATATTATTGGGTGAGTGTTATTACTTCAGTTTTTTGTATGAATTTTGAAGATTTTGAGCCATTTTTTTTTCTATAGCAGAAAATTTCTTTTTATCAAAAAAAGATAATTTTTAAAATATTTTTTATATTTAAGAAAAAAATTATTTTGAGCAACCCAAAGCATCTTAGATTTTGGTGTAAGTTAACCTTACCTTAAGATGCAATTGCACAATATGGTCATAAAAATTAATAAAACTTAGTCAGTGGTGCCTTGAGACATGAGTTTAATTCGTTCCGAGACAGACCTAGCAAGTCAAAATGCCCATATCTCTTGATCAATTTTCCCCATTGAAATTAATTGAAATGAGATTAATTCTAGCCCTTAAAAAATAAAAAATATGTGTTTATAATAAACAAAATATTGAAAAAACATACATGCAAACATATGTACGTAAAAACAGAATCTAAAGAAAAACAGATTCGGCTGAGCCTATTAGTTTATACATAGTACAAATTAAATGTTTTGTTCTGTTCACTTTTGTATCACTTATTATATACGATTTAATAATGAGTTATACTATTTATAAATAACTGTGAGCGCATAAAAAACAAATACTTCTGGGGCGGTGTAAACATGTGAGCAACTTGGTTGTTGTAACATTACCATAACAGGCTCTTAACTCAAGACAAAATTTCATCCTTTGCACGTCTCATGCAAAAAAAAAAAAGCTGGGTTTCCATTGTGCAAAAATCACTTGCGAAACGTCTCGCGTTGTGGACACCTAGTTGGGATTCTTATGTACTTTACTTTTATGTGAGAATGTTTCGGGGTGAGTTGACTCTGGCTGTCGGTTTTTTAGTGCGCACCAAAGGGCTTCGCGTTGTCTGTTTCTCTCCTTGTAAACGAACTCATGAATCAAGCTTCAAAATGAACCAGGACTGCATTCGACTTATCCAACTGTATCAGAGCTATCAATTTTTGTGGGGTGCTAATTATAAAAGTCATCATTAAAAGAACAAGATAGAGAATGGAAAGAAATGTCTTTTCTTTTTCTTTTTAACATAAGTGTAGCCATGATTGCAAACACTGATGCTGCAGTAGGTGTAGTTAAGAACGTTTTGTTATAAAATGTTTCACCTTATGGAAATGGTTAACTCGAGGCATCAGTTTCATGAGTGATTCTCATGTTTAGTGATTTCCGCGCTGTGGAAACGCAGCTTTATGTTGGGGGCTCTTGTATCTCAAGGTACCATTGTACGTGCCAAATGGCCTTACATGGATTTTTAATCATCACAAAAAAAATTATACAATTTCAAACGACTAATTTTCTCATTATGCTTAGAAAATAGTAGTTATTAGTTACAAAATTTCAACTTCAATTTTTTAAATCTTTTTAAGTGGCTCCTGTATGTATTAGAATATAATTAAGCCATCCATTTATCAAGTTCAGCAGTGCCATGATTACATCTGACTCTTGTGAATTTGATGGTCTTGAGTTTGAATCCAAACTTGGGATTTTTTCAACCCCTTGTAACTTCTATTAACCCAACTGTACTCTGGCCATTGTGGGAGATCCAAGTATATGAACACGTTGACTGCTTCCTATGCTCGGCCATTTTGTGGCTGCCCATGTCGGATCTGAATTTACCATGTAAAATAGCTCTCTGGAATTTTTTTATTTTTTATTTATTTTTTAATCTGTTAAATAAATTATATGAGGCAGATTTGTTCCCAGCATTGCTAAGTAAATGAAGTAGGCAACGTGTAGAATGTTGTTCATTTAGACGTGTAGTTGAATGTAAGTTCTTTCTATTTTCCACGATAATTTTTCCTTTATTTTATGTAATCGTACAAAATGGATAAATTAAAATAACCAAAAGCAAATTACATGATTTTTACAGAATAAATCTAAAAGAATACTTCCAGCTAGGGGGGGGGGGCAATGAACGACCACAGCCAGTGACACTTTTACCCTTTCTGAGGCGACACTAGGAATTTCAATGGAATTGTGTAGTGGTTGAAGTGGAGGGAGAGATTAAAATGTATAAACAGGACGACCACCACATCCCGTAGGATAATTGGTTTGTGTGTATCTTACCAAGTCATCTTGCCAGTGTGGGAAGGAAAATCGAAGTACATTAACAAAAATATTTTCGCTTATAGTTCCATTGAATTAGATACTTGGTTTGCTGCTGTTTTAGTATTCTTGTCTCACTCCATGTCCACAATAGCTAGAATGTATTTGTATCAAAGACTTGAGTAATACTTCAAAAAGAAAATATAACATGTGATATCATGCAGGGTAACTTATTTGGTCTGTCTTCATTCTTTTTTCGGCATTGTGCCAACTTTATTATGGAATCTGATGATGTGTTTGCTGGCTTAATAAAAAAAAATCTTGTAATGTCTATCAGGATTTAAGTTAGTTTTCTCTTTTAGATTTGATTTCAAATTGTACTTTTTTTTTTTTTTAATTTGATAGTTGCCTATCATCTTGGTCTGCCTATCCTTGCTGATTTTGGCAGATCAAGATGATAGGTAACTATCAACCTAGAGGTTCATTCACCCCTCAGACGACAGGAGGAATTTTCTATATTTTTAATTTGTTAAGTGGAGCAAGGTTCGGCAGTCCAAAATAATTGAAAACGACCAATCTACAAATAGTTGTTAACCCATTCAGAATTGTTAGTAGTTACTGCTTTCCCTAGTGAAGTACTTAGGAGTATTGAACTAGACTGAAATTCAAAAGAAGTGTGTTGGTTAAAAAGCACCATTGTGTTTTCTAAATTTACTACTCTCTCTAGCGCTAAAAATAATAACTTAATATCATCATACTGGCTGTAGGAATGGGTTAAACCATTGAACCCCCTTACAAAATGTAAATTTATTGATGACGGAAGAGCGTATGTTGATTGTAGATCAGATATGATTTGCTGTAGTTGGAAATGTACAATTATCAAGTTTTATATTAATATATATAAAAGGGTGATAGGCAGGTCTAACAGTTCCAACAAGTGAATGGTTTTATTTCCGAGCTTTCAGTTCTTCCTATCATCCTGGCTAGTACAGTTGAGTCATGTTATTGAACTAATTTGAACCAACACCTGTTCAGTTTAGTCGAATATCTTAAATAAAGCTGGAATTTTTGAAAAATTTGGATAAAATTGAAAATGTATAGACATTTATTTTTCCTGAACATATTTTAATTTGTTTTGTACTCATTGTTCATTTTCACAATATTTATTGTTTTGTAGCTTCAATTATGATATTCTTGGAACATAACATTGCTCATTTTGTAAGTGTCATCTTCTATTGTTTGGTCTCACCTGTATCAATAAGTTTCACCAAAAAATACGTCACTTGCTATTTTAGTACTAAGATCATGTGACGTATGTATGATGTATTAAATCATTCAAAGTGGCCAGATTTAAAGAGAGTGTGTATATGCGTTAGATTTTTTAGCAAAGCATATTTGACAATATTGACTTTAATATAATTTGTACCCTTGTTTTTACTTAAGTATCATCAAGTAATATTAATTATTAGAGAAAATATTTTTATGTTCCTAATTTATAATAATGGATGTTAATCATATATAAAACAATTTTTTTTACTGTTCGGTGAGTTGGAGAAAACATCAAGACTTTACATCAACTTGTATTTATTCATTCTAAAAATGATATTAAGTTATTATGAACAATCTAATATGTAATAATAAAGTAAGTTAAATCATCGCCTTTCTAATTTTTATATTTTTCAAATATAATTTAATTCAATTTTGGGGGATTTCTTTTGATATTTTAACTACTATGATTCACTCAAGCTTACCAAATAAACACTAGACTAAACTTTAAGAAGCTATCGATATTCAATAAATCCCATACCCAGTTAGGCTGTCATTTGATAATTTCAAAATATTCTAACATGTTAAACAAATGAAAAGGATGAATTGAAATGAATTTGAATGCTGAACATCATTTATTGCTGTTTTCAACAGATAGGCAGTAGCAGTTTATACAAAACGTTTGTTGGTCAGGGTCAAAGCGACTTCCTTTTAAGTCATAGACAACTCATATTTAATCAATGACAAAACATTTCCATTTAATTTTTATCTAATACTTTTGTTTTTAATGTCAATTTGTAAAAGTCGTTTAAATTATATCACGATGACAAGTGAATTTCACCAAATTAATCTATTAAAATGGTAATTATTAAGATGAATGTGTAGCATTTAGTGACCTTTAATTAATGATTATTTAGAGATAGTGTGATGCGATTTGGTATGATTTGGAAAAACATTTTCTTTATCGTGCCAATGTTTCAGTCTTTCTTGAGATGATCTTCAGGGCCTGAGATTTATAAACATTGATGAAATTATACAAATACATATAAGATATGGATGTGATGTATATCTATGATGTACACAATATAGAAATTTAACGTTTAATCAAAGTATTTATACCCACTCAAAGTTATGCTTTCTGTTCTTTGACTAAACCTAAAATTTCTACATTGTGTACACCATTGTATAAATTCATATTCATATCTTATATGTATTTGTATAATTTAAACAATGCTTATAAATCCCAGGCCGTGAAGATGATATAAATAAAGATTGAAATGTTGGCATGATATGTTTTTCTTCATCACACCAAAACTGCATCTAACGATCTTTAAATAATAACTCATATGAATGCTAACTAAGTGATAAAGATCTGGTTGTATGACAAACATTTTGAATGCATACCCAAACCCTGTTCAGCTATTTGGGTTGGTCTTTATGTTTACTTCATCATCTCCCGTGTTGTCTTACCAAATTTTTGTAGATTTATTTCAAATGTTTACTTCCACTTTAATCAATGGATAAAATTAAGTTTTTTTCATTTATTTGCCGGTTGTAATAAACATTATGCGACCAAAAATAAAAATAATCAGAGTAGGTTAACAATCAACATAATATTGTTGTAATATTGATTGTTAGAAGAAAAAATTAAATATTAAAATTTGCAAGGAAATCCAGATAGTTGCCATGTTCAAAATGATAAAGGGTTGCTTAATACACCATAATAAATAATACCACACTACATAAATTAAAAATAATATGATTTATTATATTACTAAAATAATTTTTTTTATTGGTTTTGTTTTGCCAGGGAGCGTGTACATGAATGGGGACGTTGGGAAAGTCCCTCCAGGGGCGGTTTTCGCTGCCACCCCTGATCAACATGCACCCAGTCCCACAACAGATTTCAGGTAATTATACAATGCATTGCTTAATTTATTGTTTGTTCCAGGAAACCAGAAATTGTCACAATTAAAATTAGTTTAGAATTATTTTGTTAAAGGAAATAGTCTCTGCATTTATAACTATTTCCCGACGAGTTACTTTTATAGACTTATGCACTACGTATAAAAGTTTGAGTCCCTGGGCTTAAAAAATGTATTCATCTCATTTTCTAACTTGGTATTTATCAAACTTATGATTGCGCATATGACTGTCCATTGCTAAGAAAAAGTGAGTCAGGCCAGATCTGGTGAGCACCAAGGATGTGGTAGAACTTCCCAACCAAACTTTATTATTTTTTCTTTGTTGTATGAAATCTCCCATAATCCTTGTGAAAAATTACATATTTTCTTATCTCAATAGCAAATTGTTTCTGGGCATGGGCAAGAGATACTTGTTGCAGTTGACTCGAGTAGATTTCTGCGGTGGCAGGAGTTTCTAGTGCACAATACCTGCCACTAAATACAAAGCCTCTCATTTTGTTGGTGAATATCCAGTTTTTACGACATTTGGACGAGTCATTCAGTGACAGTCAATGGTCATACCTCTTGGTATTACAGGATCCATTTTTCTCGCTGGTGGCATCTGGTCAAAAAATGTCTACTTAGTGTCATGAAAGCAATGAAAGGCTTTTAGACACTGAAACTTGTTACCATTAATCAATTTATGAGAAACCCAACTTCCTCATCTACCCAAGTCGATATAAGCTAGAGTGAATGGTTTCATCGCTTGTACTGAACACTGCCAAGCTCCTGACATATTTGACTAGAATCAAGTCAGCTTCCCTTAATTCATCATCATTCAAGACAGAAGGTTTATCGTCAATCCCCTCATTCCCAGAAGCAAACTTTTAAATCAAGTTCTTCTTGTAGAAATATATGGTGGTTAGTGACCATTAGTCATTGATTGTTTGCAGATCTTGAGATGCAGTCTGGTGTGACGTAGGTTTTAGAAAAACATTTTCTTTATCGTGCCAACGTTACGATCTTTATTGAGATCATCTTCAGAGCTCAAAGTGTTTGTTTCTTCGTAACTGTGTCATTCTTGTGTGTCGTGTTGAGAGTGCCCTAGGCGGACACACAAGAATGACAATTACGCAGAAAACAAACACTTTGAGCCTGAAGATGATCTCAATAAAGATCGAAATGTTGGCACGATAAAGAAAATGATTTTCTAAATCCTACGTCACACCAGACCGCATCTCACGATCTCCGAATAATCATTTTTTAAACCACATTTGGGCAGTGGATTGCAAACTATTGTTTCATCACTGTACCCAGTGTAGATTTTACTGGCCCCGCTGCCCTAGTACCGAGCTAAAATTCATACAATAAGTACTCATAAATTATGAGTTTTGAAATCATTTGGAAAAAATTATAATTTACAGTGAACTGCACCCCAATTCAACACATTTTTTCTTTACGAACTGATGTCTTATCCTCTTGGTATTTACATCTTGTAAACATTAATCCTCCTATATAAATACAATTTTCATTAACGGTATTACAGCAATAACAAATAATCAAAGGCACAGACTTTTCTGTTTCCTTTTTTTCCCACTTATACACAAACTTAATTTAAAAATCCTTTATTAACTTGCTATTTTTTCCAGCTTGTTGAATGGGGTAACTGAACAACTGGATAGCTACAGTGATGGTGGGGCCTTGCCCGTCGGGCAGGCACCCCCAGAACCAGTTGTAGATTCCAACCACCAGACAACTCCGATGCCAATTGAGCAGCTGAAACAGATGCTCTCCTCCCAATTGGAGTATTATTTTTCTAGGTGTGTTTTATATTCATTTTAATTAAATTTATTTTCACTTAAGGTTTTATATTGTTTTGTGTATATATATTTTTTTTTACAGAGAAAATTTAGCAAATGACACATATCTGCTATCTCAAATGGATAATGATCAGTATGTACCAATATGGACAGTAGCTAATTTTAATCAAGTAAAAAAATTGACTACAGATATAAAACTTATAACTGAAGTCCTTAGAGGTAAGTCCCCCTTTAAAACATTTCTTTTATTGTGTTTTTACTCACTTCAATATACTTTTGTAGAATCACCAAATTTGCAAGTTGACGATGAAGGTCAGAAGGTGCGCCCAAACCATAAAAGGTGCATAGTTATATTAAGAGAAATCCCCGATAGCACGCCTTTAGAGGAAGTTAAGGTAACAGGTTCATCATCAAATATTAAATTTTAAATAGGCTATAACTAAATACTTGCTTAGGGTCTCTTCTCTGGAAAGGGATGTCCCAAGTTGATATCTTGTGAATTTGCTCATAATAACTCATGGTATGTCACTTTTGAGAACGACGAAGATGCTCAGAAGGCATACAGGTTTTTGCGAGAAGAAGTAAGAGAGTTTCAGGTAAGGAAAAATCTCACAATATTGAAAAGTATCCACAAAATGATTTATCCTTCTTTTTGTATTAACAGGGTAGGCCAATTATGGCAAGGATTAAGGCTAAACCGATGAATAGGCTTTTAGTACCTGCTGTGGGACCAGGAATGGCAGGTTTGAAGAATGGTTACCGAACTCCTCCTGCATCTGTAGCTGCGACGAATGTTTATGAGCCTGGAAATGCTTATGCTCCAGGTCAGCAAAGATATTTGTTTACTAATGGGACATCGCTTGCCGCTCCCAATGTAAATTACACTCCAAATCAAGTGCAAATATATGTAAGTAGTTTTAATATCTCACTATCTTGTAATTAATTATTATTTCTAAAGAAGAAAAAAATGGGAAAAACTATTTATTTTTTAGATATTAAAAATTGATATCCGACTTAAATTCAAATTATTTTTATTTGTAGTTTCAACACCATCAGCAACCGTTTTATCCACCAAATATGCTGCCATCATGGGGACCAACAAACACCACCTATTTTGATATAGGAAGTGTATTTTCTGTAAACGGTCTCGCTCCCCAAGGACCATTTGCTAAAACTCACACAAATAGGTACGCGTCAAGAAAGTAAGTATAAAATTTGATATTGTTTCTCTTATCTGTCAGGGAATGTCGATCATGGATATTTTTCAGTAGGCATAAGCGTCTCGTTAGTGGGTTGGAGCAAAGGACCACAATGAGTGACAGCGGTCTCGTGAGAAACCCCCATATGGGCGGTACAACTAAATTAGGAACTACTGGAAAGCTCGAAACATCAAACAGCTCTTCAGTTTCATCGAAGTCACATTATTTCAGGGACTCAAATCAGTCAGAAACGTCGGATTCACTAGCAACATCACGTCACGACCCTGAAGATGTGTATAGACAGCCGATATCAGCTGGCAAAGACTCAATACCAGCCAGGTAATGGCCTCATCCAATTATAATTATTTAAAAAAACTGCCCACAAAAGAGAAAATAAAATATAAAGTCATGAGAATAGACAGATGTTACAGTAGTTTTGTTTTTAGATACAGGCGTAGGAGGAAAGAAGAAGAAACTCAGAGCAGAGGAGGCGGAAGCCCTGGGCCTCAATTCGACCTCGAAGCCGATGCCTTCCCTCCTCTTCCGGGCTTAGAACAATCCCAAAGTCAAAATGCTGCCAAAGCTCCTCCGCTGACTCCTCCAGCACCTGTTACTCAAGCCTCTGTGACAGTAACTATGGCTTCTGCTCCTGTGGTCGATGCCCCTCCCACTGTTGACCAAACTTCTTCACCTCAGTGGACTGAAAACAGGTATTTCTAGCAGTCTATTCATTTTTTTTTTAAACTAATTATGTCCGACAAATTACAAACATGTAATGAAAATGTGTATTTAGCTTATTGTATATTATTTTGTTAAATGTGTTGTAAAAGTGTCAGTAAATGAACAAATTACAAATAATAATTTTTCAGGTTTTGTAAACCAAAGTTCATAGAGTTTATATGGCTAAAATATAACATGTTTGACCTTAAAACATAATAAACAAAAAGTATATATCTAGTGAGTGGAACATGAAACTAAAAAGGCGTAAATTTTAAGGATGTTGTTCAAAAACATACTGTTTACTCTTTACTCCTTTTTATTTAGGGCAATATAATTAAAATTCATGCTTTAAGTTTGCATTTTTTCTTTTCAATTTTTTTTTCTTTTTTTCTGTTTTTCATTTTTAATCATCCTCTCTTAATTAAAGGATGGATTAATGTTGTTGGTTTAGATTGTCTGATGTAGTGAAGGGGACTGCTAAAGGGAAAACTGTCGGTGCAAGCAGTAGTAATGGCTCAAAGGAAAAGGATGTCCCATGTCCGGGAGGGATCGGGTCCCAAGGAGGGCCCCTTTCCCCTCGGCTACCCTCGCCCCAACTTCCCACACCGCCACCCACCCCTGACAAGTAAGACTGAGCATGGATTAAAAATCCCTAGACGATTTTTTTAAATTTTTTTTTAGACAATATAACTATTTTATTTCCACCATATCCTTCGTCTCTATTTGCACTTAATGGCTCGTACTTTCAGTGGGGAAATTGTATATACTTGGTTTAAAAAAATGTACATTCACAAATTAATATTGGGATTTTTTTTCTCATTTTATTCATTTTGGTTTTTATTATTATTTTTTTAGTTTGCATGTTTCACCATTCACCATTTGTTTATCATATGAAACTTTTTTTTGTGCTTTCTAAGATTTTATTAGTATTTAATTTGATTGTTAAGGGAGGATCTTCATAATTAATATTTTGGTAAATAACATTGACCAATAGTCATTAAATATGAACATATTTATTAAAAAGAATAAAAATGTTATATAAAAAAAAATTATATCTGTTAAGGAAAATTGGAAAAGGGCAGTGTATAGAAAAAATAAGCCCTTAGAAATAACTGGAGTGTTTGATCAAATTGTCTTATAGAAAACTAGATGTCTGGATAATTTTCACCCCCACAATTTTTAGCCCACTAATATTTCTCCATAATTAAGCTGTTGGCCTGCATCATTTAATAGGATTATCCCCCCAAATATGGTTCCACATCATTTTAACGAATAGGAATTCCATTTTCATTAATTAAATACAAACTTATTCCCTTGGGTAGTTTGTCAAGGGAATTAATGTGAGTGTTCAACTGACTAATTTGTAAGCCTGGTTTGGTACACTTTTAGAATTAGAAATTTATTGTCAAAGTTTTTACTAAAATAATTTAAAATATTTCCTGACCAGTTTGTGGGGTTTGTGTTAATATTTTAATATCGCATGCTGAATTATATCAATTTGAAAATTCGCACTTTCCCCATTAAGACAAAATACCCAAATGGAAATAATAATCTATAATAAATTTCCATAGTAGGACAAATGGAGTTGGAAAAGTAATTCTAGGTAACTAATATTTAACTGCTGATCTACCAGGCATCCTTCATTAGATTTTATGATTTTAATGATGTCATTCATTTCTTGTATTGAGTGTGAGCATAAGTTTTTTTAACCTAAATTTCAGCATTTACTTTTAATAAAGGCAATGTTTTATTGCCTGCTAACCCCATTAGTACACACACCTTTTTGAAGGATATTGTTAAGAAAAGGGTGGTCGATCTTAAAAGTCAGTCTAACATAAACTGCAGGGGGCCGCGGTAGCCAAGTGGTTAAGGCGTCAGACTCTCGGCTAGTAGATCCCGCGGTCGTGGGTTCGATCCCCACTGAAGCCTCTGGACTTTTTCTGATGCTTAAGGGGACCGGTGGCCGCAATTGAAAGAAATTGACACGGCACTCATCAATTGAAGGAGCGGGATCAGATCTCAGCGACCCTGAATTTGGTCCCAACCCCCTTCAAAAATGAGTTTATTCGATGGAAGAACACCGGCACACCAGGGGCTCAAATCACACTTGTGTTGCAAGCCCCCAAAAAATGGAGCCAGATAAAGTACAATAAGCTGTACAGCTGCAGTGCTCAGGAGGGAACTCCTCCAGTTCCTGGTATCCATTGTAAAAACAAAAACTGCAACGTGTATGACATGGAAGAAGTTAAAATTCAATTGAGGTATTGCTTGTTACTCGAGTTCGATCTTGGGCATAGAGCAGATGCCTGTCGAAATTTACCGGGACAACGTAATGTATGAGAAAGATTCAGATGCTTTCGTAATGGAGAAAGATGAATCTAAATTCTAGCCTCGTGGGATGCCTAACAAGCTTAAAAGCAACAACTTATTAATCGTATTGGAAGTCAGGCCAAATTAACTGTAGCAAAGATAGGAAGATTTCAATTCACACAACAATAGAAAGAAGAATCCGATCTTTGGGTTGCGTTGTAAAACTCATAAACTTATACTTTCAGGAACAAGGAACGTCTTGTTACGATTACATTTGAATAAGAATAAATCGGAAGGGTTTGTTTCGTATTTGGAAAAAGGATCTTCGGTGAGGTCACAACAGAACGACAATTTTTAAGTTTTTGCCGAGCTTTCAATGATTATATCATCATCAGGGTTTATTTATTACAGAAAATTATAGCAAATGAAAACAAAATTAAAAAAACATTTATATTTTTCTTACTTTAACTCGATGAGTATTAAAATATGTCGAGAAAAAACTGCATTTATAATATTTAAAAAAATATATATATATATTTAAAATTAGGCGAAGCTCAGTATCTATATATTAACAAGATAAAGTATGGAATTAATTAAAACCAACATAATATAAAATTTAAAAAACAATGTGGTCATATAGGTTACCCCAATTAAAATATACATATAAGTACACGCCTCTTTTCTTACTTTTTTTAGCACTGTGATTACATACCTATACATTTTATAAAAAGCAAAACTGATATCGAAATGTTCCTGAAAAAAAGTAACTCAAAGTAAAATCTTGGAATAAGAGGGGTCATGGAGGATCCGATTCTTACTTGTTTCACTACCTAGATAACCGCTTAAAAAGTAAGGAATTTTTGAACGAAAACGCTTTGAAAATTTAACTGAAAGATTCATTCTTTTTTAAGTTCTTGAGTTTCACAAAAAGGGGGATATTTCAGCAACCAGAACATTGGCAGTTTGTTATAGAAACTAAGGAAATATGTTTTCAATTAAAAGTTAAATACATTTATATTTCAAGTTTGACTTTTTTCTGAAAACTGCAAAAAATTATGCACACACCCAATATTTCGCTAATAGCAATATTATATTTATTTATTTTTTAACTGATTTTCAACAGGAACCTAAAAAATATCTTTTTTACAATTTTCAGGACAGTTCCTGGAGCTGCTGGTAGCAATAAAGCTCACCTAGCAGAAAAATTAAAGACTGATGAAGCAGTGATTAACGGAAATGGTGAGCCTGCCACTGCTGGCTCAAGTGATTCACTTGTAGAAGCTAAACCCCCTTCTTCCTACAATACTGCTATGGCCCCCCTCCCAGAAACGCCAAATCCTCCCACACACATACCGCCACAAACTCCCCCGTCACAACAGTTATCTGCACAAAATCAGGTAAAAACAATTATTCATGTTTTTCATATCTTATATATAAAACTAATATTTATTTCGACGTAAGGCTGATTTGGGAGTTATCAAGTTAAGTTATGCCCAAGTGGCTCAACATCACAAAGAAAAAGCAGAAAGGGAAAAGCAGCAACAGTTACAACAGCAGCAACAGCAACAACAATTAATAACAGCGCACCAACAAGTAGCAACAGCTGTGATATCTGTTTCACAAAATACGTCTAGTACACCACAAGCAGAAGATGAGAAAAAGGAAGCGACAGGGTATTATCAGCCAAAAGGTATACACTTATTTCTGTGCTCTTTAAATATTAAAACACGTTATCTACTATAGTTTGGCATTAACATTGTATCAGGTGAGGCAGTGGCAGGACGTGGAAGAGGTGGTCCTAGGGCTCCCCCAAGGAGGAGGGATAACGCTCAGCGTTTTAACTCAAGGCAAAGATCACCCAAATAGCACACCCCATTTCGGTAAGTGTTTTTGATTTATCATTGAATAGTAGTAGCAGTAAAATTGCTTGAAACTTATATTTTAGACTGGGGGTACAAACTATTAGTTTTTTCCCCCCTGTAGCCTGTTTGATAAGCATAGAAATAATGTTTGTGTAGTGTTATAAATAGTTTGAATTGGTATGTATTTGGTATGTATTTAGAAAACCCAGAATCCATTTAATTTTTGTTATGCTTTGTGCTTGTATGCTCATTAGTCGAACTTCTCTAATTTCTAAAATTCTCTAATGTTACGGTCAATTATCACTTAATCCCAATGCACACATGCAGTATTTTGCCTTCTGGTCTTCCAGTTGCGGGTCTAAGATATTCAGAGGATCAGATAGGTTAGGGCACATGTAGCTGCTGGCGGACTTGCTATCGTTTTTCCTTGCATTTCTCTATAGGCCTCGGCAGTGCTGCAACAAAATGGCATATATTTGGTACGACTTTCAAAGCCATGTTTGTATTCTTCCTACTTTCAATTTTAATTCTGGAATTCTCGTTGCCTTCAGCAAGTCTTGGATTTAATTTTCCCTTAAATCTGTAAAAGTAATATACAAGCTCCCTCTTGAAAGACTCATATTTATATATGAATGTACTCCATAATGTATATTTTTTCTGTATCTCTTTGTACACAATGTAGAAAAAATGACAACCAATCCTGTTTGGCGATTGTATGCGTACTGGCGGTATTTGAAGTACTTCAATTGCTACAGGTCCACATAAGTCTAAATTGAACAGCTGTGGCACTGCAGCAGGGCCAGACAGAAAAAACCGCATGTGTGCATCGGGCCTTAGCCTTGAGAATTTAATTTGAATTTAAAATGTTTTGAAAATATTTTTTCACCTCTTTTATATTGTAAATTTATTCTCTGGCCATTCAAAAATAATTTTTAACTTTTGTTTGTTTAGACTGGAGAATTGGCCTAGAGTGAGGTGAAACAGTGATGCGGATTTCCCTGTTTGAGGCCCGCAGGCTGGCACCGAAGTGCCTCGCAGCAGTCCTGGTATTACAAGTGTCAGGAACTGTATCCCCCCTTTCCCAAATAATATATTTCTCACCCTTCCCCCCTACACCTTACAAAAATTTCAAGAAAACCACTCCATTTCTCCTCTCCCCCTATATTCATTCCTCACACGTTCTAAATAATTTTAAATGCGATGTGTTTTTTGGGCAATTTGGTGAATGTGTAATATATCAGGGAAAGTGTGCATATTGTGAAAAATTTACAGTTGATTGCTCGTAGGCACTATATTATATATATTATAATATTGAGGGTAATTTTGGAGGAAAAGAAAAAAATTTATAAAATGTTTAAAAAAAAAAAAAGAAAAAAAGAAAGAGCCTATTAGAGCTAAATTTTATTTCAGTCATTCACAGCTGCGATTTGGCTGTTTTAAGGTGCTGTGAGTGAATTTGATTGAATATATATATTCACATTCTATCAGCATCTTTTTGTAAATAAATCTTCGATTACAAATAATTATTTTTGACAAATGTGTATAGAGTGCAAGCTAGTTATCTACCTAGGTGTAATAGTTGTATGATTCCTCCAAAAAGAAAACAAAAAAATCTAAAAACATTTAAAAAATATAAGAAAAAAAGGATTGTCTTGTTTACAAATTGTTGGTTTTTATTCGTATTTATGTATTGTATAATACAGGTGTTAACTTGCGCGCGTTTATCCTATACCGAGCCATTTTGGAAATTGATGCTCACGAAGAGTGGGTTGTTCTATATTCCCCATTATTATTTTTAAATGTAATATACAGTTTGTGTTGTAATTAAAAGGTAATGCAAATATATTTGGTAACAATGAACTTTTTTAGTCGAGTCAAAAGTCTTAAATAAATAAATTATTAAAAAAGGAAAAAGTACTCTCTTATTTATATTTGCACAGTTATATTTAGCTTTTCTTTTCATTTTATTTTGTGTATTTTTACAAAAAAAAATTTCTTAAATGTTTCGCAAATTAATTTTAACTTGTTTCTTTTGAATTAAAGATTACTGTATATTACTTTGCACAATATATAGCTTGATAGTTGAGGTTGCTTACATTCATATCGGTATACCGTCAATTATCTTAGTCCACTGTAATATACAGAAAATATCCTTATAAATTATACTAACTGTTGAATGTAATTTTATTTATACATAATTATTATGCGTTTAACAAAATATATCTCAATTAGAAGAATGATAATATTTACGTTAATTAAATTGTATTATTTTTAATATTACAGTTTTATTGTAAGTTAAATACAAATACTAGCTTTTATCATTCTAGTACTGATTTTCGTTTCCTTCTTTAACATTAATTTTTTATTGTTTCGTTTCCTATAGAGATAATAAATTTAAAAAAATAATAATTGAACCGAACGAGCTTCCATTAGAGTGTAGTTAGTTTCGGACCGGATGGTATTTAACGATCGGTATGTCGATTTTGTTTGTAAACACTTCTTCAAGGTTTGGTACGAAACAATCAGGTAAAATTAATTGCTCATTTTCTTTTGTTGTCCATTTCAGTGCTGTTAGCATTCTTCTTTTAATTATATTATATTGTAAGTTTTTTTGTGTTTTAAGTATATTAGTTAAGAAACTGGCATGTTAAAAAAACACATGAACTTGACACTTTTTGTAAACGATACGTATCAATTAATATATGTTAATGCTCTGTTGATACTATGCAAAATTGTGTGATAAAACAAAAATTCTTCTATGCTGACTTGTAAATTGCCGAATGTTGGAATTTACTTTCTCAAATAAAAAGGAAATGTGTTGTAATTAAATAATTAATTTTCCAAATTTCTTAATCTTAACTGGTCTAGTGCATTCACAGAAATGTTAAATATGTGTAAAGACAGGTTTTAGTGATTTCCGCAAAAATTTACTAGTTAAAAATATTAACGTATCAAAACGTTATTTTGTGCCAATAAAGCAGACTTTTTGCCAACTACCTTGTTTTTCTCTTTTTTAAATTCAATGTTTAATTGTTTTTAAAATACTTATTAAATATGGACTATAACTATATGTTTCTATATTAAACACCCAGTTGCCTACTATATTTCAAACTTTAATTTCTTTTTCTTTTTAATCATTATATATAGTGAATTGTTAATTCTAATGCGCTCTTGTTCATTCTTGCTCCATGTTGTTATCCAATCATTTTGATATTGTGTATTATATACTTTTTTAATTACGCTAATTATTAAGAAAGGAAATTTTCATTTACATCATATTATTACCTTGTTTATATTATTATTATAATTTCTTATACTGTTAACTCTATGTTAAACAAAAAAAAGGGAAAATTTTCTCCTGGAATACTCAGACTGAAGTGTTTACTTGCATTCAAGTAAGAGAACCATACTTTTTGTTATTTCCAGTGCAGTTTTTATTTGATTATACTGTGGCTTGTGATTAAATTTACATATATTATAAACAAAAATGTTTTATGTACAATATTTCTCATGTTTTGTTGTATTATATTTTGATGTTTGTGTTACGGAATTAACATGTGTATTTGAGTTGAACGTAGGTTTTGTTTCATTTTTTTCTACTTACTACTAATGATTTAATTTGTGCCTTGGAAGACAATTACATTTCATTCTTCACAATTCTGCTTCAAAATGAAGCTTTGACAAATTGTGTTTTTTTAATAGACTGACAAAAATTTAATTAAAGAGCACTTATAACATATTTTTTGGATAGAATACTTGTAATGATTTTTATTAAGATACATGGACATTATTTTAATTGTGGAGGTAAACAATGCCGTATTGCTATATAGGTTTAACTCTGCTCACATTTTTATATGTGATTACAATAAAATGTTTTTTTGAAAAAAAAAAGGTAAAATTTGTATTTCAAAAAAATTGGAACAAAAATGCATATAGTGTAAAGTGAAATTTTAAAAGAGTTTTAGAGAAAAGTATAATCTTTTGTAGGTAATTGTAGCACACTTACCATTTAGGTTGTGCAAATACTGGAAAATGTGCACAGTTTTAAACACTAAAAATGTCTGCATAAAAATTATTATTGTCTTATTACATATTTTTATGATTTCACATAGTAAGAAATGAAAAAAAACGTATGATGGACTAGTATATCTTTAGCAAGCGATCCATAATGAATGTTATAGAATGTTAATTTATTTATCTACATTTTGTATATTATAGTAATATGTAATCATTTTCATTGTTAGCATATCTGAAATACAATTAAAATGAAAAAAAAAATCCTCTAAAAAAAATATATGCATAATATGCCAGTAATATGTTATAAACACTATACATACCTTAGAAATATTGTTAAATTCATTGTATATTTTAATATATTTTCTAGAAATCAAAAAGGTATTTGATTTGTTAAAAAATATTTTCCAAAATATACACACATTATGTTACATACTAATTTTTTCTTTAACCTTTTTTTTAGTGATAATCTTTGAGTAACATTTTTGTGCTTTTCTTTTTTAATATTATTGCATTCTGAAGTGGGCATTCAAGATTAATTGACATTTAATAAATGAGTGTTAGCAAAAAAATATATAATATATATATGTATGTATATTTAACTAAAAGAAATGAAAAACAAGTTTTGAAATAATGGATGTATAATCACATTGAGAGACAATTATCTACTGCTTAAAGGGGTGCACTCACTGAAACTTATTGTGTACAATTCTCGTATAAATTAATTTTCCAAACCCCCCGATATCCACACACACATACACGAAAAGATTTTATTTTTATTTAAGGTGTGGATAAGTGTAAAAAGTTTCAATTTGTAAGTACTGTTGACTCGATTGGTGTGGGTGCTCCTCACGAAAAAAAAAACAATAGCTACTCTGGGTAAACGTAATGTAGCTTCTATTTAGATATTACAAAATACATAATGTGATATAGTTCGCTTGTAAATAATTGTAAGCGATGTTTCATGTTTATATTGCAGCTTGCGAGCAAAATAAACATATATTTACATCATGAAATTGTTATGCTGGTGGTATTAACAATAATATAAAAAAATTGGAATAATAAGTTAGGATATGTGTTTTATATTAAAATAAGGGATATTTATAAATGAATAAGTGATAAAGAAAAAAAGTTATGTAAGACAGTTTAATGCATACAAACTGATGCTCCCTTAGCATTCTGCATTGATCATTTGTCACAATATCAGCTGGCTAAAGAGTGAATGTCAGTGAAGTTAATATAAAAAATAAAGTTAATATATATTGGGCGAAAATGTTTCTGCTGACATCGACTGATTTGAAGATTCCATAATATTAGTGTCAAAACTATTTGTAAGATTCACTCTTAAATAATTTTAGCCTCCATACATGAATTGTTAATATGTACATGTTTTATCTTTGTGTGTAAGTGAGAATACACTTAAGTTAAGTTTCTAATACAGTGCTAAACTTGAAATTTTAATTAATGTAAATTGTTTCGTTGATTTTTTTTTTTTTTTTTTGTGTCTACAAAATATTTGCATTTTTACAAAAACAATTCATTTTCTTAATTTGTTCATTTAATAGACAACACGATATTGTTAATATTTTCAAAATGTGAATAAATTTTTAAGTTTAGCATTGTGTCCCAGCTCTAACGAGAGCAAATGCTGTGTCTTAAAGATTATATATATATTAGTACATATATTATATATGCATTGTACAGATTTTAAATTCATATAAGAATAAAAAACTGGCAGTTATTACTATTATTAATATGTTGTTTTGGTTGTTTTTTCTTTCTGTTGATTTTGGTTCGAATAAAAAACAAAAAAAAGCGTGTGTTTACAAATTTTTGTTCATTTTGTGACATGTGATGTCATCATTGTTTTTATTCATGTCATTAATACAAAAATTTTACTTTTTTAATACGTTCTCCTAAACCATCACCCTGTACCTTCATTCTGTGCGTTTTATTTCTTGAATTTGCTGTTAGAAAATTAATTTGAATTTTCCAAATGCCTGACGTGAAATAATTTTCTCCATTTCAAAATTATCTATTAGTTATGCTTAAAGAATGAACTCTGGGGCGTCGGTAGCTGCAACGGTTAAGGTGTTGACACAGAGCTCATCACTGTAAGGTAAAGATCTTGGGTTCGAATCCAGCAGCCCTGCATTCGAACCTGACTTACAAATGGGCCTTTTTCAAAAACACCGGCACCAGTTACATAAACTCGTTGAAATACCCTCGTTAAAAAATAAATAAATAATCTCATTTTAAGAACTAAGAGATGGAATCTTTTGGCTAAAGCAGTAATAAATTCTTTTATGTATATAAAATAAATTAAATAAATATAATTAATTTTATTTACTTAAATAAATATAAAAAATTTACAAAAATTTTTTTTTTCGGCGGGCTACTTGAGGTCATAGCCCCCAATACACTGGGAGGGCCGATAGGGTACTCGATATTCTGCTATCGGCCTTCTTCTTTACTCATACACCCAAGCATACAACTACATAACTATAAACAAATATATATACAAACAAACACTGTATAGCTACACAACAATAATATATATTATATTTATAGATGAAATAATTAATTTTTAAAAAAGAGTAAAATGTATCCACAGGAAAACTGATAAATACAATTATTCCTTCTCTCCATGAGGTTTGAATCGTTTCATCTAGAACACTCCATACTTATGATTTTGGTATATCAACTGCCCATGTTATCAGGATGACGGTCCAAGCCTACTAAGTGATTTGGTATGAACTTTGCAAACATTTTCAATGTGTATTCTCATCCGTTGAACTTGGTGACAGGGAGGCCGATGAGAGAAAGCATAACATTGCTCATTTAGGTTAGCTCCATTATACACATACATATGAGCTGTTATTTTTGAAAGTGATATGTCCATTAAAAATAATAATAATGGTAAGTTTTGTAAGATATAGACACCTCTCCATATTTATAATTATATATATGCAGGAGTACAATTTTGTAAAATAAAATAATGAATGTGGAATAAGCCCATTCCTAATAATTATAATTATTAACAACTTCTTTGTTGAAATGATTATTGATTATTATGACTTAAGTGTGCATTGCGCTTTAGAAAATATTACTTTGCTAGTTCTAATTTCCTAAAAACAACATCGTTAACAAGATAATGGTATTATTCTGATGAAATGGTGAGAAGTAATTTCAGTGATTTTGTTGATTTTGTTCAGTTAGATTGCAGCATGAGTATTATAATTGTTATTAACCAAGAAAATCATGGTTCAAGATAAATAATATTTTATACAGTTGTTACAATGACTTCACATAAAAGAGACAATTTCATCTGAGTGATGTTGATAAGTAAGAGTAATAAAAATTTTCACAGAAATATTGAAGTTTTTTTTTTATTATTATTATTATTTAATATTTATTACAGAATTAAGACCCATGAATATTAGAAAAAAAAGACGAATTTATGAAGTGGATGAGGAAAGCAGTTTTAGTGATACTAATTCAAGATTGTTACAAACTGAGAAGAGGATTAGAATTTTGGAATTACCTGATTTAACAACTGACGAAAATGACAATAATTTTACATCAAATTATGAAAATAACAATTGGAAAATCAGGAAAATAATAAGGAATAAAAGCGAAAAATATACAAAAACTAATACATTATTCCTGCAATATATTATATACCACCTATTTACCATGGATATTTCATTATGCTAACTGTAAAGAAGAAATAAGTTGAAGATAAGATTTTTTTTATGTTTTGTTATCTTAATGAAGTAATTATATTTTACACTTGTATGCTCATTACCTTTTTAATATAACTGAATTTAGTTTTAAAAAAATCCATTTAAGTGAAGCTAATGTCCTTACAAACATGGACTTAAATTAACCCTTGTTTTTATTTCTTATAATATGTTATTTCTGAAAGTGGTGTAAGTCCATTTGGAGCAAAAAAAATTTTTATTTTTTTTTAAATAATTTTAATAAATTCACTAATTTCATGGTCCGCTTGACCAATTAATTTATTACAATTAATTAAGGTTCTTAGTTGAGATACAAAAGTCAATGGCACGAGCAAGATTCGAACCCACGATCTTCGGCTTGAACCTCGAGGTCACGATAGCTCAAGTGGTCGAGCAGTGGCATATCAAGCCGAAGATCGTGGGTTCAAATCCCGCTCGTGCCATTGACTTTTTTATCTCAACTAAAAACCTTAATTAATTGTAATAATTTTAATAGTTATTACTCCATAGTAAACTTGAAAAGGTGTATAGTGTTAAAAATATTACTCAAATTGATTAATGTTTGCTAATATTTTTAAATTAATACAAATGCAAGCCCTTAAATATTAAGTTACTTGGAGAAATGGACTTATAAGCGCTTACAAATATAAAAGCTCAATTGTTACACATGTGAGCATGATTTATCACAGTAGCTGTGAGAATCGCCCATCGATTTTTTGGTGGTTCGGGGTCAGTCCTCATTGTTATCCATGTTTCTGCTGAAGTTAAGTTCTAGAGGCTGTCAAGATTTCAGCTTACAGTTTTTAAACCTAGACACATTTGCAATTGCTTTGCCCATCTTCTTTAAATGGTAGTTAAGTGTGCAGTGGCTGGTAAAGAGGCCTATAATTTTCTTCAAATTCTCCTGCTGAGAGAGAGAAGATCCTTCACCTTCCGTTTGAAGATATTTATAAATCACCCCTCAGTTAGTTTAGTTACATAATATGTGTAAAGGTAGATGGAAGATTGAAAACTCCACTACCTTGAGTGAATGTTATGTAAATATGTGGTGATTAGTTTTTCGATGATTATTCAGAAATCGTGAGATGCGGTCTGGTGTGATGTAGGTTTCAGAAAAAATGTAATGGTATGTAAATATTTATATAAAAGTGAGTGACAGAGTGAATGGGTTTGGATTAGGAACTGATTGTGTTGGGGTCTGAAGTGATCGGTAACTCCTGGAGCCTAACGTCGGTGGATGGACGGATAAGACCAAGGTCTGACTCCACGCTTCTAACACCCATGGTCGATGATTGTCCTGCTGGATTGCTGTCCGTCATTTATTGTAAATTGCAAAAATATGTGGCCAGCGAGAAGTGATAAGCTCATCTCTGTACTGCTCAGATTTGACCTTATTCAAATTAGTAATATCAAGTTAAAAATTAAAAATGGGCGGGTCCTCCTGTAATTACCGCCGTGGCCTTTTAAATAAAACAAGATAATTGTTGACTGTCGAATCCCGATCGGATTTCACTGAGAGAACGTAAAGAAAAAATTACACGAGAATATGAATAACCCGGGAAAATCTGTCGACAGGTGAAAACTTTGAATATACATAGGTGTTGGACGGGGTGAGTTGTGGTGCGAGCTGCTCCGTTTCTGTAAATATGGCGTGTCACGATTGAGCTTTCGCCCCGTCTCACGGATAATCGGGGTTTTTTTCGGCGGACAACAAACCAAAAAGGAAATTTGTACAAAATGGTGAGTTTCGCACAAAATTGTTTAATAAACTGAAAACACATTTTATCATTGACCTCTGTAATTCGACCGTGAAGTACCAGGCTGTCCTCTCCCACGAATTGACAATAAGAACAAATAAAAAACCTTTATCTTAATTTCGTTTATTTATGTATTTTTTTAAATATTATTTTTGTTTATTTTATTTTATTTTTATCAACAAAAATGTGTCGAACAGGGAAGGAGGAAAGTATGGAGTATTGTAATGAATTGAAACATCAATGGCGAGGTTATTCTAAGGTATTTCAGACTCATTCATATTTTCGTCACATCCAGTTTATTTATTTTTCTGTTCATGTATGTTTTTTTTTTTTTCTAACGTAATTAATTTTTTTTAACAATTAACAGTTACATGTACTAATTTTTTTCATAGTGAATGAAATGTTTGGGTTGACAAGAGATGCTAACTTTTTCTGGGAGAGAATAGGAACGCTTAGGTCACTGTTTAACATATTTTTTTGTGTAAATAATTAAATAAATATCTGTGAATATGTGATAAGGTTTTCATTGTATTTTTAGTCGGTTTAAATATAGTTAAGTGTAAATTTCTATAAATACATTTGTACTCACATATGTTTTCATTAAGGCTGAAATTAGTCAACGATGACATTGTTTTTATATCTTAGATTGCAATTAAATCAATTAAAAAATATTTATTACTTGAATTGGGAGCAACTGGTTGTATATATAACGTAAAATTGTACGAATTAGTCATATCAATTTGTTATGCAATCGTGACAAAAGGATATAATAAATTTGACAAACTTTTCAAAGGGATGTACAGAACAAATTTGGCTTTGTTATTTAAATGAAGGCTTCATTAAAGACAATTTTAAATCAGACTTTAGTACTAATACTTAAACAAGTATGTTCTACTACATTTAGTCTGTTTGAAGCTTGTAATGAAAGAAAAAGCTAACCCTTCTTCTAAATCAGCGATTCCCCAAACTTTTTCTGTGTCCGGGCCCTTATTATATCAGAATTTTTCCGCAGCGCCCCAAGTCAAAACAATGGTCTATCTCAGCATGAACTTTATGATAATAAATCTTTTTATGTAAGGTTTTGATTGAAATGAAAAAGTTAGTGTCACGAGAAGGATTCAAACCCCCATCCTTCGGTCAATATGCTGCGGCTCTAACCACTTGAGCTAGCGTGACTTCGATGCACTCAGACATCAACTCCTCAGCCTACAACCTTTCGACTTTTCCATCCTTTTTCACATTTTTCATTCCAACCAAAACCTTACATAAAAAGATTAATTAATTGAAAGAATTAATTTGGTGAATCAGACCATTAAATGTAATGGATTTTTGATAATAGTAGTAATTCGTTTGCAATTGACGACTCATGAAAAGCATTGATATATCTAAACCCTTTTTTTGTCTTTTTTAATAAATAATGAAAACTTCAGACTTTCTTGTGAAATTGAAAAACTGAAAGACTTGAAAAGCAATTACACACTTATTAGCAAAAATATAAAAGCGAATACATTTTTTATTTTTAAGCTATAATATAAAATACATAATTGCAGCTGTCTCATTATTATCCACATTGAAATTGGATACCCACCAGGGCCCTTGTTTTTCGGGTTTTATAAAGAGGTGTTTAGTTTTTTTATAAATGTAAAAATAATAATGTTTTTTACAGATAATTTTCATGACACCCCTATAGCACAGCAGCACTCAGTTTGGGAATCTCTGTTCTAAAGGAAAGAATAGATTCTACCCAATATAAAATATGCCTGGGCATTGTTACATTATTTAAAAAACCATTTCAGTTCGTAGTCCGATTGACCAATTAACATTTTTCAATTAATTAATATTTATGAAAGGTGTTGGTTAAGATAAAAAAAAGGCAGTGTCACAAGTGGGATTCGAACCCACGACCTTCGGCTAAATACTCCGCTACTCTACCACTTGAGCTATCGTGACTTCGATCTGTTCGGACATTAATGTTCCCACCTCAACCTAACCTCTTGAATTTTCCCTCCTTTTTGCCATTTTTCAAATATCGTGTAATTCTCGGCGACAAATGAAATGACCACTGAGAGCTTTCGTGAAGATATACTTCAGTTTATCTCAACCAATACCTTTCATAAATATTAATTAATTGAAAAAAGTTAATTGGTCAATCGGACCACGAACTGTAATGGATTTAATAATAAATTGAGGTATATCTTCACTAAATCTCTCCATAGCCATTTCATTCAGGTCGGGGATTCGAATCCCGCTCGTGACACTGACTTGTTTATCTCGATCAATACCTTTCATAAATATTATTTAAAAAAACAAGTTGGAAATATTAGATATACATAAGCTTAAGTAAATCTTAAAATTAAAGGAATTAGTACTATCAATTTGTTATGCAAGTAGTATATGAAAATTTTTCCAAACTTTTCAAAGGGATGGACAAAACAAATTTGGTTTTGTTGTTATTTAAATGAAGGTTTTTTCTCAGCAAGAAGTCATAAAAGCAAAGTAATTCCTGTTGTACAGGAGGGCCATTGAGGGTCAGAACACTACAATTTTCTCCATATTATTTACAATTAAAAATCCTTCGGCTATGATGGCATTTGAACCCAGGACTGCAGGAATAAAAAAAGAAAGAAACTTTAATCCCTCTTCAAGAGGAAAGAATAAATTCTACCCCACAGAAAATATGGCTGGGCTTTACTATATAATATCAATATATCAAATTTAAATATATGATATGCTTGATCTTCAATATATTGTAAATTAAATGGATCAGTAATATAAATTTTTTAAACATGACATTGATGGATTCACATTTATTTTAATCATTTTAATTAATTGTACTTTTTATCTAAGGTTGAGATAAAAAGTTAGTGTCACAAGCAGGATTCAAACCCTGCGAATCCCTCTCGAGATACTAACTTTTTCATCTGAAACAAGACCCTAGATAAAATGTATAATTAATTAAAATAATTAATACGGTCAGTGTGACTACTAAACATATATGGATTTATTTTAATCTGTTTGCCAACGACTTGTCCATATTTTGTCATTCCTGTATGGGTGCTCAAAGAATGTTGACAATTTTGAATGGCTACTGTGGAAATAGCACGATTTTAGTTAATATCTCAAAGAAAAAAATAGTTCGGTTTGCCAAGGGCTCTAGTAAGCATTTGTATTCGACGAGCAAACATTGAAGTCTGTCAAGAATAATAAATACTTCAATTAATTATTCTTTTTATGTAAGGTCTTAGTCGAGATGAAAAAGTCCGTGTCGACAATTAAGAAAACTTCAGTACGTTAACTTTGTTGAGTAATGATTATTTGGAGATCAGAAAATTTTCAAATAATCATTAACTAACGGTCACTAAACATCACACATTTGATGAGTAAGTTCTACTACATTTAGTCAGTATGAAAAAAAGAAACTAATCCTTCTTCTAGAGAAAAGACTGAATTCTACCTAACAAAAAACATGGCTGGGGTTTGTTATATCATTTTAAATAGTAAATTGGAAATGTTAGATATACATGATCCTAAGTATATTGTAAAAGTAAAGGAATAAGTAATTCCAATTTGTTATGCAATCATGACAGGAGAAAATGATAAATTTTCTTCATTTTTAGGGATGGACTGAATAAATTTGGTTTTGTTATTTAAATAAAGGCTTCAAGAAGACAGTTCAAAAAAAAAAAAAAAAAAAATGATTTGCAACATTTCATCTACGAAAAATTGTTCTACGCAATAGAAAATATGACTGGGCTTTACATTTTAATTTCAAAATGCATGTTTGAAATATTAGATATGTTTGGATCTTTAGTTTATTATATTATATATTATTTATTATTATATTAAGGTTTATTACAAAATAACTTTTAAAAAATCTTTTATCTTATTATGACTGTAAAATTAAAAATAAATACTTATAAAATGATTATTTAAAGGTGAAATATTTCATGAAGTTTTCTGGCATCGTTACTTATAACATAATTAAGATAATCATTTAATTAGGGTTACAAAAATAAAGAAAATCTACTGTGTTCTAGAACTTGATTTATGAAACTTATACGAGAATGCTTTACTGCATTAGCATAGAGAGAAAAACGAAACTTTCAGGCTGTTTATCCATGGGGAAAATGATTTTATGTAGCCAACAAGGAAAATAATTTCAGAACACAACTTATTAATAAGTGTTGTTTGTCGATTTTAAAGAGTAAAGAAAGATTGGTATCTTATAAGGAAATCTGAAAGTAAAAATTGAAAAAAGTCATTGAATTATGTCTTAAAGTTTGTCACATATAAATTATGTATATAAATTTTTTTCAATGCTATTCACTTGTGTAGATTGGCGCTATACTAATTTCAGTTTACAAACTATTTTGCTAAAACAGTAATATAAAAAAATATAGACACACTGAACATGATGAGTGAAACACGTCAGACAGACCAAAACAGCATGGATAGACAAAGCAAAATAATCTGTAATGACAAAATTATATGTTCACCACCTCACAGACCCCTTAAGCAATTTCTCATATTAAATGTTCAAGAAGCATGGGAATCGTGAAAACTTGAATGACTGGACTTTGTGATCGACTAGTGTTGATCAACCAGCATTCAGATTTTTGTTGATTGTCTAAACTTGATTAAGATAAGAAGCATCCAGAACAGAAAAATTCTGAGTTACTAATGTTATTCAGGATTTTGTACGACATTAAATTTTGCAAGATTAACTAAGGTTAGAGTTTATTTTTAACTAACAAATAAAATAATGTCATAAATTAAAAATGAATGAGTTTCCCTGGAAATGATCGCTTTGGCCTTTTAAATAATCATGAATAATCTGGATCTTGGTATGGCCTAGATGATAAAACAAATAGTTATCTGTCAAGCTTTCGGCCTATTTTAAGGTGATCATCAGGGCAAAACAATCTTAAAGAAGTGTACAAATTGATATCATTAATTTTTTTAATAACAAAAGTTTTCAAATTTCTTTGAACATAGCCTGAGTTTCAATACTGCCAAGGACTGCAACATAAGAATTTAATCGTCAGTTTGTAGACATCTTTAAGATTGTATAGCCCTGATGATGACCTTAAAATAGGTCGAAAGGTTGGCAGATAACAACTGAATTTTTTTTTTCATTCACACCATACCAAGATCCAGATTATTTGTGAATAAAAGTGGTCGATATAACTAACACTAAACTTTTAAATAATACAAGATAATTGCTTACTGTCAAATCCTGGTTGGATTTCACTGAGAAAGTTTAAAGAAAAAATACATGAGATGAAGACAGTTCATCAAGTTATTTGCACATGCCTTGTTTTGCAAGTCGGACTAATAATGTTATGTACGTCTGTATAAAATTCAACTGTTGTTTTGGTTAAAATCTGAATCTTGAGTACTAGTTTAAACAAACGTTTGTTTAATTCACTTACGGCTATTTTAAAACAGAACAAGGTGCTGCCATAATGATAATAATCTGGAAAATTGACGTTATAATCTATTCGCTACGCAAAGTGCATGCAAATTTGTAGTTTATTGCCAAGCTTAAGTTGAAACTAACTAAGGAGAATAGATTAGACTAATAATAAAAATTGCTAACAGTAATAAATCATTTAAAAAATATTCTAATCTATTTTATATAAGTAAGGGTTGGATTATTCATAACCTGAGTAATTTGACCCAAAATTACAAATACAATTTTAAATTATTGGCCCAAAAATTTTTTTAAATTAATGTTTTCAATAAGCTATTTAAATTGGCATTTCAAACATCTGATTGTTTAACAGGAAAGAACAATATTATGTTTTTGTATTATTTTTTATATTATTATTATTGTTATTTTTTAAATAAAATTTTAGTAATAAATAAGTAGATTTACAGGCTTACATTATCCCTTTGTGATAAAAGATTAATATGAGTAAATCTGTTGTTGTTTTTGTCAAGGTGGTTAAAGATCCTTTTACACTGTGTCCGTAAAGTACAAATTTCATAATAAAAGTTAATAAACACATTTTCCAAAAAAAATCTAAACAAATCGCCGTCAGGAATAAGCCGACAGTGTTTAGGTTTTACAAAATTATCAATTTGCCTTGTCTCTTATCTTATAATGTATTTAGTTTCACAGTGGAATTAGCAATCAACACGAACAGACTGGCACTGGTTAATTATTCAGTTTGGTACTAAATATAGAACTTTATATCAAATACCCGTTCAGTGTGGCGATTGTAGTGTGTTATTGTATTCTAGTAAAGTTCAATTCTTAACTTATGGCCGTAATGTTACCGCTAAAGAGATTAATTCTGAACAATCGTGGCTTCAATTATACAGTATGTAAATGTAAAATCAATTTTAATTTAATGCATAGTTGTATAGTGTGTTTAAGGATAAATGAATCATTAGTTAATGAAATTTATGATTCACTGAAATAAAATTCATGTTTTTCACAACAATTTGGATAAATATTTACTTTTCTTCTAAACTTTTTAATGCTTTTATATATATATTAATTTCTGCAATTATTTTAATTTTAATTATGAATGAAGTAAATAATAATAATAATTGCTTTTATTACTAAAAAACAATAATAGTATTAGAACAAAAATGAAATTGGCAAGTGCTATCTTTTTACCCCTTGTCTACAATTTGCTAAAAAATTAATGTAATCTGATTGTTATAAACTTAGTGACAAATCAGCCATGATCATGCCGTAGTCATTAATTCATTTTTCTGTTATTATTATTTTTTATGCCCAATTTATTGCATAACAAAATACTGGGTAGTGGGTTTGTGAATGACTCTAGTCCTCTTTCATTCATTGTAGAAAACAAAATAATGTCAATGGGTTTGTGGTTGGACTATTTTCTTATTTTAACTATCGTAGTTATAAATTGTTGTAAAGTTGCCAGGCTGAATTGTTGAGGTGTCATTTTCTGCTGGTTAGAAAAAATCGAATGCGACTGCAAATATTTGTCAAAGTTTGTCATGAACAAATGAATAATTTAAAAAAATACCTTGGACTATATTATTTGACTTCTTTGTCATCAAACAGTAAACTGAACTGATAATTCATCCTGCTTTCCAATTCTGCATTTTATAACTTGGCTGGCTCTTTTGATAATTAAAATAAACAAAAAATCTGGAAATCTTCCCAAATAAACGTAAATAAACATGAAATAATTATTTAAAAAAAATTAAGTTGGCCTGATAGTATTAGTGGGCCGAGGATTAAAAATATCTAACTGATTTGCATACTAAATGTTAATTTATTCATTTCGGATACATGGTTTTAAAAAATAAAAAATTAGACTTGACCACTTGTTTAATACTGCTTTTGAATTTCTGTAAGTTTCCAAAGAAAAATTTGACTTCTTTCCACAATTGAAAGTTGTTATTTCACTTGAAAAAAAAAGAAAAGTTTTTGACCTTTGATACGATTTGTACCATCGATTGTCATGTTTAAGAAATATTTGTTGAATGTTCACTTGGTGATCCTTGAAGGACCTACTTTTTCTTTACAAAACAATTGATATGTAACAGCGGTGCTTATTATGTAATGATAAGGGGAGGGGGGACTTTTTAAATATTGTATCACATTCCATTTAAAATATGTAAATTAATGTAATTGATAACTTTTTACAAACAGTCATTTGAGTGAGTATTCAGTACAAATTTATTCTGTATATCGATGCTTGCGTTTAAATACAGTAATAATTTAATTTGACAAGAGAGTTGACCAGACAAAGCCATTTAACATTAAGGCTCTCCCAGTTATGTAACTTTCTACTAGCAATCGAAAATGTGAGGGTGCATCGTCAAATTTTAAAGCGAAATATCCGAACTATGTGAACTTTCTTCCATTCGGATATTCTATTTTGTCAGTTGTTGATTAATTAAATGTTTTCTATCCCAGCATTGTTTACCCCATGGAACATGGAAAAGCATCCACTTAAAGGCAATGCGTCTATTCCTCTGAACGTACCCACAAGTTATCAAGCAGTTGGTGGTGATAAGGTAGGATGTTCGACTGCATGTTCTAAATTTTATTATTATTTTTTGGTTCAAAAGCTTCTGTTTAATTATTTCTGGTTTGTTTACTAAACATTAGCTAATTTTGTTGTTGTTTGGGAGTTGTATATCAATAGTTTGTGCATTATTCAATTTAGAATTTAGTTATGAATACTTGATTATTTGTCAAAACTGGTGTATTGTTATATTAATTTAAAAGGGGCAAAAAAAATTTCTACCAAAGTCCTAAATCTGTTAAGGAAATAAATTATCTGGGTTATAAAGTAGAAGTATCCTAACAAAAAGCAGAATTGAAAATTTAAATAAAAGATCTTAGCTTCTATTTTATTTGATTTTTTTCTCGTTTACTTGTAATAAATTTTATATTCTTTTTTATAGTCCTTACTTCTTGGTTTAAAAATGTCACTTATCTCTTTCATTATTTTCAACATATGCCAATTGTGCTTAAATAAATTAATTCTGGGAGTGCATCAGGTATCTGTTTCTTTTTTTTTTTTTTTTTTTTTTTTAGGTATCTAACGGCAAAACCCATACAACTTCCCTGAGTTCAGATGAGGATATGATCGATATTGCTACATCTGGAACAATGACTGAACGCATTATACAAGAAGAACTAAGGTCTGCGGCTCACTGTGAGTGTTTCCTTAATACATTTGGCGTTATTTTAATCGGATTCAAACAACCCTACTTCCTTCCCACTCATTCAAAATCAAACATAAACAAAAACATTAATGTTTCACTAACTCTCTCAACATGACACACAACCGTGACACATCTACATAGAAAACACTTTGAGTGAGTGTTTAGTAAACCTAAAATTTCTGTACTGTGTACATCATCATTGTATAAATTCATATTTTATATGTACTTGTATAATTTAAACAATGTTTTTACCCAGCCCTGAAGATGATCTCAATAAAGATCGAAACATTGGCATGATAAAGAAAATGTTTTTCTAAACCATAAACATTTAGCGGTCATTATTGACCTATTTCATCTAATTATGCTTTTTATCCAAAGTCTTGTGTAGATGAAAAAGTTAGTGCCACGAGCATTTTTCTACACCTCCATCACATCAGACCGCATTTCACAATCTCTAAATAATAATTGTTTTTGAACATTCACAGGATGTTATATGTAGGCTTCTTCTTCCAAGTGTGATTCAGTTGGAAGAAACCAGAAAGTTAATTCCGTTATGAATTTTTGAATATTTCAAAGCGTGTAGTATATGTGCTTTTGTTTTTTTTTTATACTCAAAGGCAAAAAAAAGAAAGGAAACTTGTATTTATTTGTTTATTTTCCATAATAACTAGGTATAAAGATTAATAGTCGACTTAAAGCATAAACACAACATTAATAACTTGTTTAACTTTATAGTGTTATTATTCATTTTGCACTCTTCAGATTAAAAATATAAAAAAATCAGTTTAATTTCATTTTTTCCAAAACCATTTTGTCAAGTAAGTTAATTTGTTTTTTAAATTATTTTCTTTGATAAAACAAATTTGAGTAAAAAATTAATTATTATTCTTTTTTACTTAAAAGTATGGTTTTAAGTTGAGATCTCACCTGGGCAAATGCTGGCCCAAGTTGTGGCTGTGCCGTACTCTACTATCCATGTTGGTCTACAGCAGTTTAGATCCACTGGATCAAAGAGAAGGTAGTAGTTGACCATGATGCTTGACCATGAAGGTTGAGCTCGAAAACAGTCAGAAGGCTTCGTGAGAATAGCATCTCTAGATGTCCTGCATCAGGTTCTCTGCTACTGGAGAGGCATAGAGCAACTATTTACAAATCTCACTTGGAAATGTGAACAATGGGGGGCTGTTATACTGCAGATGAGTGTTTGGTTTGTGACGATCAGATGACCAGGAACGCTTTGCTCCATGTGCTACATGCAAATAACAGCCTTTTCAAAGTCCGTCAATTATAGTATGGGATGGAATCAAAGTCCATGCCTGTACTGAACTGACATTGTTAGACATTGTTCACCTCCAACAAGCATTGAACAGCTCTAACCACTGTAGTTTGAAGAATACTTAATAAGGAGGGGCGTCGGTGGCCACAACGGTTTAGGCGTTAGCACGGCGCTCATCACTGTAAGGTAAAGTTCCTGGGTTCGAATCCAGCGGCCTGCATTCGACCCGATTTCACCCCGAGGGTTGATATGACCTCTGCTGTTGCGAACCCTCGTTAAAAAAAACAAAAAAACATTCAATTATTTACTCAATGCCTAGGAGACCTAAAGACCTCCGAGAGCCAAGAGGAGGTAATATGCGTTATTAAGACTAAAACTAGGTAATAAATTGTCAGTTAATTTTCAATCTATAACAAAATGATTTTCCGGTGTTTTGGTGAATTTTCTTTCAAACCATCATAATTAAATAATTTTTATTAAAACTCATGAAATTCTGATCTTGATGAATTTGGATTACATTAAAATAAATATATTGTAATTATTAATATAGCGATAAAAAAAAACTGTAGTTGAAAATAAACAACAAAATACGAGTTGGTTTTTTTTTTGTCTTTGAGTAATATTGACACAAATTAAAATCTTCAAATAAAGTTTAAGGGCTTCTTCGTGCTTATTTCTAATTTAATATTATTAATACATATATATTTTAATATATTGTATGAGTTAAATAAAACAAGCCCCAGTGTGAATCGATGTGTGTGACAAGAAATTGTATTCTATGGCTAAACTGTTGTGTTCACCAAGTAATTTTACATCCAGGAAAACACTTAATTAAAAGGCGATAACATAAAAAGAGATAATATTGAGTACATAATAAACGGTTATGTAACATTAATAACAGCTGTAATTTTATTTCAAGGTGGTGTCACATTTGCCGGAATGCAGGGTGAGTTTAGGCTTTCGAGTTCGAACGTCTCGGTATTTCTATTCACAATCTAAGCTTTATTGCACAGTAAAGTTAGTCGTGTGTTATGAAATAGATAGAAGTAGTTTTGTGTCTATTTGTTTTCATGTTGAATAAGCATGTCGTTTTGATTTGTTGTGTTCAAACTTTTTATCACATGTGGATTTTGATAAACGTTCTCACTAACATTTTGTATATCTCCTCTTACTATTGAAAACTGTTGTCAATGAGTATCAATTTGTTTATTTATTTTCTGTTTATTAATAGATAACGACTATTATGAAAAAAATTATAGTTTGATTATCTCTAATCATCTTGGTCACCTATTCCTATTTTTGGTAATTTCATTCAACATTTCACAAACATATCAGTATCTTTTTGTCTTAAAAAAGCCGAGTGGAGATAGCAATATATTGACACTTGTCAGACAGATCAAACAAACATCTCATTTGCAACACGATGTTTCAACATTCAAATATTTATTCTAAATTACAGTTAGACTAAAAGACGTTTAATTCAATACAAATACTCTTTAGTATGCTTCTACACATTTTATTTACTGATCTAATACAATTTCTTGTTGAATGTGTATTCTATTGTTTAGTATAATTGAAGAATTATTTTAAATTAGTTCACCTCAATTTTCTGTTTAGATTATTGTAAATTAGTTTACCTCAATTTTTTGTTTTGTCTAAAGTATTAATCTGCAAATCATATGCAATACTGTTTACAAATTAATAATAGTTAAATTAAGTTAAATTAATGTTTTATTCATTATTAATTTAACTATTATTAATTTGTGAACTGAAATAGCATAGTAAAAGGGACCTTGATGGTGATGACTAAATCTGTGAGGATACTAGGTTTGCCAAGCACAACAGCCTTCTAGCATGTACTTTTTCCTAGTTCTATAGTTCAGGGAAAGTACTTGCTCCTTCAATCAGAATGTTCACCCTTTGGTGAGAACGCCATTAAATAGACAGTGATTTTTTACAATTCTGGCAATTTTGAGTTTAATTAAAAATTAATTAAGGTTTTTAGTTGAGATGAAAAAAGCTAATGGCACTAGAGGGATTCGAACCCACGACCTTCGGCTAGATACGCCACTGCTCTACCACCTGAGCTATCGTGGCCTCGATCTACTCGGACATCAACTCCCCATCTCAGAGCAGCGGCGTATCTAGCCGAAGGTCGTGGGTTCAAATCCCTCTCGTGCCATTAGCTTTTTTCATCTCAACTAAAAACCTTAATTAATTGTAATGTATTAATTGGTCAAGCGGACCACGAAATTAGTGAATTTAATTAAAAAGTAAAAAAAAAGGAAAGTATTTAATAATTGCGTCTTGTTGTTGGTGTTTTCTTTTTCTTTGCTTTTTTACCTGTAACACCTTAGCTGATCTCCCTCTATTCTTCAACATCACTCCTTGTGAGACAGTTAAATTTTGCATCTTGCGTTCCAGTCGATTCTTTGATTTTCCAATCCTCCTCTTTTATATCGGTCCCACAAACAAGGCTGGAGGGAAGAAAAAGCAAATTGGCGAGGTCGAGTAGCCAAAGGGGGTGGGTCGTGATCTCAGGATGTCCGATCAACGCATGAACCTCCCATAATTCCTAGGAGCTCCTACGACGCAGCTCTCCAGTCTCATTGTCAATGTTCTCAGATATAGGGGTGCAAAAGCCCACCTGGTTGACATTACCCCAAATTTATTGTGACCCTAGCTTAATGAACCGTCTCCTCAATGAGGACTTTCCTATAATAACTTACCATTTTGTTATTCATTAGTGATATTCGGTTGTGTTTTTACACCCTCTAGGTTTTTAGAAACATTTGTTTCTTACTGAGTTAGCGATTTATCACCAAACATAAAAAAAGAAGTATACAATTTCTTACAGACATGTCAAATTTTTATTATTTGTTTTAATATTGTATGATCTGTGAAAAATCAATGGGTCTTTAACAATATTGTTCATTTAAACAATTTTCTTAATAATTTTCATCTTTAGTCTTGGTTTTCTTCTATAGAATAGAATTTATTTGTTAGTCATTTTGCTTACCTAACTTTATAAAAAGTTATTATTGTGTTTATTTTCTCCGTAATGCTTCTTAGTAATTAGTTTCCAATTTTTGTTTTTGTTATAGGTGCATGAAATTTAGAAAAAAGATAATTTTAAACAAATTTAAAAGTAGAAAGCGTGTAAATGTAAAATAAGTGATTTACCTTTTATCGTTGTTTTGTAGAACAATGATTTTTCTCCCATAGATATATTTGTATGTAGTGAATTTTATGTTTTAAAATTGTATAAGGTATTCGAATAGATTACTTTCCTGGCTCTTTTACTTTTTAGAGTGGTTTGTTATTTGTCTTGTTATTTAAAATTAAACAAATCATTTTAGATTCTGATGAGATACCTGGAATTGGTCAATATGATGATTTTCACACTATCGATTGGCAAAGGGACATTGCCAAAGATCGTATGCGACATCGGTATATCAAGAAAAAGAAGCAAAAATCAATTTTAGACCTCGTCCGTGGGGCACACGATGCCTGGTCGGGATGGCTCTGTGTCCTCTTAGTAGGCCTCGTGACAGGTTGGGTGGCCGGAGTCATCGACATCGGTGCTTCATGGATGTCCGACCTTAAGTACGGCCTTTGCCCACAGGCCTTCTGGCTCAATCAAGAACAGTGCTGTTGGTCGTCCACTGAAACTTCTATTGAAGATAAAGGAAATTGTTCCCAAGTAACTAACCAGAAATTAAAACTGTTTTCAGGGTGTGTATGTGGATTGGTTTTTACTGTTGTGTTTCTAGTGGGTCATGTGGTCAGAGTTAATCGCACAAAGGAGGGAAGGTGCAGGCGCTTATATCATCTCCTACATATTTTACATCGCCTGGGCTTTGATGTTTGCATCCTTGGCTGCAGGATTGGTCAGGATGTTTGCACCTTACGCTTGTGGTTCTGGTATACCTGAGGTATGTAAAATCTATAAAAATAAAAAAAATGCTTCTAAAAACTATTTTACTTGTAAATTTTATGAAATACTTCATTGAGAATTTTTTTAAAAGTTTTTTCCTCTACTTGCCATTTTTTGTAAAAACAATTTTTTTTTAAATTAAATTTATTTATTAAAACTGGTCTTATTAGACCAACCATTAATTTTACAATAATATTATAGAATAAATAAATGTTTACATTCTTATAAACCCATTGGTACAATAAGATTTACATTTCTCTATTCAGTATTCATTTTTAACTACACAAGTTCATGCGGCTTTGTTCTTTTTAATCTTCTGAGCATGTTTCGGTTATGTAAGAGTTTGGTCCCTTCCATGTCAATCTCAGTATTTCCGCCGTGACTTCAGGGATGTTAAGATCCCTATGTAAGTCCTTATTCCTTACGCACCAAGGTGCATTGACCATGTTACGTAAGATTTTATTTTGGAGTGTTTGTATGATTTTGGTATTGCTGTTTGGTACAACCCCATAGTTGAATACCATATGTCCACATAGGCTTTATGACTTGTTTATATAATAATATTTTATTTTGTATAGCAAGTTTGGAGCCACATCCTATCAACCAGTATAGTTGTTAAACCTATTGCAGTCCTTTTTTTCTTCATATGTTCTTGCCATCTCAGCTTGGCATCTAAGGTCATTCCCAGATATTTAGCTGTATTGCTGTATGGCAGGGGTCGGCAATCTTTTTCAGACGGCCGGCCATTTTCAAAATAAAATTTTTTATGCGGGCCGCACATTCAAATGTAACTTAAATAGTGCTTTTATATCATATACGAGTATAAATATTATTAAAAATAAATATAGAAAAAATTTATTTTTTATTGGCATGCTATAATTACAATAATGCCAGAGAACAAAAATTTTACAATTCTTGAAAGGGAAAAAAAAGAAAATACAATTCCAATTACATATGTATAAATATGTAAATATAAAATATTAAGGAAAATAGTTTATCTTTCATTTTATTCATTCATTAAAATTCAATGTGCTTTTTGTTCTTGAATATTGTTTGATAATTCGTTTAAGTCCGGTTGTGTTTGGGGTACTGAGATCCTCAACAAGTTTTGTAAATTTTCATCCATCAACCTCGTTCTATATTTTGATTTTATGAAATTCATTCTTGAAAATGTTTGTTCGCATAAATAGGTGCTTGAAAAAATACAAATCATTGATTTTGAAAAATTTCTTAAATTGGGAAATTTTGTTTTCTGGTAGATTTGAATAAAATGCAATTAAATTATTATCATCAAAATTATTTTTATATACATTGTTAGATTGCAAATCAATTAACTCTAGTTGTAAATTGACTGGTGCTTTTACAATATCAAATTTTAAAGGATTTGCAAATATTAATATGTCCATTTCTTTTGCATAAAAATCTTGAACCCGATGATGAAAATTTTCATGCAGTACTTTTAATGACTCAATAAAAATATTCGAAGGGACACTGTTTGTCGTTTTTGGTTAAAAATGATTGCAAAGTAGGACAAACAATAATTATTCTTTTCAAGTTGAGAAATAAACAATTTTATTTTAAGGTGAAAACTTTTGATTTCTGTAAATAGCTCGTCGATTAACTTTCCTTTGCCTTGTAGTGTTATATTTAATTTATTGAGGTAAGTTGTAATGTCCACAAAAAAAGCTAACTTGCTTATCCATTTAAAATTTGATAATTCTGGTTTATTTTTTCCTTTTTCTGTCAAAAACATTTCAATCTCGTCTATCAACTTGAAAAATCTTTTTAAAACTTTCCCACAGCTGAGCCATCTTACTTCAGAAAAATAAATGATATCTTCATATTCTGGGTCAATTTCATTTAAGAAATTCCGGAATGTTCGATGGTTCATACCATTTTTGTGAATATAATTGATGGACTTTACTACAATATTCATAACATTTTTCAAATTTACAACTTTTGCGCAAAGTGCATGTTGATGGATAATACAATGAAGTTGTAGAGGAGGCTGTGTAATATATAATTCTTTCAATTTTTTATTAATCATGCCTACCAAACCAATATTGTGACCAGTCATGTTCTTTGCACCGTCAGTTGTCACATTTTTTAATTTTTCCCACTTGAGATCGTACATATTGAAAACATCTAATAGTTGCAAAAATATGTCTTCACCTCTCGTATTCCCATGGAGGCTTTTTAATGCAGCAAGTTCTTCTGTTACACAAAATTGTTTATCAATTCCATGGATAAAAATCAACAATTGAGCGGTGCTAGTCATACCGTTGCTTTCATCAAGTGCTAGTGAAAAATACTCAAAATGTGAAGAATTTTCTTTTAATTTATTAAACATATTAGTTGATATATTTTCAATACATCGAACTACTGTACGTGCAGACAAACAAATATCTTCAAATTTTTTAATTTTTTCCGGACAAATTTCGTTAACAGCAGCCAAAATACATTTTTTAATGAACTCTCCATCCGTAAATGGTTTGTTATGTTCAGCAATTAATTTCAAAATATGTAAGGACATTTTGACCAATGCTGAACAATCGGCCACATTTCGGCACGCTCACGCTCTAAGTTTGTTGATTGTTCCTAAAATTATATTGGGCTTTGGCGGGCTGCGCAACAAGTTGCAAAGGGTCGCAGGTTGCCGACCCCTGCTGTATGGTATAGTAGTTTCATCGATTGTGAGCGACGGAACATGGTCCACCTTTTTGTTTGTAAATATTAGATGAACTGATTTATGCTGATTTAGCTTGATTTTCCATTTTTTTGTCCATTCGTTTATCTTATTACATCCATTTTGGAGGATTTTAGTTGAATGGGTGATAGTCCTAGTGATATCACTGCTGTGTCAACTGCAAACATAGCAATTTTAACTCCATCTATTTTCGGAATAGTTATAACAAGTAAAGCAGTGGACCTAATAGGCTACCTTGTGGCACTCCTGCATTTATTGTTTTTAATTTTGAATATTGATCTTCTTGTTTGACTCTAAACAGTCTGTCAGTTAGGTTTGTAAAAAAACGATTTCATATTTAATACTCACATGGATAATATTAAAATGTTAAGAATATGCCTTCTAAAATTGTTTAGAACAATTTTTTTTTTATGTTACAGATTAAAACTATACTCAGTGGTTTCATTATTAGAAGCTATCTTGGAAAATGGACCCTTATAATAAAGTCAGTTGGCATTATGTTGGCCGTTTCCGCTGGCTTGAGCTTGGGCAAAGAAGGCCCAATGGTCCACATCGCATGTTGTATCGGTAGAATATTAATTTCAAAATTTTGTAATTTATAAATTTCTACGAATACAATTAGAATATTTTTCTAGGAAACATTTTTTCTTATCTATTTCCTAAGTACGGAAGAAACGAGGCGAAGAAAAGAGAGATTCTTTCTGCTGCCGCCGCAGCGGGAGTGTCAGTCGCCTTTGGCGCACCAATCGGAGGTGTACTTTTTAGTTTAGAGGAGGTATGTTTAAATTGAACAAGTTAAAATAATTATTGTAAAAAATTGACCTGGAATGTTTTATAGGTCAGCTACTACTTCCCTCTTAAAACCCTTTGGAGATCTTTTTTCTGCGCGTTGGTCGCCGCTTTTGTCCTTCGTTCCATTAATCCGTTTGGAAATGAACATTCTGTCTTGTTTTATGTTGAATACAACAAGCCATGGATATTCTTTGAACTTGTTCCGTTTGTGGCACTCGGTATCATAGGGGTAAGTAGAGTCGAATTGATCTTTACTCTCCAAACTATTTTCTTAATCGATTACTCTTATATTTTAGGGTGTGATAGCTACAATATTCATTAAAGCAAACATATGGTGGTGCCATTATCGTAAGACATCACGCCTTGGACAATATCCTGTGACAGAAGTACTAGTTGTCACAGCTGTAACTGCTGTGATAGCCTATCCCAACCCTTTTACGAGAATGAGTACGAGCCAGTTGATTTATCTTTTATTTAGCCAGTGTGGAGCTTCTCCAGCTGATGGGCTTTGGTGAGTTATTTAATATAATTGTATTATCAAAGATAATTCTTAACTTTGCGATTGGTTTTAGTGATTACACTGCTTCTGGGCATAGTCCGACTGAAGGTGTTTTAGTCGGTGCTCCAGGTCCAGGAGTTTACAAAGCAGTTTGGCTCCTAGTCCTCGCCCTAATATTCAAACTTGTGACAACAGTTTTTACTTTTGGCATGAAGGTCAGTTCTGTTACATTGCTACTCTTTATATTTAAAATTCACGTTAATAAATGCTAAACAATTAAATCTTATAGACTTGGTCAGGTGATAATTATTAAGTGTGCAAAATTTTTTTCAGTTTTTGGGAACAAAGTCAAACCTTCAAAATATAAATTTATTTATATTTTTAATCCAAAACAAAATTTCCTTAAATTCTGTAACATACTGCAATCCTGGTAGCAGATATATACCCTTTTTGTAGAATTCTAATACCTTAGATGAGTCCAATTTTCTGTGCGTTTTCGCTTGAAAATTCCCCTGCTTTGTTTAACGCATTCAATGCAGGACCGAAATCCAAGACAAGACTCAGGTACGGAAATTGTTTTCGTGAAATTTGATAGGTTGATTGCATTTAGCAAGCAGCAAATAATGTTTTCTCCCCCATCAAACAATTACACAGCCATGTTACAAAGAAAATTTTTTAAACAGTTCAAATTATATTTTCACAGACACATCATTTAAAAATTTTATTATCACGTTATACACACTACTTTCCGTAATTGGGTGTTCTACTCCTTCTTTCTCCAGATCCTGGTAGAATTTATTTCTGGTCGACGAATGTTGGTTGCAGTGAAACATTATGTGTGTGATAGAAATCAAAAATGAAGTCAAATATCTGGGCATCACACTAGATAAAACACTTAACATTTAAGAAACACATCAGCTCCATTATCACAAAGGCAACACGAGCTTTGATGGTGTGCAGAAGAATAGCAGGGAGAAACTGGGGATGTAGGCCAGAAACCCTGTTATGGATGTACACCATGATAGTAAGACCTTTACTTACATACGGAGCTATAGCCTGGGCTGATAAAGCAGAACAAATAACCAAAAGGAAAGAACTCAAAAAAATACAGAGACTTGCATGCATCTGCATAACGGGAGAACATGTCCTACAATTAGCATGGAAAAGATATTGGGTCTAATTCCCCTACATCACATGGTAGAAAGGACAGCACAGAAAACCATAATCAACTTTATTAGAGAGAAACCTCCAACAGGAATAAAACTGAAATGGAGAGACAGAAACAAACTGTGGAAAAACCATCCATCACTCATGGCTCCAAGAGATGACATGAACAGGATGTTTGAATTTAACCAAAAATTCCGAATACATCTGGGCACCAAAAAGGAATGGGAAGGAAAGGGAAATAATTCCTTTAAAAATGGCACCATCCTTTGGTACACAGATGGATCTAGAACACAAGAAGGTACGGGAGCAGGAGTATTTGGACCCGGTACCAAATACTCAGAACCCATGGGAAAACACACCAGTATCTTCCAAGCTGAGATTCATGTGATTGAAAGATGTATCCAATTCAATCTAAGTAAAGGATACAAAAACAAGAATATAGCTATCATGTCAGATAGCCAAGCAGCCATCAAAGCACTAAGCTCAAATTCCCTTAGTTCAAGGATGGTGCTGAACTGCAAAACCAAACTAAATATATTAGGTATGCAGAATAAAGTCAGCCTCTGCTGGGTCCCAGGACACATGGGAGTAGAAGGCAATGAGAAAGCGGACACCCTTGCAAGGAAAGGGGCTGCTATACCGCTGATAGGACCCGAACCCTTCTGTGGCATAGGAATCCACATTATTAACGAATATCTCAGACAGAAGGACAAAAAGAAAATGAGGGAACTTTGGAATTCACTTATTGGACACAGGCAATTCAAGAATCCCTAACAAATTTCGGAAGAAAAGAAATTACAGAATGGGTCAAAGGAAGCAGGAATAAACTGTGAATCCTAATAGGATTCTTACTTAAACAAGACACTTAAAGAAGATTGGAGTAATCCAAGACGGCACATGCAGATTCTGCAAGGAAACAGAAGAGACACCAACACACTTACTAACAAACTGCGGAGCTACATTAGCCTGCAGGAGGAAATGTTTTGGGATGTACAATGTGACCATAGAAGAGCTTCAACCATTAAAACAGGGCCTATTAATCAAGTTTCTTGATGAAATAGGACTCACAGAGAACGGGGGATACAATAGCTCTCAAAGAGCGCAGTATACCATACACTGAAATATTACATCTACATCTACAACATTATGTGCGTTAGGTCCTCCTTTACTCCGCATGTGTTGCAGTTAGGGTGTTGTTTCTTGCCAATCTTGTGAAGATATGCTGCGCAGATGGCTTAACCGATGAATGGTGGTTATGTCTTTTTTTGCCATGTCTTAGTTTGTTAAACCACCGTTTTATTTTCACAAGTGGAAATAATGTTTTATAAGCCATTCCCTTATCTGTGGCAGAATATTCAATTTGTCATTTTATTTGAATTCTTGTTTCCAATATTTGAAAAAGGTCTGTATAAGGGATTTTTATGATTCTAGGGATGGGTAACTGTGTGGTATTTTTTGCAAGTTTGTCAGTTTGCAAGCACTGAGGCTGTCTGTGCAAATTACAATGTGATTCTTTGTAGGAAGGTTGAGTGTAAAAAAAGTTAGCACTGCCTTAATTGCTAATAATTCCGTGGAATAAATTGATATCTCTGCCGACAGAGGAATTGATTCCCCTTTATTGATGCTAGAGCAGAACCAGGAGCATCCAACATTACCAGACATGAGGGATCCATCGGTGAAAACAGTTAAGTGGTCGTTAGGGAAAGTTCCTGAAGCTTTGTTGATTAACCACTATGGGATTTTGTCCGAAGTAGTCTTTTAGTATATGGCAATTAAGGGTTTATAAGCAGAAAAAAATGTTTTATGACTCAAATGTTCATTTTTGTAGGGTTTTAGACCGTGACTCCACAGTGGAGTCAACCGTATGCGGCAAAAGTCTGAGTATAGAAACCCACAACTTTGTCCAATCTCCATGACATGATTCAACTGTTGAGTCACGAATAATTAAGAATTTTCATATTCGAAACAATTTTAAAAACCCATTTTGATTACTTTTTCTTTAACAAGTGTGAATGAGGAAAAATATTTCCTTGCTGAACAAAAAAAAAAACAAAAAAAAAAAAAAAACTAAAGAACAATTTTTTTTCTAATATTTACAGTTGATATTATCCATGTTTTTAATTTTTACCAAATGAATTTAGAAAAGAAACAAAAAGTTGTTTATAAAACAGCGTATTTACAACAAGAAAATTGTATATTTGCAATTTTTTCACTCATTTGAATTGTTTAAATGTAAAAAAAATAATATAAATAAAAAACAATGAAACTTTTTACAACAAAAAAATAATAGATATTAACATATTTTTTATTACTTGAATGATTTAAATGTTTGTTTTTGTGAAATTCCAAAAACTATGTTGGAATGCAAAGCCCCGGTTTATCACTGTAGTAAGTCGTTATGTTTAAATGGTCCCAGCTGTGGTGATTCTGGAAAAAATATGATTATTGCACATTGTAGGAAAATAAAAATATAAATCATATTCCATTAGATTTCGTGGTCCGATTGACTCTTTCAATTAATTAATCTTTACCTAAGGTACTAGTTGAGATAAAAAGTCAGCGTCAGGAGCAGGTTTCGAACCCACAACCTTTGGCTAAATACGCCGCTGCTCTTGAGCTATCATGACCTCGATGCACCAAGGCTAAGCGATAAAAGAACATTCACTGTACCCATTTAACTACTTTTTTTTTGGGGGGGGAGAAGGTAATATAAAAATATTAATTCAAAAATACAAAATAAACCATAGATATATTATTCAGAAACATTTATTTACATGTTGGGTTGTATTCAGGTGTCCCACAGCTTAATGAATTGTGTCTGCACAATTTTTCCACAAAATAATTACTTGTCTTTAGTTTTTAGTGAGGCTTTTCATCTGTTATATTTCTCCAACTCCCAGGTTTGAGGGAAACGTGTTTGCTTCCTGCTGGATTGGTCCTGCCAGATTGTCGGCCTTATTCCCAACATGTTTGAAATTCTTTAACAACCATTCATAACATATGTTAAGACAGGCTTTCACCACTAAGTCAACGATTTTAAGCTTGTTAGTCCTTCCACAACAAGGTGGTATTTGGTTGTCTCTCCGTTACAAAAACGTCGGAAAACACATACCGTAAATTCCACATAAATAACAGGCTCTGTGACCAAGATCGACCTCATCAAGAATTGCCTCAAAATTTTGTTTGCTTCCAAGTCATATGAGTTGCAGTTTATTCTGGATTGACCCCAGGGGGTTTACTTACTGTTTCTGAGCAATCTCTTTCAGTAGGGCTTTTCCCACCTCAACCCCTAACAGGGCTAACAGATAATAAAGGATTGCCTTTATACGGGTGAAAGCTGTAGTATGATATTTTATAAATATAACAAATAATATATTTACTATTGTCTTTAATTTGTGATTAAATAACCAATAGAACCTTTTTTATTATATATGTAGGTTCCATGTGGACTTTTTATACCTTCCTTATGTCTTGGTGGAATTGTCGGAAGGATTGTTGGCATCGGGATGCAGCAATTGGCGTCATCATATCCTCATATCTGGATTTTCAGTGATGAATGTGCTGCAAGTGATGATTGTATCACACCAGGTCTATACGCGATGGTGGGCGCAGCCGCAGTACTTGGCGGTGTAACAAGAATGACAGGTAATTCATCATTTATTATCTTTTTTTTTTATTGTGTATTTCATTATGTAATTAATTGTTCTCTTTCATGTTTAAGTATCACTTGTTGTAATTATGTTCGAGCTGACTGGTGGAGTCAGATATATCGTACCGCTAATGGCAGCGGCCATGGCAAGCAAATGGGTGGGGGACGCCCTAGGACGGCAAGGCATTTATGACGCACATATCAACTTAAACGGTTACCCCTTTTTGGACAGTAAAGAAGAATTTGCTCATACTTCTTTAGCTGAAGATTTAATGCAACCTAAGTAAACAAATATAAAAAAATATATATAATTATTTTGTATTTAAATGTTTATTTAATTTTAGGAGAAATCTCCCTCTAAGCGTTTTAACACAAGATTCTATGACTATCGAAGATATTGAATCATTGTTAAAAGAAACGGAGCACAATGGTTTTCCTGTTGTGGTTTCCAGGGAATCTCAATATTTGGTCGGATTCGTGCTAAGAAGGGATCTCAATTTAGCTTTAGGTTAGTCTAATAATTCAATAAAAATCCAATAATATTTTACAACTTATGATTTTATATCAGAGAGTGCCAGGAGAACTACTGACGGGGTACGAGGAGACTCTGTAGTGCTGTTTACTTCAACGCCGTCTCAGCCTTTGAACCCAGGTGGCCCTCCGACGCTCACTTTTGAAAAAATTCTCGATATGGCACCGATAACTATTACAGATCAAACCCCGATGGAAACTGTAGTCGATATGTTCAGGAAACTCGGTCTACGGCAAACTTTAGTTACTCATCATGGGTAATAATAATTATTTTATAAACAATATCTCTTCAGTGTGTTTATTTGGTTTTTATTTATATCTGTATTTTTTTTTTTACAGACGACTTTTAGGAGTGATAACCAAAAAGGATGTTTTGAGATATATAAAACAAATTTTAGACGACGAAGATCCCAATTCAGTGTTATTTAACTAATGCCGAGACAAAATTGTTGTGTTCCTGAATGAAATTGTTATATATCAGTATATATATTTGTAACTTTCAGTCTAGATTATACCCTTAATGGAATTATATTTTATTACTCATTCAATTAAGAAGTCTCTTAGCCAAGCTTTTTTATTAAGTCATTATTCTATATCTTATATAATATGCATCGTATTTTATGTCTATTTATTTTAAAATTGAATCTTTTAGAATTAATTTGAGAAAAGTATAAAATTGAATTAGCTTATATGTGTACATTTAATATTGTTAAATTACGTGGTATGATGTGACAGAGAATATATTTTTGTTATTTTTTATTTTTGGGGCTCTCGAGAGAAAGAATAGGGAATCACATTATTTTATATACTTTGGTGGTATTTTTATTTTTATACTGTATTAGGAATGTTAATGCGTTATAAATTTAATTAATACATATTTAATTTTGTGCAGGAAGGCTTTTCAAACGATTCCAAAGAGCTCTATTTTTATGCTTTTTGTTTGTGTCATCTTAGCGCTAAAACGCAAACGTTTAAAAACAAGCGAATCGATTATTTCAGAAATGTAAACAAAAATAGAAAATTGGTATGTTAAGAATAGAAAAGAATGTGATCTAATATTAAGTTATTGTTTATTAGTTATAATTTTTTTTTTTAATTGCGTTGTTTCATAATGTACATATACGATGTGTTATATTTGAAAAGATTTTTTATTTTTTAATTGTTGTAAAATTGGTCGCCAAGGTAGATAAGAATGAAAAATGACAGTCTGATAATGCATTATTATTTTTGTGTCCTTCCCTCCTCCACTCACCCCTCTGTGTATTAACTGTACAAATTGCTAATAAAAATTCATAATATTGAAAAAAGTTAATTATTTTAATTGTACTTTTTATCTAAGGTTTTCGTTGAAATGAAAGGCAACAAAGAGAAATACTTTCTTACTAATTATAATTAATAAATTATTTTATTTATTGTAATTATATTACGTTGCTTTAAGCAGACAGCATTTGTACACTCGTATACACATTATATAATAAATTCATAAGTACTTATTCATGTATAAATGAATAAATTAATTAAAACAAGAAACATGAAATAAGTGATAAATAATAAAATAAATAAACTATGAAATAAATAGTTTTACACATATGCAAATAATGTTCCTGTATCAGATTACAAAATTGTTAAAGTATGATAGTAATTTATTAGATATTAAGCGAACTCAGCAGACGGGCAATGGAAATTGCAAAACACAAATAGTACGGGTTGTAGCCCGTCTGCTGAGTTTGCTTAATGTCTAATAAATTATCCTGTTTACCAATTTAATGATTTGGTTTAGGAGCATATTTACATATAATTTATTATTGGAAAGAATCCCACTTGTGCCATTGATTTTTTTATCTCAACTAAAAAACCTTAATTAATTGTAATTATTGAAAAGATTGATTCAGACCTTAAGGTATACAAAACAAATACTGTCAACAATGATTATAATAAATCTCAACTGAAATTATAACAGCGACTTTTCATATGAAACACTTTCATACTTTAACAATTTTGTAATATGGTATAGGAACGTTATTTGCATATCAGTTATTTGTATAAACATAAATTTAAGTTTTTAACAGGGCATATTAAATACATAATTTTAATAATAATAATAATTCACTAGTTTTCGTGGTCCACTTGACCAATTAATATCTTTCAATTAATTAAGGTTTTAAGCTGAGTTAAAAAGCCCGTGTCACGAGTGGGATTCGAACCCACGACCTTCTGCTAGATACGCCGCTACTCTATCACTCGAGCTAAAGTGACTTCATCCACTCGAACATAAACTTTCCATCTCAACCCCACCTTTTGAATTTGAAAAATGGCAAAAAGAAGGGAAAATTCAAAAGGTGGGGTTGAGATGGGAAGTTAATATCCAAGTGGATTGAGGTCATGATAGCTCAAGTGGTAGAGCAGCGGTGTATTTAGCCGAAGATTGTGGGTTCGAATCCCGCTCGTGATACTGGCTTTTTTATCTCAACTTAAAACCTTAATTAATTAAAAAATAATAATTTTATCAACAATAGTGTAACAATTATTAATTAATTCAATAATTATTCATTCAGTAAGCATTCAAAAATTAATTAGTAAATCTATTAACAAAATATTTACTACCTGCTAATAGTAAAATTTGTTTATTAATTCTTTTATATATTTACAGGCAATAATGTAATTGACTAGCTCAGACCATTTTTTCTTACCATTCAAATATTTAACTAATGTAATCCTTGATAATACTATATCCGATCCATTTATGTCTGAACTTGTTTAGGATTGGTCATTGGACAACAAAGAAAATGATATACATTCCAACAACATAAAAATTACGTATGAACAGATGAACATTTATGCCTATCTTCACTTCAATTTTTCATTCAATATTAAGTTCTTTACACATTTGATGAAACGGTGCTTTAACTTTGTTTAATTAAAAAAGTTCGTCAAAATTTTAATTTTAAATAAACTACAAAACTGCATATACTTTTTATCATTATTCATGTAGATCTTTTTTACACCATAAGTGTACATATTGCACAAATCTAACTTCATTGAACGAATATATTTCTTTGTTCAATATCTCTTTTTGTTGTTTTTTTGATTAGCTGTGATAAATTTTGTTATTTCCTTAAGTAATTTATATGCATCTGTTCTGTTTTTTAAAATATTGGACTCCTGCCTGTTTCTAAGTAAATGGCAGATGGGAAAAGAAATGAAATGGCAAAAAGATGGAAAATTCTAAAGGTTGTTGGTCGAGATGAGGAGTTGGTGTCTGAGTCGATCGAATACGCAATAGCTCAAGTGGTTAGAACAGCGGCGTATTGAACCAAAGGTCGTGGGTTCAAATCCTGCTCCTGACACTAACTTTTCATCACAATCAAAAACCTTAGATAAAAAGAATAATTAATTGGAGTAAATGATATAGTCTGGGCAATGTCAGGGAAAATAAAATACTCTCTTCAAAAAATATTTTTCCAGTACTTTGACAATCACTTTGTTACCCATACTTGTGCTGCATAACAAATTTCTCTTTTAGACTGTTAAATACTTTATACTTTATTCTTCTAAGTTAATTTTAGGTGGTGTTAGCATGTTTTGTTATGGCTTTTATTCAACAATATGAAAAAAAAAATCAAATTAAAGATGGAAGAGATTAAATTAAAGGATAAAAATGTTATTATTTAAAACGGTTTGTTTACAAATTAGGTAAAGGCAAATTTCAAATGCAAATGTGATTTCAAAGTAGAAAACTTGTTATGTGTGTATCATCGGCTTTATTGGGAGGAAATTGACTAGCTTTGCAGAAATATTGCTAAACAATGGAATTAGGAGAAAATCTCTTTAAATTGGAGTTGTTTTTTATTAAATGCACTAATTTTGTGGTCCGCTTGACCAATTAATATATTACAATTAATTAAGGTTTTTAGTTGAGATAAAATGGCAAAAAGGAGGGAAAACTCAAAAGGTGGGGTTGAGATAGGACGTTGATGTCCGAGTGGATCGAGGTCATGATAGCTCAAGTGGTAGAGCAGCAGCGTATCTAGCCGAAGATCGTGGGTTCGAATCCTGCTCGTGCCATTGACTTTTTTATCTCAACTAAAAACCTTAATTAGTTGTTTTTTTATCTTTGATAAAACCTTAAATCGAAGAAATTATAAGGTGACACTTGACTCATCCTAAATGCAGGTCAGGCCATCTTCTGGCCTCAAACATTTTATTTTATTTTCAATACAAGTGACCTTTTGAAATTTTGTTTCTTTCTTTTTATTGAACCAAAGGTCGTGGGTTCGAATCCGGCTCCTGACACTAACTTTTCATCACAACCAACAATCTAGATAAAAAGAAATACTAATTAATCAAAATTATATACTTAATATTAATCTGTATTACAATTTTGGTTGTGACAAATGAACACTAAAATTGAAAATTAATTTGAATTATGGTGGGAAATTTGGCTGAAGGGAAGAACCGATAAATAAAAAGGTGGCACCATATCAGTGATCCTTAGTAAGTAATATTTATTGACAAATTACATAGAATATAGGTACTACATAAATTTATAATTTAGGGGGAAAATAGCAGGGCTCTTTACACCCTAAAGCAATCATCCAAAATTTCAAATATGTACTTATATATAAAAAAACACTAATCATCTAAGTTAACTCTTATTTAGCAATTAAACCCATTTTATGGGAATTTAGTAGTTCTCTAAAAATAAATAATAATAGATGTCAACTATAAACCAAAACATCTAAGAAATAACAAGTACAATAGATAAAAACAATACCATCAAATGTAAAATATAAACAACAGTAAAATATAGACAGCAATAAAATAATAAAAACGAAAATAACCGCAATGGCAAAATATAAATATCACAGGTATAACGTATATAGGTTACGTCTAACAACCTCTGTGTATGTCGATATGGTTGAATTATCGATATGATGAAGGAATTGTATTGTTATGTTTCTGTCAAATCTTGGCTCATGAAGAGAAAAACAAACTGCGGAGAATTAATCTCGAGAGAAATGACTAGTAAAATCGGACTTGATCGTGCTTAAAATCGTAGATAGTTGTAAAAATGGTGTTTTACGAACTTCTTTGGTCGATCCAGAGGAAAATGGTCGAGAAGCACGGCGAGTCCTCAGAGTTGGCGACCGGCTCCAACAATTTCGAAGATTTCTTCCCCGACAGCGTCCGCCCGTACATGTCCGCGTTTGCCAAGACGGCCGACTGTTACAGAGAGATCGCCGCTTTCTTGGATTCCGTCGATTCGTCTTCGTTCAACGGTTCGCCGGCGGAACTCTACCTCACCGCATTCGGCGAAGGGGTCCAGGAGATCGTCGACGAGTTCGTTTCCTGCCTCTGCGACGTCGAAGTTCTCATACTCGAGGACGAGGACTTTTCGCCGATTTCGATCGGCGTCCTTATCGAGCCGGTGGCCGACTCGCTCGAAGGCGTCTTGGACGGGATCAAAGAGATACGGAAAAAACGCATCTCCGGCTGTCCGATAATCGACCTCTGTTACAAATACGCCATGTGCGGCCCTCCCAACACCGCCCGGGCCTATCAAATAATAATAAGACATTGCATGTATCCGTTTTTCAAACAGACCAAAATGTGGATGTTCCGGTCCGAGCTGTTCGACCCTCACCTCGAATTCTTCATCGAGAAGTCTCAGTGTGCGAACGACCTGACCGGAACCCGATCCACCGTCTCCAACACGACGGCCAACTTTTCAAAAAGGAAGGAAATGCTCTCAACGAAATACTCAATCTCTTTGGCCAAACTCCCGGAGTTTCTGCCATACTCGATTGCCGCGAAGATACTCTTCATCGGTGAGACGCTTCTGTTGTGTCAGAAGGACTCGACAGAATCCGATTCGGATGTGACCGACAAGATATTAGAGCAGTGCGGCCTCAACGAAAACCAGCTCATGGTGAAAATGGAAGAAATAGAAAAAAGCGAACATTTCAGCCTTTACGCGTTTGACACCATGGTCACCGATATTTGGAATTGTGTCGATAAATTTGCTAGAAAATTAGCCGAAGCAGTCGGCGGCTTGAGGAATCGGTTAGTCGACATGAGAGACATATATCTGTTAGGAAGGGGCGAATTGTTCCAGGAATTCTTAGTCAGGGCGAACCATCTTCTCACGAAAGAAAAACCTTCTAGCATGGTGTTCAGAAGCCTCAAAGTACAGTTCAAGAATTCGTTTTATTACGTCTACCGGTCGGAAAACTTGGATCTTTTAGAATCGATAAATTTCACAGTACCCCGCACGATGAAGAGCAATAGCAAAATGTTAGACCTTTTACAAATAGACATGAAAATACGCTGGCCACTCGATTCCTTGTTTACACCTTTTGTCATGGATAACTACAACAAACTCTTCAAATTCCTCCTCAGGCTGAAAAGAGCTCAAATGGACATTCTTGAAGTTTGGACTATAACGAATGTGAGGAATGAATTGGAGTTGCAGTGCGAGGCGTTGGCCTTGAGGAACAACCTTGTATCGCTTGTGGGCAATTTGCAAAACTACTGTTTTTTCGATGTTATAGCCAAAGAGATGAACCACCTCATGCAGACCGTAGACAACACGGAGACTTTTTTTGCCATACAGAGTGCATTGGGAAAATTCCAGGAGAATATACTCCATCAGCTTTTTATCTTCGATTTCGGAGAAGACTTGACAAATGTCACACAAGGAAGTGACACGAGTCGGTTACAGTCAAATGCAGGAACGGTAAAAGGGAGCAACCGTGTTTACGACTGCATCAATACTTTATTTTCCATTTGTCATAAGTACTCTTTACTCGTAAAAGATGGAGAATTGACAGCTAGTCAGGACCAGATTCGGTTGTTGAGCAAACAGCTAAACGATTCCATCGGATCATTAGTAAAGCTGGTCAAAGCAATCGATAACAGCTACAGTAATTCTTATCTCCAAAATTTAATGCTCAGCTTGGATTACAATGGATTTTTCTCTAGAAAAGAGTGTAAGTTCTATTTACATCCATAAATAAATAGATAATAAGCATATTTTATTAAATGCTTTTTATAGGAGTCATCTCAATTATTTTATCTATTTACATATTGCAATATACTAATATAATATTTTTTATTTTTAGCTGAAGTCACTTCTGCACAACTTTAAATAAATTTGGGCCCAAAAGAGAGAAGACACCCAGTCATGACAGACATTTAACATGTACATATTGTATATATTATGTTAAAACAATTTACTGAGCTAGAGCAAATTTTAATAGAATCAGACCTTTGTGAAAATTTAAATTTGATAATGTAAAATATATATTATAAAACATCATAGTTTATAAAACTATTTTCGTTTCAATAATAATAATTTATGACTAAGATAAAGAAAGGTGTATTGAAGATTTTTAATCTAAGATAAGATAAACTGTACACGTTTGTCGTTGTCACTTCAACATGAGGAAATGTATCAACTGGTTGATTGTTTCTATCGTCGGTATATTTGTTGCCGTCATCGCTTTCGCATTCAACCTATGGATCCTCCCCATGTTGGTGCACTACCAAGTCGGGAAGGTAGGGCTTTACTGCTTATTTCAGCGATATCTCTTTCAGAATTGGCAAGCTTGATTAAGTCAAGTACAGTGCTCTCTCAAAAAATACATATTTACACACAAAAAATTTCAACGCTTTATTATTATTGCATACAAATACCAATAGAACATTTACTGTCAATTTTTCTTTAAAAAATCAGTTAAAAAAAAATTATTTAATAGTTTCTTCATTGCTTCTTCGACTTTTTTACCTATTTTTTTTGCAGTAAACATATTATGCTTAACACATGAAAAATGTAGTCAGATGTACATTTTTTAGTAATGAAGGGAGGTGAGAAATTTGTTGAACAAAAGAAATTCTTGAAAATTTGTATAGTCTAAGTTTGGTCTTTTGTACGACTCTCACTCTCACTCACTCGCTTTTACACACTCTCCCTTTCTCTTTTACTCTCACTCACTCATTCTTCCTCTCACCTTCTCTCTTGATTTCTTTCTCGTTCACTCACTCACTCTCATTTACACTCTATTTCTTTCTTACTCCCACTCACTCATTCTCTCTCTCTCTCTCTCTCTCTCTCTCTCTCTCGCTCACTCACTCACTTTTACAATCTCTCTCCCTTTCGCTTTTACTCTCACTTACTCATTCCCCCCCCTCTCTCTCTCTCTCGCTCACTCACTCACTTTTACAATCTCTCTCCCTTTCTCTTTTACTCTCACTCACTCATTCTCTTTTACACATTCTCTCTCTCCCTTTCTCTTTTACTATCACTAGCTCATTCTCCCTCTCTCACTCGCTCATTCTCCCTCTCTCACTCACTCATTCTCTTTTACACACTCTCTCTGCCTTTCACTTTTACTATCACTCACTCATTCTTCCTCTCTCCTTCTCTCTTGATCTCTTTCTCGTTCACTCACTAACTCTCATTTACACTCTCTCCATTTCTCATTTCTTTCTTACTCCCACTCACTCATTCTCTCTCTCTCTCTCTCTCTCTCTCTCTCACTTGCTTGCTCACTCACTCTCTTTTACACACTCTCTCTTTCTCTTTTACTCTCACTCACTCATTCTCCCTCTCCCTCTCTCTCTCTCACTCTCACTCACTCTCTTTTACAATCTCTCTCCCTTTCTCTTTTACTCTCACTCATTCTCTTTAACATTCTCTTTTACACACTCTCTCTCTCCCTTTCTCTTTTACTATCACTCACTCATTCTCCTTCTCTCCCTCTCTTTAGATCTCTCATACTTTTCTTTCTCTCTCATTCTCCCTCTCTTGCTCCCCATTCCCTCTAAATAATATTTCACTTAGTCTTTTCAGAGGATCTTCGGAAGAGGTCAAAACCTTCCTTACAGTTTTCGCCGAGCTTTCGACAGTTTTATACAGGACCTGAAGATGACAGTATAAAACTGTCGAAAGCTCGGTGAAAACCGTAAGTTTTCTCTGTTTTGACCTCTTCCGAAGATCCTCTGAAAAGACTTCTTGTATCCAGCAGGTCAATAATCTAGTTCATCGTTAAATATTTCACTTGTTCCCTCTAAAATTCTCACTTGAATTTTTTTACTATTCGGATTTCCAAAGTTTGGATTGGTGAGAAAGCACTGTAGTATGCAATTCAAGTTGTGATTGTTGTGTAAATTGAAGTGCTGTAAACTTATTTGAATTGTGATTATTAAACGATAATTGGATAATAGATTGAAGCGTGCCTTGATCTTCTGATAAATTTGTATAATTCCTGTATATTACAGGGTCTCTACTGTTGGATTATCTGTAATTTTGTTGATTAATTTTATTGTTGTTATGTAATTGTATTTATATGGCACATTTGTTATAAATCAGTAAATATATAATTTTTTTTAAATTGTTTGTTTTTGGTTTTGGATGTACATAAAATAAAAAATGAAGTATTCTCTCATAATAGAAGATAATACTTATTAACATGTAAGATAAACAAAAAATGAAAACATACATTTATTTGGGTACAATAACTGCAGGGATAAATTTGGTCGTTCTCATTCATTTTGGTCTGGGTTCATTCATTGGGTCAACAGGCCAACTGAGATTGGAAAGACAGACCAAAATGATCGGTAACGACAAAATTACAGGTTTATCTCATAGCAGATCACAGAAGGAAATTTCAAGATGGAGAGATATAAGTTACATTTCCTTGAAAACTGAATAATATATCAGTGTTAATACATACTTTCCCAGTAGGAGGGAGAATGTTTTTAATTTTTTTGCTCAATGTTCAATCTTGTGGAATATTTGCCTGTTGCATGGTGGATGGGTTTTAACATGGGTTGAGCTTGAAAAGTTTTGATGTGGCACAAATGTGAAAAAAATTGTTTCTCAGTGCTTGGAACTGTAGTTACAAATTTTTACAATATTACAGTTATTTCCAGTGGGTATCCTAAATTTATTTTGCTTTGTTTGTATTTGAAAAAAGTTCTCTCCTGTTAATTTTGTTTTAAATGCTCAGTTAACATGTTAAGTTAAAAGTGTTCCTTTTATGTTTTACCTAATTTTTTTCAGTTTTATGTTATGTTCTGTATACTTGTTTATTTTCCCCCAGATTTTTTTTTATTGTAATATTTTTTTAAGATAGTTTATATTTTATATAGAAAATTTTTTTTTTTACATTCTTCGGCACATGGTTTTCAACCATGCTGTGCTATTTGTGCAATGCATACTTTCAACTAACAGAAGTAATAATTTTTTTACTAACTAAATATTATAAATAGAAAAATATTAACATTTTTATCTATCTAGTTTTGTATGAGGATCAATAGTGCTAAAAAAAATTATTTCTAATGATGAGTGGTTGTCATCAGGGTTCAGAATACATTGAAAGCGGCATTTTTAAAATATATGACATCCACACATTAACTAATTCTTGTCGTAAAGGAGGGCTTAATGTTGTATATTTAAAATCATAATATTAAAAACAATACTTTCAAAGATAATTTTAGGTGAGTTGTTAGCATGTTTTGGTACGGCTTTTACTCAAAAAAAAAATAAAAAAATAAAAAAAATAAATAAATAAATAAAGGATAAAAATATTATTTAAAACGGTTTATTTACAAATTATGTTAATTTATTGAATAGGAAAGTGTTTATTATTATTACATTCCAAAAGATCTTACAAAAAAAGTTAATTGCTAAATGCCACAAAAACTTAAAACACAAATAGCCTGTCTGCTGAGTTGGCTTAACATCTAATAAATTATCCCATTTTACCAATTTTTTAGGATTTCTTATTGAAAACATTGATTCAAACCTTCAAACCTTGTGCAAAACAAATACTGTCAACAATTAATCTTTATGAAACTATTGGTTGAAATGAAAAATTAGTGTCACGAGCGGGATTCGAACCCAAGACCTTTAATTTCAAACCTTTTCAATTTGCTAATTTTGAATTTCAAATTCAAAGGTGGGGTTGAAATGGGAAGTTGGTGTCCGAGTGGATCGAATAGCTCAAGTGGTTATAGCAGAGGTGGATTGAGCCGAAGGTCGTGGGTTCGAATCCCACTTGTGACACTAACTTTTTCATTTCAACGAAAACCTTACATAAAAAGATTAATTAATTGAAAGAAGTAATTTGGTCAATAGAGCACTAAATATAATGGACTGTCAACAATAGTGATAATAAATCTCAACTGAAATTATAACACAGCTTCTAATATACTATCATACTTTAACTTACTCATCATACTTTGTAATGTGGTATAGGAACATTATTTACATATTATTTATTTCTATAAACATAAATTTATGTTTTTAACAGGGCATATTAAATACATAATTTTAATAATAACGTTCAATTAATTAAGGTTTTTAGTTGAGATAAAAAAGTCAGTGTCACGAGCAGGATTCGAACCCAAGACCTTTAATTTCAAACCTTTTCAATTTGCTAATTTTGAATTTCAAATTCAAAGGTGGGGTTGAGATGGGAAGTTGGTGTCCGAGTGGATCGAAGTCACGATANATAGTGGCAATAAATCTTAACTAAAATTATAACAATTCAATAATTACTTGTTCAGTAAGAATGCAAAAATTAATTCAATAATAAATCTATTAACAAATTATTACTACCTGTTAATTGTTAAATGTTTCACTTCTAATAGCTCATTTTAGATTCATAACTTCTCCCCTTGCCTTCATCACAATTGACATAAAATATTGTTTGTCATTATTGTTTATGAAGTCTCCAAGTTCAATATTAACTTCTTTATACATTTGATGAAATTGCGCATTACTTTGTTTAATTAAAAAAGTCTGTGGAAATTTTAATTTTATGTAAACTATAAAACATTGCATAAACTTTTTCCCCATATTCATGTAGATCTTTTTTACATCGTAACTGTACATATTGCACAAATCTAACTTCATTGAACGAATATATTTCTTTGCTCAATATCTGTTTTAGTTGTTTTTTTGATCAGCAGTGATGAATTTTGTTGGTTCCTTAAGTAATTTATATGCATCTGTTCAGTTTTTTTAAATATTGGACTCCTGCCTGTTTCTAAGTAAATGACAGATGGGAAAAGAAATGAAATGGCAAAAAGAGGGAAAATTCAAAAGGTTGTTGGTCGAGATGAGGAGTTGGTGTCTGATTCGATTGAATACGCAATAGCTCAAGTGGCTAGAACATTGGCGTATTGAACCGAAGGTCGTGGGTTCGAATCCTGCTCCTGACACTAACTTTTCATCTCAATTAAAAACCTTAGATAAAAAGAATAATTAATTGGAGTAAATGATATAGTCTGGGCAATGTCAGGGAAAATAAAATACTCTCTTCAAAAAATATTTTTCCAGTGCTTTGTCTTCATCACTTTGTATACCCATACTTGTGCTGCATAACAAATTTCTGTTTTAGACTGTCAAATACTTTATACTTTATTCTTCTAAGTTAACTTTAGGTGGTGTTAGCATGTTTTGTTATGGCTTTTATTCAACAATATGAAAAAAATCAAATTAAAGATGGAAGAGATTAAATTAAAGGATAAAAATGTTATTATTTAAAACGGTTTGTTTACAAATTATGTAAATGTAAATTTCAAATGCAAATGTGATTTCAAAGTACAAAACTTGCTTTGTGTGTATCTTCGGCTTTATTGGGAGGAAATTGACTAGCTTTGCAGAAATATTGCTAAACAATGGAATTAGGAGAAAATTTCTTTAAATTGAAGTTTTTTTATCTTTGATAAAACCTTAAATCGAAGAAATTATAAGGCGGCGCTTGACTCATGCTAAACGCAGGTCGGGCCATCTTCTGGCCTCTAACATTTTATTTTATTTTCAATACAAGTGACCTTTTGAAATTTTGTTTCTTTCTTTTTCTTTTTTAGACGCTGGCTTTAAACCCAAACACGGACATTTGGGAATTATTCACCGTGACTCCGATCCCGATTTATTTCAGCGTTTATCTGTTCAACCTCGTGAATCCAGAAGGGGTGCTGAGAGGTGAAAGACCAGAAGTGAAACAAGTCGGACCTTATGTTTATAAGTAGGGACTTCAATTTTAATAAGGCTTCTCATAAGTAGAACACATTTAAAACAAGACTTTCAGGGAATTCAAGGAAAAGAAAGACGTCAAGTTATCTGAAGTCGATGACACCGTGGAATACCATCAGTACACTTGGTACCATTTCGACGCTAAGGCTTCATACCCGAGGACCGAAGACGATGAAATAACGCCCATCAACATGTTTATACACGTGAGAAGTTTTTTGTCTATACTCGAAGAAATTCATACAAGACTTTCGTTTTTTCCAGGTGATTGCCGGTCTGTTGGGAGAGCTGAAATATTTGGACGTAGCCGACGAAATTTTGGATCTAGCGTTTCCAGACATATTTGGAGAAATGTACACGCCGGCTCTGAAGACGACACCGAGGAAGCTTTTGTTTTCTGGGATCGAGCTGACGTGCAACAACAAAACCGCGTCTCTAGCTTCGAAAATTATCTGCAGCGGGGTCAAAAATTTCCCGGGACTGGATAAAATCCTGACTGTGACCCCGAACGGAAACATAAAGGGGTCTATTTTCGGATTTGTGAGTTTTCGATGGATCTTGTTAAACTATAAAGTCGCAGTTCATACGAAAATAGAATGCAAGAAGATTCTGCGTTTTTCCAGACCAAGAAACACCTGTTAATTTTACATGTACAAATCAACAAGACATCATTTCATAAAATAAAACACAAATAAATAAATTTCTAAAATTGGAGATGATGGAATATCAGCATCAGTGTGTCAAGGAATCTAAAATCCTTGGTCGGACAATCGTAGGGTTTACACAAAGTACCCAAGCACACTAGATCTTTTTTAGAACCCAAAAATTACAATCATTTCTCATCCATTTTAAATTCATTCGTATTTCGTTCTCAATATTCTTCCATTACATGAATCGAACTGTACTTGAGATAATGTTACAACAACGATCTTCAACACTATACATTCACGCTAATAAATACATCAACTCATATGAGACAAGACAAGCAACTTAAAAACGAGAAACTATTTCCAAAAATATATTTAGAAAAACTAACTTAGAGAAATTCTGTTGAAATTCTTTTCATATATCAGTTGGAATGCCTACTCGCTCTCTATATAGACACACGAGACGACCATTGGGCATGACACCCTTTGATTATGTGGTATATTACAAATCCTTCCACTTTTGTCTGGAAGTCCATCTGTAAACCGTTTTCAATTTTTTTTTGCCTTTAAATAACTGAAATCTCTTACAGAAAAATGGAACTCACAACGGCCTTTTCAAAGTGAGCAGGGGTATCAAAAGCATAGATCAACTAGGTAAAATCGTGGCATGGAACGGCAATTCCACACTTTCCAACTGGGGAGGGCCAGAATGCAATAAAATAAAAGGAAACGACGAAACCCTTTTGCCACCTTTTGTAACAACAAGCACACAGATTCAGCTCTTCAACACGGACATCTGTTCGTAAGTTTGTTTTTACATCTTAACACTTTATGCTGAAACTCCGATTTCTGTGCAGCAGCACTATTCCAAGTTGTGTTTGTACAATATTATCATTTATAATTGTTTGTCAATAAAATAATGTTTTTTTTCAGGTCGATAAGTATTCTCTATACGGGAACAGCAGTTTTTCAAGGGATAAAAGGCTACAGGTTTGTAATCGATCCGAAATTTATGGGCGATGTCAAAGAGTATCCAGAGAATTACTGTTTCTGCCCTCAACCGATCCAAGGCATCACCAAACCCGGCGAATGTCTTCACAAGGGAGTTTTTGACGTCTCTTCGTGCACTAGTAAGTTTTTTTTAAACGTAAAATTTACTGATTGATCACTTGAAGATTTCAATCCTGGATACTAGATGTTGAGATTTTCAAGTAGATAAGACTAGATATTTAATTAGAAAAATTCAAAATCTATAGTATTTATCAAAACGACAATATAAAAATCTCTACAAATAAATTATTTCAAAGAAATATTTAAAAAAATGAAATTTTGACATCTACAGTAAATATTCTTATGTATGTACTGATATTTTTCCCCTTAGGAGCATTTTATTTAATATTTGTATGAAATTTTTTAGAAAAAATTTCAAACACTCCTCGAGTACTTGATGTGTCATCAAGGCGGTTTTATTACGAGATTTTCGTCTTTTATTTTATCTTTTATTATCAGCTAGAAGAAATCGCGATTAATCATTTTTAAGTGCGTGATACCCTTTTTATCTGAATGATACTATAAAAAAAAAGAACGAGGGTTCAATTGCAGATAAGTTCATTAAAGAAGGCTCAAAGGATTTTCTTTTACTGTTTATACTTGTATTTAATCGTCTATTAAGTGAATTATTTCGATTTTATTTTAAACAATAAAGGTTTATAATAAATAAAGGTCCTTTATGGTCAATAATTCATAATGACTGTCAATAATTTTATGTTACGTCTTTGTAGGATAAAGTTCTTGTCTGTCTTCGTCTTGAAAATTGGCAAAAGTCCTGAAGGCGAGAAATTTTGCATCGAGGCCGAAACGCAGATTTGGGTCGATCGGGGAATTTAAGTACTATTTTCTCTAAATCCAGCTTTTGCATAAATTAGGTTACCGGGATTGCTGGACTTGAGCTGAAATTCCCGTTTCTTCCGGCCGATTTACCAAATTGAGAGACTTTCGCTATTTACTGTTTGAAAGTTTTATCTATTTATTTTATTTTACAGGCAAGGGCTTATTAAAAGAAATTATACGTTTAAATTTAGTATGTAACATAAAATAATAACATACATTAAAAAGAAAATAATAATTTTAAAATAATATTACAGTCTGGGGTTTTGGTGGCCCTGAGAAGGCCGGTGTTATGATGCTGCCGGTAGTGAACAAAATGTCTTGTGCAGCAAGCAGCCACTGTTAGTGTGAGAGACGCTGCGAGTACCCTTGTTGCTGTAGATAGTGCTGACGGTTTGCTCCATTGGTGAGGGTTGATATCTTCATCGACGAGTCTGCATTCTGCAATAACCAAGTCGACCCCCTGCTTATGTATAAAGCTGCAAGCTCATTGGCTGCATTGAAGGTTATTGTTGAAGCAGTTGTGACACCTAGTGGATAACTTGTTGGTCACCAGTGTATATATGTAGTGGCTGGTTACTTTCCGAGTAATGCATATTGGCTGTGTAGGATGGTTCGAAAATTGAGGGTAGTTCGGGATGTGCCTATTATGACCCACAAATAAAATCCGATCAAGCCTTGATGGATGAAGCATCGATTTTCATTTGCGAACTAGCCGCCAGAGAGACGACCAGATACCTAGACTCTCCAGAGCCAAAATCGGTATGTGTTATTTTATCAGATAGTAGAAGTGCATTGGATGATTTAGTAACACACACGAGCAGCAACGTCAAGAACCACTTAATCTGGGAAATTAAAGCTTTGTTAAAAAATGCTCAAGAGTATGAGAGTGGAATTCATGTGGATTCCATCGCACTGCGGGATCTTAGGTTATGAGGTGGACCTTGCGAAGGAGGCCGCAGCAAGTGGAATAAGTGTATGCATCAGGCTCCCATATTCGGATTTTTGCAGTTTAACGAAAAAACGGAGTGTGGAGGGATGGCAACGTTCGTGTGAGGAAATAGGAAAGAGTTTGGTTTATAAAGGGATGTTCCCTCACGTATCATTTGCAAGCTTGGTTTTCTCAGGAAGTAGTGTTAATAAAAAAAGTTCAGGACAGCCAGTAGATTTTATTAGGTTTTGTGGTCCGCTTGACCAAATAAAATCTTTTCAATTAATTAAGGTTTTGATTGAGATAAAAAATCCAGTGTCACAAGCGGGATTCGAACCCACGACCTTCGGCTAAATACGCCGCTACTGTACCGCTTGAGCTATCGTGATCCTCTTGGTCACCATTGGCNGTACTCGTGCCAAAAAGAAAAAGGCCATTTAAATCGAATCTTGACAGTCATCTTCGATCAAAAATTCCCTAACTCTTTTTCATTCATTCAGTATATTTTAATTAGAATTTTAATGTGAAATTTGGTTACCATATTTAAATCATTAATATTATATTAATTGTAAATTGTTATTTATCCACAAGGATTTTATTTGGAAATTTTATACACTTGTAATTTTATTGTTTGTTTCTAATATTGAATGTTTATCGGCATTTACTGTTTACTCGTGTAACAATAAAATAAAATAAAAACCCAACAATTTGTAGTCGGTGAAGATGGTTAGTTTAAAAGTTTTTTTTATCACTCTACGAGGTTTAAGGCCATTGAACGTTAAATGACGAAATAGTCTAGACAAGAACGTTAATGACATCTCATGGAAACTTTTGTTTCAATATAATAACACTATTGTATCATTTGGATATTTAAATTTGACAGTATCTTGCAAATAAAAAGCGAAACCCGGCAGCATCATTTGAATAACTACCGAGAACGAGTGGGAGGCCTTGAAGTGGGTTAAACTAAAGGAAGGAGGAGCAGTTGGCTATAAAGATGTTTGCCTTAAGCTCCCAAGAGTCAGTAGGAAGGATGTTTGCATTCCTCGTATCATTTCTTCTCCTCGGTTCCACCCTCGCGAAGGTGTTCACACCCTGCGAATTGGCCGAAGTGCTTAGGGAAACTGGGAAAGTGCCTGAAGAACAGATTTCGACTTGGGTCTGCATAGCGCGGTACGAGTCGGAATTCAACAGCTCCGCAGTGGGCTCGCAGAACGGCGACGGCAGCAACGACCACGGCATTTTCCAGATCAGCGACAAATACTGGTGTTCGCCCGAGGGTTACGCCTGCAACGTCTCCTGCGAACAGCTCACAGATGATGACCTGACAGACGACGTCAAATGTGCTCGGAGGATATACAGACAGCACCAGCGCCTGCAAGGGGACGGATTCAAAGCTTGGGCAGTTTATCAGAGGATGTGCTCCGGTGATACCTCTAAATTCATCAATAACTGTTCTGAAGACAAAAAACCTAAGGAGAACAATATTGACACTAAAGAAACCAAAAAGCGGTCTCTTTTTTGGCCATTTTAATTTAAATAAACCAATTATTTATTTATGATGAGTTACTGTTATTTTACAAAACTGGTTTCAATTTTTTTTAGGATTTAAACTACAAAAATATGTAGAATGAAAAAGTATTAAAGTAAGCTCAAGCTTTCTTGCACTTTTTTACCTCTACAAGCTTTCATTCAACTTGATACAAATCTTAGATGGCGGATTTCAGCTTCGCGAGGCTGTTTAAAACGCGTTCTGCTTAGCTGGTCGTTTCGCAATAAGAAATGCATGCAATTCTGAAACAAATTGATAATTAACGATAATTAATTGATAATTGAACTGATTGATTTTATCACGATGAAGGCAAGCAATTTCATGTTTGTAGTTTCTTCCCCAGCCTAGATGCTTTCATTACCTTTGTATTTAGGCGTGACTGAAGAGGTCTCGATATCCTGAGCTTACTACTGCAACTACGCTAAAATTATGTACAATCTAAAACTCATGACGTTGTTCACCTTGATGTCCTACTTCATTCACGCCAGTAAATACATTCATGCATAGTAAAAATCATGTAATCACGTCCTAGTTAACCTAATTGGTTCGATAGGTCTGTGGGGTACTCTATATTCAACCATTGACGGTGTCATACCCACTTAACCTTTCACGCAAATAAATACATTCACCAGGGTTTTACTAGTTTTATCTTTACCTTTAACCTTTTCACACGTGATTAAAATGTTTAAGTCAATTAAGACACACATTCATACTATTAAAACAATAACCTATTCTAAGTTTGGCGGGACTCAAGATTTCTCGACTGCTGAGCGCTTCTTCAACTATGCTAAAATTATGAACAATCTAAACCTCAAGACGTTCAGCTTGATGACCTATCTTCATCCAAGCCAATAAATACATTCATACATAGTAAAAATCATGTATTCACATCCTAGTTAACCTAATTGTTTCGACAGGTGGTGTACCCGATATTCAACCACAGACGGTGTCCATACACACTTAACCTCTCACGCAAATAAATACATTTAGGGATTTGACATAACGCCAATCATCCCTATTATATATAAAACTAAATGACCCAGACTTTTGTGTGCCTGTGACCACTTCCATCACAAAGACAACTCTCCAAATTGCACTATAATAAATACATTCATTCAAAATTATTATTATAATCACCACTGGGCTTTAAAGGTTTTTGTAAAGTCTGAGGGTATGCCACATTTTATTTTGTGCGAAGCAAATTCCTCGAGTTCTGTCAATTTATCCATTACCGGTTGTGCGCCGCATAAAAAGCTTCTTCGTGGTCTTTCTTTGGTTAATGTCAACGTGTGAGTCTGGTGTGGCCTACTAACAGGCGAGTCAATGTGATTTTTTTCCATATCCTCCATGGCCTACGATTTAATTGATAGTTTTAGTTCATTTATTTGGTTGGTCATGGTAGTTTAATGTTTGATCATTGAAACCACAAACATGGAATTGTGATCATGTTATATTCAAGAAAACTATATATATAAAAAAAAGAAATAAGGACCTACATAAATAAAATATGTAGTTTACTCGTTTACGACTATGTACATGCCTTTCCTCTCTGCTTTGGCCTGTCACATTGGATCACGTGTTTCAAATTTTTGCCATCTTCTGAGAGGCTAAAACATCAAAGATAGGCAAATTAGAACGGATCGGAAACGGCCAAACTACAAGTTCGTCACCTCGCAGACTACAAGAGTTCACACTAGAATGTCATAAAATTTTCTGTAAATCTTCATGATTATCACAATACCATTACGTCTTGCATATTTATGTCTCAGATTTGCCAACAATTGTGTCTTTCCCGCATTTTTACCGGGCAAGCGAAATTTACCAGAACGTGATCCACGGTCTGAAGCCGGAAAAGAAACTGCACGAGACGTTTATTGATATTGAACCCGTAGGTAATGAAGTCTGACAAATGGTATCCAGTCTGAAATGTATATTGTGTTATAGACGACTGGAGTCCCTATACGAGGATACAAAAGAGTGCAGTTGAACATACGAACCAAAAGGACGTCTGCAATACGGATGCTTACGAACCAAACCGATGCTATTTTCCCTTTGCTGTGGTTCGAAGAGGTGAGAGGTTGATTTTTCACAGATCAGCATTAATGACATAAAATTTTTGTCAACGTTCTCTACTCTCTCCTGCAGCACCATCAGGATCTTGACTGACAGATTATATGTTGATTTTGTTACAGAAGGCTGAACTAGGAGATAAGGAAGTTTCGATGCTGAGAGATCAGTTGCTCAAAGTGTTGAATATTGCTGATATTATCAAATGGCTGTTCATCGGGTTCGGTGTAGTGCTGGCGCTCCTTGGAATCGCAATGACAATAATCAGGGCAAAGGAAGACCGTAAAAAGAGATTAAAAATCTAAAAAAGGTTATTTTTTATTATTCTTAACTTGTAAGGTCTTGGTTGAGATAAAAAAGTCAGTGTCATGAGCGGGATTCGAACCCACGACCTTCGGCTAAATACGCAGCTACTGTACCACTTGAGCTATCATGACTTCGATCCTCTCCGACTAAGGACCAACTTTCCATCTCAACCCACAACCGTTCGAACCTTCCCTTTTTGCCATTTTCAATTGAGATGGAGATTTGTTCCGAAGTCACGATAGCTCAAGTGGTAGAGTAGCGAAGGTCGTGGGTTCGAATCCCGCTCATGACACTGACTTTTTTATTTCAACCAAGACCTTACATGGAAAGAATAATTAATTGAAAGATGTAACTTGGTCAATTGACCACTAAAACGTAAATGAGTTATTTTTTATACTATTTTGTTTATAATTTGTAAAAAAGAAGTGTATCTAATATAAATAAATATGTAGTTTAAAATATTTTTTTCATTAAATTTTAGATTAAGACGTTTTCACCACAAATCTGAATAGGCATCCTGGCAAGTCTTCGTATCCCATGTTGGCTTTTGAATCCTCATAACTTTTTTATTCTTTGACAAATTTAAAATCTGATTGTGCCATCGTTTTCAGTGTAAAAAAAAATCCTTTTAAAAAAGGTAAAAAAGGATAGGTTATCATTTAAAATTTCAAAGTTGAACTGGCACTGAAGTAATTGGATAAAACATTTTCAAAAGCGGTCAACATTTAACACTAATTAAGGTTTTTAGTTGAGATAAAAAGTCAATGGCACGAGCGGGATTCGAACCCACGACCTTCGGCTTGATACACCTACTCTACCACTTGAGCTATCGTGACCTCGATCCACTCGGACACCAACTTCCCATCATAACCCCACCTTTTAAATTTTCCCTCCTTTTTGCCATTTTCCAATGGGTTCAGGTGGTAGAGCAGCGGCGTGTCAAGCCAAAGATCGTGGGTTCAAATCCCGCTCGTGCCATTGACTTTTTTATCTCAACTAAAAACCTTAATTAATCGTAATATGGATTGGTCAAGCGGACAACGAAATTAGTGTATTTAACACTAAACTAAAAAATATTAAATAAGTATTTTTTTCTTTTTTTTGTTCAGGAGAAATTCAGCCAGGCCATGTAAAACGACACCCTATATAGCATATGAATTTTATTTTTATGTACGTTTATAGAGATTTCTCATTTTTAGACTTTCGAAGACTTGATCAATTTTTTCTGTTCATTCAATATTTTATAGACCAGGGGATTTTTGGTTAACTAGCCCACCTTAGACAAAAGAGAGGGTGCGCAAATATAGGTAATACATCTAATTGATCATTACAAAGTTTGTTGGTGGTATTGGTCCATGAGGTGCCTACGGGGTCATATTTGTGTGCCCTATACATAATCGACATAACCTCATCACGCCTGTAAGTTTGGAAGGATGTTCTCCAAAGTTTAACATCTCTTTTATATTTCATATTTTGTCGGAAGTTGTTCGTTTCCATTGATTTTCCCAATTTTCAATTAATTTAAGTTTGAAAGCAGACTTTATATCTTCAGGATTTATTAAAACTGAGGTTCCGTGCAGCCTTTGCTGCGTTGTCAGCTAGCTCATTTCCCTTAATTCCTCCTGAAGGAAACAGAAGAACCGTTCAGGGATATTTTTTAAGTTGTTCCGAACTAATGGATTTTTTGGCGTATTGGTTCTGAATTGGTTGAAGTGCACTATAAGAATCAGAAAAATAATTCTTTTATAGTGACTGACATTTAAAATATCTAAAATGGCTATTTCTGCATTGTATGAACTGAAAAGTGAGGGTAAATGGAAAATAAAAGGGTGCCCTCAATTTACCATTACCATCTGTGTATAAGCATAAACGTTACATTGGTTTAGTTCAAGGAATTTTTGTTTGAACGATGATTCCTGTTTTCGCGTATTTGTATGAGAAAAATCAAATTTAACTTTCTGGACGTAGCCAGGGAGAGGTTAGGGGCTGGGTTATTTTTCGGGGTATGAATTACAGATTAATACTTAAGAAATGAATTTATTCTTAGTATATAAAGAGAAAATTGAGGTAAACTAATTTAAAACAATTCGAACATAATTGAAAGTCGAGGTAAACAAAACAACATTAAATTGAAAATGGCCAGTATTTTCGAAAAGTCGCCGTCTGAAATCAATGGCGTTCTCGGCGGACGGTGAACATTCCGGAGAAAAATAAACATTTTTCAATTCGCAGTTCAACCTCAACTCATGTTTGACCTTTACGTAATAAAAATACGATTTAAAAAAATATTTTCATTTTTTATTTTTTTGTTTCTAAGCACGATCGGCTGTGCGATGCAGTCACCGTACTTAAATGTGACCATGACTTGATAAAAATACGTAAACTACTGCTTGTCGTGCTTCCTCGATCTCCGAAATCTCTCACTCACAAACACTTGTTGTAGCTCATTTTTTCCCATTTAAAATCGCCACTTTTGTGAAACAAACTGTCAAATAATATTATTCGACTTGATACGCATACGTTTGATCGATAAATTCGCTTTTCTAACGTATTCGATCTTTTATAATTTGACCTGTAAAATTTGAATATCTTCACCATTGCATTTTACCATTTCCTTCGCCTTGTCCATTTTACTCTTCTCTGTAGTAGGAAGGGAGGATCTGAGGAAACGGAGTTTCTAATCTAACTATTAACTAACAGCTAAAACACCTGGAGAAAGGTATTAACAATACTATATACTCTTGTACATCGCGACCAGTCGAGATACACTGTTTACCCTAGGATTTTCTCAACTAATTAAAATCATGATATGATTCACTTGTCGTTTTTTTTTGTACAGATAATTTTAGCATTTAATTTTTATAAATATCAATAATGTAATGATGTATTTTTATAAAAACTTGGCCGGTTTTTGTAATGGCCGTTGGACGTTGTTTTTAGGAACTTGGAGATCCATCGGAACGGTCGCGTTTCGCATCAAAGAAACTGAAAATACTTGCTGTTTTTGTATTATTATTTAAGAATAAGGGATTTTAATAATGAATTTGATTAGGAAAATATAATGATCGTGTCGGATTTTAGACCTTGTCTGTCGGCCATGAGCCACAAGTTCACGATTGATACATCACGGATAAAGGAAACGTACGGATTTAACTCACCATTTTTTTGTTTTTTTCGACGATAAAACTATTTTCAAGACGTTCCAGATCGATTAAAAAATGATTTTGGCATTTTTAAATTACAGCTTTGGATGGAAGAAATACGAATCGGTTCGTACCACGTAGGTCAGAAACAGAAAAAGGTTCATGCCTGTCCGTCGTCTATTAGTTATTAAAGTTGTACCATTTTCGGATAAAACAATTGAAGATCTGAACAACTTTCATGTATTAGTGTTAAATGTGTTAAATTAAAAAAAAAAAAAAGATTCTGGAGAAAATGGCCGTTTTGTTAGCATAAAACTTCCCGTTTTTGATACACGCATCAAATCGAAAATTTATGAGAATTTTTTTTATAAAATATGAATAAATTATAAATGTGTTAATTTATTTTTTTTAATTTTAACAAATATTCGAGAACGTCTAGGGGTGTTTGATCATACTATAATGATCTATTTAGGACACAGTCATTTTTAACTCCACAATTTAGCCTTTCTTTGACAATTACAATTTTTTACAATTAAAAACACTTATTTTAATACCATTAGGTTAGGTTTAATGCCATAAAATAAGAAATAAATTTTTGTAAAATTTGAAACACAACTGTTGTAAACTTTTACAAATTGGTTGTTTAAGCATTGATACTATTATTGCATTTACAACTTTCCGTAAACATTTCGATGATTGTCTCTAGTAATTTATGCGCATTGATATCTAGACTAAGTCCAACCACAACTGAAAAACAACTGCAATTGAAAATCTAACTAAAATCTTGGAATATGTCAAGCTGCTTCTACCTGATGTTTTCTTTTTATCATGCGCGCTTCTCTAAAATCAGGAATGGTAGTTTCGTTCCAAAAACGTACACGAATGAAGGAAATATATCATTCCGAGCCTTGTGAAACCGACAATTAACAAATGACCGATGAGAAAATTAACTTATCTCCGCTGAAAAATTTCCATTAGTAATCTACAGCTATTCAGAATTAATCATTACTGTTGATTTTTAACATACAAAAAGAAAAATAATAATAAAAAAAAAATGGTTGTACAGGTTTGTTATCACATTGTCTGGCACTATATTTTACAATTTAATTCTAAATAACATTTGTTTAAAACTAAACAAAAGAATTTTAAAACAAACAGCTGCTTCAATTATAAAAATATGTTTCAAATTGTAAAATATATAAGGAAACCTTATTAAATGTGTTTTTTTAAATGACAATCAAATTTAATAATCAACTGTTTGCAAAAAGGTAAATGAATTAAGAAAATATTTGAAAAAATATTTATTAAGCTCCAGTTAAATGATGAAAAGTTTGAATTGTTTTATTATTTTAATTTTTTTTTTTTAATACACTGTGACAATAACATTGATTTTCAACGTAGTTTCATAGCAGATCTATATATTCTTATCCATGGGACTACTTTTTATTACAATTTAATTTATTATTAGCTCCTAGTTGTAAAACATATTAATAGTTACATACTAAGACCCTAAGACAAAGTGATATTTATATTTGAAAGGACTTTTAACTATTTTACAATTTATTTTTTTAAACATTCTTTGTTCAAAGATGGTATCCAACTAAATTTTCCTTTTCCCATCTTGATTTCTATATTTCCATGTCTTTATCCTGTATTTTACTTACCTGTAAATTTAATAATTATTAAGTTAATTTATTAATGTAATAAAATGTACGAGTTTGATGATGTTATTGATTTTGAAGCGCCAGATTAAAATATAAAGTATTACTTCTAGTTGCATTTAATAATTATTTTTTAAAATAGGCCGTTCTTTCAAAACCTGAAACATGAACAGAAACTGTAACAATTGTGAATTGTTATATTAAAATTGACTGAGTGTGCGTGATCAATAACTTTGGTGTCAGGTACTTGATCCGTATTTGTCTAACTCATAGGAACAACAGGTATTTCACATCATCAAAACCATCGTCACACACTGATTAAATCAATTGCATTGATCTGAAAAGTCACTGAATCCGATATAATTTAATCACAATTCTTACGGTTTTACTATGCCTAAATTTTGTTGTTGAAGATCTTGTTCATATGTCGAATAACAAATGGATATGTGGTGGTACAACATGGGTACACTTTTGGCCTAATACTATTTAAATCATGTATTACCGTCTTGACTACAATCAAAAACTTTCTGTTGAAAAAACTGTTGAGAAACTTATTGTAAGTTATTTTTTGTCTAAACACAATTGGAACAAACAATTGGATTTTTAAATAATATATAAAAATATTTTTAAATATTAAAAAAAAATCAAAGTGATATTCAATTTAAAGATCATGATTTCTCTTAAGAAAAGTAGTTTGATTTGACATTTCCTCAGGGAATATTATTGCAAAATTCTGCTTGAATTAAAGTTTTGCACCCTCTTGTAATTAATTGTTAATTTCTTCCATAACACATTCCGTTATGAAGTTTTCGTAAGATGTCCCAACCTCCGGACTTTAGACCATTGCATTCCGGCCCTCTGATATTAAAAATCAAGACTAAAAGAAAGTGACAGCATGTGCCGGATAGGCAGAGGGTCTTGTTTATCAATAGCACTGTCTATAGGAGGCCCTCGGAGGATCGGATTAAGGAGGTTGACACATGCAAACCTACTTTTGGGCCAAAGTGTAAGTGTTCGGCATATGTAGAGAAAGGTCAATGTGTTCCACAAAATTGAACTTGGCTCCATATAAGGATCAGATAGGAATGCCACCCAATACAAGAATTGTGCTCAAGCATCCGAACCTGCATCCCCCGTTATGATTTTTGAAGGAAACAGGGTTGTTTTATTGTAGTACCAACAGTTTTATGTATCTAATGTGTGTTGAGAGTGAATGTATTTATTGGTGTGAACTACGGTGTGTATTTGTAGATGTAGATGTAATATTTCAGGGTATGGTATACTGCACCCTTTAAGAGCTATTGTATCCCCCGTGCTCTGCCTAAAGCACTTCGGTGAGTCCTATTTCATCAAGAAACTTGATTAATAGTTTTCAGTGGTTGTAGTTCTTCTATGGTCACATTGTACATCCCAAAACACTTCCTCCTGCAGGCTAATGTAGCTCCGCAGTTTGTTAGCAAGTGTGTTGGTGTCTCTTCTGCTTCCTTGCAGAATCTACATGTGCCATCTTGGATTGTTCCAATTTTCTTTAGATGTCCATTTAATCTACAGTGTCCTGTCAGGAATCCTGTTAGGATTCGCAGTCTATTCCTGCTTCCTTTGACACATTCTGTGATCTCTTTCTTGCCAAAATTAGTTAGAAGATTCTTGGATTGTCTATGTCCAATAAGTGAATTCCAAAGTTCACTCATTTTCTTTTTGTCCTTCTGTCTGAGATATTCGTTAATAGTGTGGATTCCTATGCCACAGAAGGGTTCGGGTCCTATCAGCGGTGTGGCAGCCCTTTCCTTGCAAGGGTGTCCGCTTTCTCATTGCCTTCTACTCCCATGTGTCCTGGGACCCAGCAGAGGCTAACTTTATTCTGCGTACCTAATATGTTTAGTTTGGTTTAGCAGTTCAGCACCATCCTTGAACTAATGGTATTTGAGCTTAGTGCTTTGATGGCTGCTTGGCTATCTGACATGATAGCTATATTCTTGTTTTTGTATCCTCTATTTAGATTGAATTGGATACATCTTTCAATTGCGTGAATCTCAGCTTGGAAGATACTGGTGTACTTTCCCATGGGTTCTGAGTATTTGGTTCCAGGTCCAAACACTCCTGCCCCCGTACCTTCCTGTGTTCTGGATCCATCTGTGTACCAAAGGATGGTGCCATTTTTGAGGGAGTTATTTCCCTTTCTTTCCCATTCCTTTTTGGTGCCCAGATGTATTCACGGTGTGTATTTACGGGCTAATGAACTAGCTAACCTAGTTGCTGATAGCACCTAGAGTGGTTGGATGGTAAAACCGAGGTCTGATCCAGGACTGGGTGTTTTTTTTTTTTAGTTCTGTCTTATGAAATTCCTTACGAGATATATTGCTTTCATATATCCTTAAAAATTAAATTCTTGGCTCTTAATCTACATCCTAGCCTGGAGTGTACCTTGTTTGTTCCTTCAAGGTTTTGATTTCCTCAGTGAGCATATTGTACTAAATATTTTTTTAAGCAAATTCTTTTTTAATTTAACAACTTGCTAACATGAGATAGCTTAGTTATTGCATCATCGGTGGTTTATTAAAAATACTAATTGATAGTGTTGAGAAGAAAACTGTTAACTTTATATTCGAACTTTTCAATAAGAACTCTCCTCTGTGCATTTTCTAAATATTATTTCTAAGAATATATGCTTCTTCAGTTGACTATATATGACAAACCTCATTGGCAGAAGTCAAAAATGGTGCATGTAGGCAAAAAAGACAACTACAAAAATTCAACCTGTTATAAAACAATAATGAACAATGTTGTGATTTGTTCTTGTATTAATATAAAACATGTCTTTTCAGATGGCGACTAATATATTTGAAGATGTTAGCGAAGGTAGAAATGTTGTCTTTTATTCATTTCCTGTACATAAAATAAATGTTTTTATTCTTTTTAGACTTTACATGGACAAACGTTAAAGATGAGCCAATTCTAGACATAGACTTTAATGGTATTGCTCATGATGTATGACATTAATGCATTTTCTTTTAGTCATGAATATTATAGTTGCAGACGTAGAAGAATGGCTGACAAAATTAGAGCCGGATGATGAGCAAGCAATATCAAACCTTTTCTCCGGAGATATATTTCAAATAGATGATGACCAAGAAAATGTAAGACTATTACAAAACAATTCATCATAAAAAACAAAAAACAATAAACTCTAATTCTACAACAGGAACTGGAACTCGACCTTTCAACAAGTTCAGAGCTACTCAGTGATGTTACTTCAAACCAGGCATTATTTGAACCATTAAACTTCGGAAATCCTATGAGGTATGTTTTTATCTTTTCATTTACAAAAGAAAACAACAACAGCAAAATTTCGTATCACAGCTCTCAGGAAATGAAAATGGAAATACCAGAAGAAATCGGATTGGATACCAGAGACCAAAAATGGACCGTGAAAGCAGAACCGACATTATTGGCTGTTAACGACGAACAAATAAAACCAAAACCAACAACTTCAAAAAGAAGAAGGCAAACTAAAACTACAAAAAACCCAGTTGAGACAAGTGTCAAAGGCAAAGGAGTACGTAAACATCGCATCAGGTAAAAAGACATATTCTGACATTCTTCAACGTTTTTTATGCTGAATCTTGTGCCCACTTGTTTAAAATAAAAATTGTAATAATTTTTTTTGGGTACACTCAAACTGTTCTCAATAATCATCATGACACAAAATAGTTGAATTTTACTAATGAATATTTTTAATATGTTGCTATTAAGTTATTTTATATTATGTTACTGTTATGTATAATTTTTAAATTCACTAATTTCGTGGTCCGCTTGACCAATTAATATATTACAATTAATTAAGGTTTTTAGTTGAGGTAAAAAAGTCAATGGCACGAGCGGGATTTGAACCCACGATCTTTGGCTTGACACGCCGCTGCTCTACCACTTGAGTGACCTTGATCTACTCGGACACCAAAATGAAAAATGGCAAAAAGGAGGGAAAATTCAAAGGGTGCGGTTGAGATGGGAAGTTGGTGTCCGAGTGGATTGAGGTCACGATGGCTCAAGTGGTAGAGCAGCGGCGTATCAAGCCGAAGATTGTGGGTTCGAATCCCGCTCGTGCCATTGACTTTTTTTATCTCAACTAAAAACCTTAATTAATTGTGTTATGTATAATGTTTTTATCTTATTAAGGAGTTAATAACCTGTGCAGATATAATTAGGCATTTATAGCTGAAAAATTACCACTTTATGTGGTACGAAAATATCAATGTAAGGTTGCTGCTATAGATTTGAACACTAGTTCATACTTCTTGAATTTATTCATAACTATATTTAATTAACAACAAAAAAAGTTCGTAGAGATAAATAAAAAAAAAGATCATGTTAATATTAATTATATGACAAGATTTTTAACACAATACTACAAAAGTGGATAGATTCAGAATGCAGGCGATGACCTCTCCATTAACATTACTGGGGAAAGTAAAATGACAGACACATGACACTGTCAATAGGGAATATTGAGCTGTTGACAATCTATCTAAAAAGAGCAGCATTATTTCATTTCAGAGTGCAAAGGACGTTTAGAAAGAACCGCAAGATTAGTGAAAGTGAGTTTTTAAATTATTTTCATCAGCTTGTTTCAATGAGAAACACACGCATGTCGCATGGCCCAAATGCAACTTCTTGGCTAATTGAGATGAGGATGACGCTTGGCTAAACTTGTTTGCTCTCATTGTTCTTGCATGATTCAACGATCAATGCTTGTTTTTGTTATGTTCTCAATTTACGTTTTGTAAATTTTTTTTTTTAAATGACATCAAAACGTTTCAGGTACAATAAAGAGCAATACAACTGTGACATCTGCTCCTATTCGTGCACAGTGCAAGCGTCAATTTTCCACCATGTTAAACAACACTGGAACCAAGGAGACAACGTTCCAAAATTCTCCTGTGAAATATGCGGAAAGGACGAATATATTAAAGAGCACTTATTAGTCCATAAATCAGACCATATAGACGGCAACCAATACTGTTGCGATCTATGCGACTTCCGCACAGTCCAATTAAAAAAGGTATAGCTGTGTATAATTTTGACTTAATAATAGTTAATTTTTTTTTAAATGTTTTAGTTGATTCAACACAGACGCAAACATACTGGAGAAAGGCCACACAGGTGCCCGTTTTGTTCGTACAAATCTTCCAGACGAGACAATCTACATTCACATACACGGCGCGTACATAACATCCCAAAAATAAGCATCGACACATTCACACCACCACACATCATTTATCCTACACCAAGTCAAGTGTGAAACAATTTTAAAACAAATTTGTAAATAAATATAATTCTATTAATTCCACATGTTCTTATTTTTAATATGAAATTTACAATTAAAAATTAACATTACGGCAAATATTGTTTGGACGTTATGTTAACTTTTAAATCTTTTACACTTAAAATAATCTTTTATACAACCTATGTTTATAACTATCACTTTCAGTTATCTGAGAGGAGTAATGTAAACAATAAATATTATTATAAAACATTTTTTGTATTTTTATTTACTGGAACATTATGTAGCAGTATACACAAGATGTGAAAATAATAAATGAATGTCTTGTTTTTCAAATGAAGTTAATTTTTCTTTTACCGTTATATATGCATTTTTCAAAATAAAAAGCAACTCACATGTACACATAATTTTGCTTATTGTTAGGGTCAGCGAAACGCTGTGTGTAAACAACTCGAAAGGCACAATAGCACTTACAAGTATATTAAACATTGTTTTTGTTACATCAAAATCTGTCGTAATTCATTCCAAATAAGAGCCTTTTGTTATTTCAGCTTCAACCTGCTAACCACTTTAATATCCTTCTCTGAATATGTCAATTGCATCTAGATACATATTACCTCCAGTAAAGAACAAACATAATGAACAATTAATTAGTTGGTTTTTTGGGAACACTAATAAATAAAAAACATTACAAAAAGAACAAAGAACAACAAAATTACTAATTAAATCTCCTTAAATATTTCTTGTAAATCTGTTATGGTCGTCAGTACAACAGGGCAACTTCTGGTGAATTAATAATACAATTGAATTTCATTTTTGGGTTTTTTCTCTCCTTTTTTTCCAGTTAGTTTTTGTATTTTTTTGTTGTATTTTTATGAACTTAGAATCCGTGGACTTTCAATTGATCAGGTTTTGCAAGACCAGTTTTGGTGAGCCACTGGCATATATTCTCACGCTGATCTCCTTGCAATTGTAACACTTCCCCGTATTCTGGATGTTCAATCATAGTTCCATTGCAAGCAAACTCCTAAAAGTTAAAACAAAATAAAATAAACAATAAAAAGATATAGTACTGTGATAACCAGTCCAATACTAAAAATATTAAGGACCAAGTAATATTTCATGATTTGTAACAATTCAATTTTCAAAGAAAAATTCAGATAAGCCAAATATCCTATCTGTATTTACAAACACACAGATAAAAATTTGTATTATTCAATCTTGAAATAATTACAATTACCCTACAATTTATAAAAACAGCTCGGGTGTGTAGATATGACTGGTTCTGTTTTTTAATATTATACCAAACTAATCATGATTTATCCTCTTTTATTATTGCGTATATTGTTTAAAATGTTTATTCACAGCACACAATACGGGTTGTGTAATAAGTCTTATCTCTGTGCAATTGCATACTATTGCTTTAACGGGTTTATGACAAATTATTTTTTAAAATATTATTTTAAGCTGTTTTGAAACCTCAGTAAACAATCGATTAATCAACAATCATTTACTGTGGCCGTGGAATAATTAAACAGTAATGAGCAACATTTCTAATGATTACGCCTGAACTGTTTTCATTGCCATGCTTTGACTGTACGGATGGAAATTATTCTTATATTTTTTAAGACTTTTTTGAAACCCATTGTTAAACATCAATTATGTACACATTTATTGAGATCAGGAGTCACATTTTCAGTTGTCACAAGGTTTATTGAGGTTTTTTTTTTTGCTTTTTTGAAGGTTGAATTTAAATGGAAAAAAAATTTCTGTAAGAAATTTTTTATACAAAATGAACATTATTGTTTCTATTAATAATATTTACGTAAAAACATATTACATTTTAATAATTGTTTTAACAAAATACTTTTTTTTTTCTGGCCTTGTACTAGTGTACATCTAGAGGCAAACTGTTGAAAACATAATAAAAAAAAGCAAGAAAAAAAAACTGGTGGGTTTTTAAATTTCAAAATTGGAAAACTGTTACCTATTATTTATAGTTTGTATTTTTACTTTAATATGTACATTGTTATTTTTTTATGAGGATATTTAATTTATGAGGACATTTTGGTTGGCGGTGTTACAAGCAATGCTGCATTTGAACCTTAAACTTGGGACACTACTTTTTTTTTTTAACCTTACTAGCGGATTTTACCTTAAGCACTGTGTCGACACCTTAACCATAACTACAAATACATATAAAACCACAATAGGTAAGTTTTACAAAATTGAAACTTTGAACCAGAAGGAAAAAAAAACCAAGCCATATTTTGCAAATTGTGTTTTCAATACGGTTATCTAGTCGGAGCAATTAATTTTTAAAATATTTATTATAAATTAATTATACTTTTTATCTAAGGTCTTGGTTGGGATGAAATAGCTAGTGTCAAGAGCGGGATTCAAACCCACGACCTTTCGGACTGGCAATGGGTTCGAATCTTGCTGATAAGACATTAGATTAAAAAAAAATTAATTAAAATAATTAATACTGTTCATTACTTTGACTACTGATACATATACAGATTAATGTATTTATTATAAATATTATTAATAGAAATAATGTAAATTTTATTTAGAATTATTTTTTTCATAAATAAATTTCTTGAAAATGGCAAAAATAAAAGAATTTTTATGCATACAAAGAAAAAGGGCGGCACAACGATGAAAGATGAACAGGTTGAGACACGATGGGAAATTTTTTTAAAACTTTTTGTAAAAGATGGTATTTAGTAGAACCATCTTTTACAAAAAGAGAATCTACATACCCCATCATCATTTCTATTAATGTTTCAAAATGTTGATCATTATTGTTAAATTATTGCATGACATGTGTACATAGATGGATTGTTTAACAAAGGGCATGAATCTGCGCAATTTATTTTTTTTTTAATTTTAAAATTAAATTGCGTATTATTAACTATCTCTGACTAGTAACAATTTGTAATACGAACAAAATTTTTGGGAAAAAAATAAAATAAAACTAAAACCGGGGACAAAGGCTTTTTGGACTGTCGAACCTTTATGCAGGTATGAGGAAAAAGCGTGCAACGTGGCTTGGTGAACAAAGGAAATTGTTTTAATGGTGAAAGATGATTCATACTTATTTTTTTAATTATTCAGAAATCGTGACTACTTACTTTTTTACATGCTCGAACAATCTTTTTCAAGTCATATTCAGATGAAAGTCCTTGCACTGTAGTTAGAGTCTTACGACCATTTCTCTGTTGTATTCTTATATGAACGAGCCCATCTTGCACATCGTCATCAGAACCCTTAATTGCATCTGCAAACGGGTCTGCAAAATAAAAAATATATAAAATAAAAATTCAGTTCGACAGTGTATAAGGCATGTTGAAAATAAAAAATAACAGGGTTATCGCCAGGGTAAGTGAATAAGCGTGGAAGGAAGTTCGAGGGCGATTCGGGGACGGGGAAAGGTCGTCAGACTTCAAAGCCGAATTCGCAGTAACGCCAATTTTGGCGTGTGGTCGTCGACCTGTCTAATTTCCCCGAGGAAAGCCGTTTTTCGTTTAATTAGGACCTAAGGGTGAATTTGAATCGGCGATTGGGAATTAAAACGATTAAATGAGGCGGAAATCGTTACACGGGCGGTGAAAATCACCTCGGTCGCCATTTTAAACGTGAACCGACTCGTGTCAAAACGAGGCAGAGGGCGGACTTAAAAAAAACAACTTACAAGTCTTACTTACCGAATGTATTTAGATTCTGGATGGACATACGATAAAAAGAGATTTCACAAATGAAGTTAGGATAACTGCACAAAGCAAACAACAGTCCCAGAAAATTTAGCCTTTACAAAACCGAATCTGGATTTTGAAGGGGTTACGTTAGCTGAAGCGATTAGGCTCGACTGAATGACGGCCTCTTTCCTTTTCGGCCAAAGGGAAGAGACTCAGTCAGCCAGTGCCGACTTGGATCTGTTTTTGTTTTTATTTTTTTTTACCACATGTCGAATTATAAATTAAAACTTAAACAAACACTCGGATTTAATTTTTAAAAATGGTTTTATAGATTTGATTTGACTGTAAAAACAGAAATCGCAGAAATCGTTCCCCTCTCTGGGCGACTGTTACATAACCTTAGTCGGGTTGTTTCTTTTCAACTGTTTATATTTTTTGGATTTAAGTTCTTCGAGTTCTTAGTTCGTCCGGATGACTCGTCACGCGAGAAATTGCACGGCAGGCGCCGTTTACACCTACCACGAAAAGAAAAAAGATGCGAACGCGTCTGGCTACGGCACGGAAAATCGCCGAGTCGGAAAGGATTCCATCAAAGATTTCGATTCTTGCTGCCTGACGCTCCAGCCTTGTGCCAATCCGGTCATTACGTGAGTCGTAACTGGAATATTATTTCCCGTTGTATTATCGTCGGAATCTTTATTCGTAATAAACGCTTTTTGAACTTGTTGCATGACAAATTTTTGAGACATTTCTGGCATTCGCAACTTTACAACTCTGGGTAGGCGAACGTTGTAGCTCGGTCGTTTCCGTTCATGTCGGATGATGTACGAATATCGTTGAAAGGTTGTCTTGCAAAAATATCCTGTCATTTTTTTCAAATCTCGTTTGGGTTTCATTGCTTGAGTTGAGGATTCCTTAAACCCTCTTGCGAAATTAAAGCAATATCATGACAGGCGTGGGAGTATTATTGAAATGGAATAACTGAAAATGACAAGGCCGTCAGAATGGCGAGAGATTGAACTCTTGCTGGTACTCCTTAGGCTCTTGATGGTACTCCTCGCAATGGGGTTCTGTTCAGTGACCTCTGCTGACTTCAGGCAGCTCAACTGGGAGGCATGGAAGCGTGAATGAGTCACCTGCACAGGAAACAATTAAGAAAGATGTAAAGAAATGGGAATCCTCTTCCAGATCTTACCGAAAAGAAGAAACCCTCCAAAATGTTGGATACCACATGACCACACCGAGTGATGGCCAACTACCTGCTGTCACACCGAGAATGATTAGGACAATGGATCCATCCCTAACCATGCACCGAGCTCGCACTGTGCCCGACTAGTTTGGTTTAGTTTTTGACGGACACAGATTGTGTGAGGTGCGGTGTAGAATTTATTTTTTAATTTTTTTTAAATATTTCTCATCTATTTATTCTCGATTGTCTTTTTATAATCTTAGTACAATTTTATTTCGTAAAATGGACGCAAAGAAACTAATTGAGGAGGTCAGAAAAGAAAGTTTCTTGTGTTGTATGACCAAAAACACAGAAATATGGAATATAAAGACAGAATAATTTAATTAAATAAATTAATTCCCTTTCAACACATTTTTCCTTGCATTGTGAACCCACATTCTTCTGTGTGAGGATGAAGATTATCTTCTCTTTCTTCGCCAATTAACATCTTCCTGAAAAAACAAACTCAAAAAGCAATCCCTAATTCAGTATTTTTAAAAACTTCTTAATGTTTTTTTCTCAATGAAACGATGTAAGCTTCAAACAATGTAGTTTTGAAATTTTTCTTTCTCAAAGGTGGGTTTTTAGGTCATCTCAAAAAAAAAAAAAAAAAAAAAAAAAATTTCAATCTACACGTTTCGGATTTATTTTAATCCTTCCTCAGGTGAGTTAACCCAGTGGTTAAAACAGTGGTCGTCAGTCATTAATATTTTGTAACAGTTTATTTTAAAAAAAGAGCCAGTGCGGTACATATTTAAATCTTTCAGACTCCGAACAAACTTTTAATATATATTTAAAATTTTTTTTTAAAATTTTGTTACATTTCAAAACATAAGAAAACATTGTAGTTTTGAAGCTACTAAACTACTGAGTGTGGTCCAACACGATACGGACAAGGCAAGTCGGCCGACTGTTGGACATCACGAGGTGCGGGCCTGGGGGTTATGTGGGGTCCAGACTTAACTCGGCTTCGAATGAGCCACTCCCGACTCACCCATAATTTCCTCTTTGAAAGAACCCCTAAACCTTTATGTCCAATCTGTACATATCCCACATTCTAATATATTGTCCTTTATAAAACTGCAAGAACCCTCCACCAAACCCTAAAGACCTCCAATCAATACTAAACATAAATTAACAAAAATTTTAACGTCCTACAGACATTCGACTAATAGATAAAATTTAATATCCTATGGCGGTGTGACGCGGCTCATTTGTGGTGACACCCATATGGGGCCTGGGGTGCTGGTCAGTCTTGGGCTGGATTGAGGGGTGCCTCCCCGGACTCTTTTTTATTTATTTATTTAGTACCTGATCCTGATTTCAGGTATTCATAACCATATACAATTATTATTTACAATTAGTTTAATACAATTTTACTAACAAAATTATTTAAGGCTTCAATGTGGTCTATAATCAAACTGTGATGGTCAGGTGGCCATTGTCCACCTTTACATACATCGTCCCTTATTAAAGATTTTCGGCATGGTTCTTGAATGGGGCAGTCGAATAAGATGTGGTACCATGATTGTTGAGGTCTCCCTGGACAGTCGCATTCCGAATCCCGTGTGGAATCTATAAAGATATTATCGAGTTCGTCCATGGCCGCTTGTAAGTTGGGTAAGCATATGGTGGTGTTTCAGTACTACTGCCGTCCTCGATTCTACCGTTGGGAAGAACTTTTTAGTTTGAAGACCTTTTGTAGTATGTCTCCAACGTTCTTCCCATTGGGCCAATGCCATTTTCAAGGCCATGGAGATGACGTAGCTTTTTGGCACTACAGTGACTGTTGTTTCTAGTTCAGAGTTTTTTGTATCTTCCTTTGCTGCTGCGTCGGCTTCCTCATTACCTTGGATCCCTGTGTGTGCTGGTACCTTTTCAATACTGATCTTTCAGGCATTATCACGCAATGATTTTATCTATTTTTCTTTTTCTTAATTTTATCTTTTTAATCTTGTCTTTTTCTATTTTTTCCCCGGACTCTGAAATCAAGGAATCAACAGCAAGCTTGGAGGTGTTGATGGTGTCTAGACACCGACCCCTTAAGCCCTGCATACAATATTAATGTTAAAAGCATCAGTTGTGATAGATCCGAGGGGTTCCATTCTTAAAAAAAAAGAAGGCTATTGTTGGTTTCCAAGTTGGTGAACACATGTTGAAATGTCCTGTACCCATCTCCCCTTCAAGCTTCAAGTGTGTTTGGGTTCAACATGTGTCCACCAACTCACCGTCAGTGGATGGATGTTGGTGTGCATGCTGTTGAACACATGTTGAACCCACACATACTTCTCGGGATAGATCGACCCTGTGCCAATTCAAATGTGTTCAAGTGTGTTCGACTTGCAAACCAACAATAACTATCCTTTCAACGATTGTAACATTAGAATGTGTGATTTTCAAAACACTTTTTTTAATTGTGCTGAATTTGGGTCACTTATTAGGTCCACCTTCACTATTTTCTTTTGAACTATTCATTGCGCCATTTTCAGTGAGGAACAGCCGACATAAATTTTTTAAAAATGTTTTCTATTTTTTTTGTTTTCTATTCCCCCCCAAGCCACAAAGAAGTGGTCGAATGGGGGGGGAACAAAACTATTAATTGTTTTGGAAAGTTTCTTCAATAGATACAGCCAGAAACTAACTAGATTTAAATCATTAAATATAACACTTAAGGAAGATGTGGAAGAAAATTCCCATCAATTTGCCAGACAACTTATGGAACATTTTGACATTGGATTCCATGCTCCTAACATTAATCCAAAAAGTTAAAAGCTTGATAAGTGGATCTATATGAGCTGTTTAAATGTCAGCAGTTGACATGTAACAAAAGCTATTTCCAAGCGGTCTGTGGTTGGTACCATCCATTTTTATTTTCTACCAAATGGGAAAACAGCTCAAAGACTCCATGTCAAGAAATTGGCCAAATTCATCAAAATTATTATCAAACTATAACTCAGTTATGCTATTTAACAATATATAAATGGACATATTAAAAATTTAATTAATAAGGAAAATTAAGTAGGAATAGTAAATTATATAAAATTTTATTAGGATATAATTTATATTTTTTTTATGTGCTTTGTTTTTCAGAACAGATGGATATCTGTTTGACAAAGAGGCGATACTTCAGTACATTATTTCCAAGAAGAATGAAATCAGCAGAAAAATGAAGGAATATGAAAAGCAAAAGAAAAAGGAAGAGGTAAAGGTTGATTTGGCATTACGATCTCCACGCAGAGAAGAATTTTTTAAATTGTTTTTATATGAAATTTAGACTGAATTGGCTGAACTGGCTGATGCGGAATGGCAGTCGAAGGTTGAAAATTTTCTCAAGACGGAAAAAAACATTGTGAGCAGTTCTCATACTTCATTATCAAAAGGTGATATATATTTTTTTCTCCTTTAGATGTCTTTCAAAACTTAGAATTTTTTTTCAGATAAAGATAAAAATGATGCTTCTGTTTCAAATATGGCTGCTGGAAGGGACAAACAACTTCCCAGTTTTTGGATCCCTTCTAAGACCCCTAATGTCAAAGCAAAGAAAATAGAAAAACCTGTATGTTTACATAATACATTATTTTATTATAAAATAAAAATTTGTTCATTTTGAGTAAAAAAAATTTTAAACTCATTGACAGGATAAAACTGTACTTTGTCCAATGACGGGGAAACCGTTGAGAATGAAGGATTTAATCGATGTCAAATTTACGTTCGTCAATGATCCTGACGACAAGAAGTCGCTGATTTTAAAGTCTAACAGATACATGTGCGCAGTTACTCACGACATTTTGAGCAATTCAGTCCCCTGCGCTGTTCTCAAGCCTACGTAGGTTTTATTTAAAAAATAATTTCTTTTTGAAAATAATTAATTTTGATTTAACTGTCTATAGAGGTCATGTTGTGACCATGGAATGCGTTGAAAAACTCATCAAGAAGGACATGATACACCCGTTGACAGGGGAACCATTAAAAGAAACTGATATAATACCTATGCAAAGGGTAATTAATAATTAAATTTTATATTATTTGTGTCATTAGTGTTATACTAGATTATAAAAGTATTGATATTTACAGGGTGGTACTGGGTATGCGTACACAAACTCCAACTTGGAAGGGAAATACGAAAGACCTGTTCTTCAAGCTTAAAAAGAATTTTTTCGTGTTTGTTCAAACACTTGTATATTATTCAAATTTAACTTATTTGGAGTTTTATTATAAGCAAGATTGATAATTTAATTTAATTAAATAACAAATTTAATTAAAGATAATTTGTTTAAAATGTGTAGATATGTTTTAATTTTAAATATTAATAAATATCAATAATTTTGATAGAAACTATGTTTATATTTTTACTGTCAGGAAAACATATTACATTTTTATTTTTATTCAAATAAATTGTCCCACTTTTTCTTTGTTTCTGATGAAAATTGGTCCATAATACTAAATGCTTGGAATTAATTTAGTAGAAAAGAAAATAGTTTAAAAGTTGTGAGATTTCTTACTGTTGCATGCAGCATGATAAACCTATAGTTTAGTACCATCTTGGTCTGCTTATTCTGATTGCTGCTTGCTGATTTTTGTAAGTCAGATTCGTTTTGACGTTTGGTTGATTGGCAGATGTGTTTGATGGATTAAGTCAGGTTTTTTTAATTTAATTAATTTAATCAGTCTTTTGATCTTTTGTCCTCTTACTTTTTAATTTTTGAAATGTTTTAAACGGCATAAATAATGTTTGAGTTACTGTTAAGTTTTTTAAAGAATTTTTTAATGTTGAACATGTTATGTTTATATATTTCTAAATTTTTGAATAGTCATTTTTTGATCTTTTTGTACGTTGATTTGATATGTACCTGACTTTTATTTTTCATCTTGCCTGTCCAATGTATTTGTCTCTGTATTTGCAATTAATGTGTACATTCTGCTTTTTCAAGTTGGTTAGTTTTGTCTCAGTACTTTTATTGTGTTTATGGTTTTTAGGACTTTTTTTTATGCCTAATTGATTAAATCAGTTGGTTTGTATGTTTTTTTTCCCAATGTGTGTGAATGTGGTCTGTTCAGTATCTGATTTGTGTTTTGTTATTTTGTTGATTGTTGTAATCGTTATTGTGTGGTATGGTTTTCATACTTGTACTTGGTTTGTGGGAATGATTTTAGTCTGTTATGTATTTCTGCTATTTTGGGTCGGTAGTTCGAGTCAGTTGTCTGTTTTCTGTATTTGTCAAATTGTAGTTTTTCATCTGTTTTTGCGATAGTTAAGGCTAGGAAGTTTATACTGTTATTTGTTTCTTTTTCTGCAGTGAATTGAATATTTTTGTGTTATGAGTTCAGGTCTGTCATGTTATGTTATTGGTTTCTGTTATGGTGTGTATGTGATGTTATTTTTTGCCAACATTTCGGGGTAGCTTTTCTCTTCAAAATTTTGTAAAAATACTTCTGTGGGTGGGTATGACAAGTTGGATTTCCCATTCCTAGTCCGTCTTTTTGTGAGTATATTTGTCTGTTAAATTTTAAGTAATTTTGTTGTGTATTGTTGTTTATTGTTACTCTTTGTCTTGTTGTTTTTGAATAGTGTCTTTCGTATTATGATTATAGTTTCCTTTACTGGAATTAATGGATATGGTTCACAACAGCAGAAGTCATAGCCCTCAGCGTGCTGGAGTTTTTGAAAAATAAATATATCCAGTTCGAATGCAGGGCCCTGGATTTGAACCCAGGACCTTTACCGTACAGTGATGAGTACCATAACAATGCCTAAACTGTTGCGGCCAACACCCTGGATATAGTTTTGTTATGTCAAATTACTTAGTGATAGGTTTAATTTGTACATCTTTGATTTTGTCCATTGAGTTTTCTAGACAGTTTGTTTTAAAATCAAATTGGTAATACATGCCACACAGGGAACCACAGTGGCTGAGTGGTTAGGGCACTTATATTTGCCAAGTAGCGATTCCGGGTCTGAATCTCGGTAGATCCCGTCTTCTTAATTGATAACAGACAGCATAAAAAAAGTATTGCAAAGAGACCTCTTTATAATATTTGTATAGATATATATAAATTTAAAAAAATCAACAGAAGAGCTCTTTAGAGTCACCAATTTTTCACTTACTTCTTGGTAATATGTAAGTGCACAGCCTTGTTTCTACCACTCCGGGTGTTAGCAGTCCAACATCCAGTCCAAGTCATTCCAGTACAACCACGTCCTAGGTTTAATACCTAGTTCTACCGTTAGTTTCTGCAATGACCCTTCAATTAACTTTTTTGCGTTACTCTGTCCTAGAATATTTCCAATTGAACTGAGGGCTTCTTAGACCTGAGTAACGGTTCAACATTTTATGCAATTTTTCATGCCACAAAAATATTCAGTGCTGATGTGTCCTGACTGAACTGACATCACCGAGGTAGTGGTACAACTCCAATTATAAAAAAATAACATTGAATTAAGTTTTATCCAAATATAGCCAACTTCCTGATGATGTCAGTACTGTATTGAATCATGGGACATGGTTGTGGCTGTTATTGTAAAGTTCTTTAACAATGACCTATATATTCAAAGAATGACATATTTTCCATATTAAATAGCCATGTCTTTGGCTTTGTTTTTCATTAAAAAGGGCTTTTGTTATGTATTTCTGTTTATATATTGCAGAAGGCTGTGTAGAATCATGGGACACAATTTGCCATTATTGGACAAATTTCACGACTTAAATCAATGGTTTATACATTCAAAAAATAAGACGTTTTCCAGGTTGATATTTAATGGGAAAAATGATGAATAAAATTGAGCAAATTTCAGTCTTCCTTTCATTGATGGTCTTTAAATTCCAAGAATAACATGGTTTCCATATTAATATTTAAGTCTTTGGCTTTTGTTTTCATTACAAAAAAAGAGCTTTTGTCATGTACTTCTGTTTACATGGGGAAATTTTTTTTTAATTGCAGAGGGCTATGTTGAATCACGGGAAATGGTGGTCATTATTGGTAAATTTCAGGTCTTTCATAATGGTCTATACATTCCAAAAATAAGAAGTTTTCCATATTGATATTTAAATCTTTGGTTTTTTTTTTCGTTGCAAAAAGAGGGCTTTTGTCATGTACTTCTGTTTTCATGGGAAAAATGATGAATGAAATTGGGCAAATTTCAGTCTTCCTTTCATCGATGGTCTATAAATTCCAAGAATAACATGGTTTCCATATTAATATTTAAGTCTTTGGCTTTTATTTTCATTACTAAAAAAGAGCTTTTTATATGGGGAAAAATGATTTTTTTAATTGTAGAGGGCTATGTTGAATCATGGGAAATGGTGGTCGTCTTTACATTCCAAAAATAAGATATTTTGTTTTCATTAAAAAAATCAAAAAATCTTCTGTTTTGCACTTCTTTTCACATGGAGAAAATGATTTTTTTTTAAATTGTAGAGAGCCATGTTGAATCATAGGACATGGTTGTTGTCATTCTTTGGCAAATTTCACATCTTTCATCAATGGTTTATACATTCCAAAAATAACGCGTTTTCCATATTAATATTTAAGTCTGGCTTTTGTTTTCATTGCAAAAAAGAGGGCTTTTGTCATGTACTTCTGTTTTCTTGGGAAAACTGATAATTTTTTTTTAAATTGTAGAGGGCTGTGTTGAATCATGGGAATTGGTGGTCATTATTGGTAAATTTCAGGTCTTCTTTCATCAATGCTCTGTACATTCATAGAGTAACACATTTTCCATATTAATATTTAAATCTTTGGCTTTTGTTTTAATTACCAAAAAAAGCTTTTGTTATGTATTTCATTTACGTGGGGAAAATGATTTTTTGTTTTTTAATTGTAGAGGGCTATGTTGAATCATGGGAAAGCTGGCCATTGTTGGTAAATTTCAGGTCTTTCATCAATACATTCCAAAAATAAGATGTTTTCCATATTGATATTTAAGTTTTTCATTGCAAAAAAGAGGGCTTTTGTCATGTACTTCTGTTTTCATGGGAAAAATGATGAATGACATTTACATGGAGAAGATGATTTTTTTAAACAATGTAGACGACTATGTTGAATTATGGGAAGTTGGGCACTTTTCATGACTTTCTTTCATCAAAGGTCTATAAATTCCAAGAATAATACATTTTCCATATTAATATTTAAGTCTTTGGCTTTTGTTTTCATTACAAAAAAAGAGCTTTTGTCATGTACTTCTGTTTACATGGGGAAAAATGTTTTTTTTTTTAGTTGTAGAAAGCTATGTTGAATCATAGGATATGGTTGTTGTAATTCTTTGGCAAATTTCACGTCTTTCATCAATGGTTTACATTCCCCTCCCCCAAGAAAATTTAATTTAAAAAAGGGACTTGTTATGTTCTTCTGCCAATGCGAGAAATGTTTTTTAAATTTATTTTGTAGGTGGAGACAATTGAAATCGATTATTTCTAATTATTGTTTTGCATCAAATGTTTAAAGGCTTCATTTTACTATATGCTACACTATTTAAAATGTTTTTATAACAGTGCTATTTCTTTATAAGTTTGTAACGCCGTATCGCCAAGCAATATCTATAAAACTTCATCCTGAAAAATTTATGTCGGGAGCAATTTAAAATTTAGGTCAATATCTGCAACATGAATATACCCCGGGATCGACTATTAGGTCTTCCTAATAGGGTATTAATGAAAATGGATTGTCGGGGGCATGGCAAGTATTCACGGCTCTTACGCAATTGTTTGTGTGTCTATGTATTATCTTCCGTCGTTCTTATCGTTTTACAGACCGGGCTACATTTATTACAGATCCGCTGACAGAATCGGCTCGAAAGTATTGTCGACAGTCGTGTTTCTCGGCTCAAAACTGCCGAACCGGAACGAGGTTTCTGCATCCATTGTCAGTTTGTCACCGCTTCCATGGGCTTTTCCAAAAAAACTTGTCTCGGACGAGAGAAACGGAAATCTTTTCTCTAATCTATGAAAATAGATACGCTTCTGTTTTCAAGGTTGGTAATGAAATATTCGTTTCTTTGGTTTTTCCAAATAGTTTTTTCACCCTTTGCAACACAGTCGTGTCTACGAGAGATGGCACTTGGAACTTTTAGATTGGTATGAAAGAAAGCTCCTTTTTTATTGGTTGTTGGTTGAAAAGTTGAAATATCTTGAGATGGGATGTTGACCAACTATACAACATTCTTTTTTCACTTTTTATTTCCTATGCATTTCCCATTAGACTAGAAATGTACTTAGCTAATTTCCCATCACTGGATATTTGACTTCATATTAAACTAATAGAAAAAAAGTACCTTGGGAACTTATTTTTTCTTTAAAATATTTCAATAATATACAAATATCGTTGTAACGAGTGAATTGTTGATTACGAACAAGAACTGAAATTGTCATCAACAGTTTTAAATTAATTATTATTTCGTTAGAAACAGCCCTCTCTTTCTTTGTTCTCTTTCTATAGACATCTTTCTCATCTCTCATTCTCTNTCTTTCTTTCTCTGTATCTACCTGTTTATCTCTCTATATTTCTTTCTCTCTCTTTCTTTCCTTCTCTCCTCATCTTTCTTTCTCTGTATCTACCTGTTTATCTCTCTATATTTCTCCCCCCTCTATCGCTCTCTCTCTCTCAACTCTCTTTCTCTCTCTCAACGTAAATTTGCTAGTTCCGACGAAGTTCTGTAACACGTGTGAACAAAAAATATTCTGAAATAGAAGAAATATTTTGTCTACTCCAACGTGACATTGCTAATCATGGCATATTGTTAGTAGTGCTAGCCTACTTCGACGCGGGTATGCCATAGCAAGTGGACAATACCGTCCGGATTCTTACTTTTATGGTATAATAGACCATCCTGCTCGCTAAATTGGTTGCTATCGAGTCGATCTGCTCGTGGAGCCTCTAACATCTCTTGTACTTTTGTCTTATCATTCTGCTCTACATACAATCACTTTTTATGAGCGATGGACAGTTACAAGCTACCCTGGCGGTAAATAATATCAAAATCAAAATCGTGAAGATATGACCTCCAACGAGCCAAAAGAACGTCCAAATATTTTTTATGGCCTTTTGGTGGTATTATAGGCAATGATCAGGGGGAATTTTTATACCCAAAAATTCGAAAGTGTTTCAGAAAGTCGATCACAGCTAACATCACCANAAATTCGAAAGTGTTTCAGAAAGTCGATCACAGCTAACATCTCCAGCTCGCAGGAGTTTTTTCGTGCTTTTTGTTCGATGTCTAAAATAAGCCACAACTGTCCTTGCTGTCATAGAAGAACTGCTCCGTGTATAGTTCGGTAGGTGTTTCAGGATTGAGTAAAGTACGCGAAGTAAAGTTGTCATACAGTGTGGCTTAACTTCCAACTGCATGTCAGAGCCACATTACAATACTTTTTCATTTTAAAATAAAATTCCAAGTGATACACCGGAACGCAGAACAGTATGATGTTTTAACCATAATACACAGTAATAAACTTCCGATGTAAATACGATTTTACAGTACAAAAATGAGGAAGGGTAAATAGGTACACAGAAAAATACTAGCAATAAAAAAATCGCTTAGAGGAATATTTTGAACCATGTGTTATATCAGTCAGATCATTAATTTTAACTAAATTATCTGATCATCAGTATCACTCCTTATCGGTGAGTAAGAACGAAGAAGTAATATTTATTTTAAATAAGGTCATTCACATTTCATTTAACGTTTGACGCCCATTGCAAAGAAAATTGCTTGATTTTTTGATAGTTTGGAAGTTTTAATTGAATCTGACTTCTTCAGTGTCAGAAATTTTCGTTTTGTCTTTTAATACCATGGAGAAGAAACAATTAAAATTTGGTGCTTTATGTTTGAAATTTTTGTTGGAAAACGACATTTTATTTTGTTATTTTCCATATAGAAAATATTTGGTTTTTGTATCTAAAAAACTCCGTTGATTGATATTATGTGAGATTTATTCACATAGATTCGCGACAGGGGTATTCACCGGTCTAAGAATAGCAGAGTAGGAGTCAAGGCGAACCGATCAGTTTTTCTAGGTATGAGGAAGTCGCATGCACTTGCTAGGACAAGGCGATTAACTTGTTTGAGATTAGCCGCACCTGGCAATGGTACCATTTATTCTAATTGTTTTTTAATTAGTACTTCATAAGATCAAACCAGATTTTCAATAAATGGAATACCTGGTCGAAAAGTCAAAGGATTGACAGGCTAAATTTAGCTGTTATATGTCCATCGAGGTAGAACGACAATAAACGTCAAAGTTGAATAATTCTGTATTTAGAGCAGCATCGTGAAAAACAGAAAATTGAGATCGCTCCATAAGAAATTATTCAGATAAAAACTAAAGTGAGCGTGAATTTTCATATTTTCGTGACCCAACACATCAGATCGCGAATAGGCCGAAACACGAGTGTAGGCTGGCAATTTGATCGGTAACGAAAGAATTGCAGGATCATCACTCCATAAATGCCAAGAGTAAATTTTACAAATTAGCAATAAAGGCACATAAAAAAAGCTTTAATACTCTGAGACGTCTTATAAACTCCGGGACGAAAGAAAGAAAGAGAGAGAGAGAGAAATATAGAGAGATAAACAGGTAGATACAGAGAAAGAAAGATGAAGAGAGAGAACGAAAGAAAGAAAGAGAGAGAGAGAGAGAGAGAGAAATATAGAGAGATAAACAGTAGATACAGAGAAAGAAAGATGAAGAGAGAGAAGGAACGAGAGAGAGGGGGAAAGAAATATAGAGAGATANAGAGAGAGAGAGAGAGAGAGAGAGAGAGAGAGAGAGAGAGAGAGAGAGAGAGAGAGAGAGATGTAGAGAGATAAACAGTAGAGAAAGAAAGATGAAGAGAGAGAAGGAAAGAGAGAAAGAAAGAGAGAGAGAGAGAAAGAAAGAGAGAGAGAGAGAAAGAGAGAGAGATAGAGAGAGAAAGAGAAAGACAGAGTGTGTGAGAGAGAGAGAGAGATAAAGAGAGATAGAGAGAAAGAGAAAGAGAGGAGAGAGGGTGAGAGAGAGATTGAGCGAGAGAGAGAGATTTATCCTGTCCATAGTAACCTCATGAACGGGGATATTATTTTCAACCTGCTCCCATGCTGATTACAGGTTATTTTACATTTCATTTGTTCAGGGAACAAACTTCTCTCACACTATGCCATGGTTCACACTTCATTGCAAGTTCGTAGATTAAGGTGGACGTTTCTCTATCAAATAAGGTGCAGATGTATATAATGTTGGTCCAGGTCTGTGGTTCCAAACCACATGGACACCTTGGATCGTACACGATGTTGAAGCGCGCAAGGTATGATCTGTTTTTCCCATGGTTTGTAACAGCAATTGTAGTCTTATGGCTCTCTCCCATTCGGGATTCGACTGTCGGAAGCAACTCCTGGTACATGCTGCACTCGTCGCCTCTGTCCATTCCTTCTCCCAGATCATCCTGCTATAAATCCTAGTACTGCTCATGAACCTGGCTGGACTTCAAGGTCCTCATCAAGGGCTGCTTCTTTTGCCAGGAGCTTTATCCACTGGAGGATAATTTTCCATTGAAGGTCGTATTGAATTTAAACTGTTAAACTATTGATATAAAGAGAGAGGAGAGAGAGAGAGAGAGATGGTACTCCAAATTGTATGTGATGATGTATTGTAGAGCTGAAAATTAAAAATAAATTTGTATTACAACTTAGAGAATCAACGAACTTTCCTTCGAATAGAAATGCGTATTTTAAACAATAAAGTTGGACTCGTAAATATCAAGTTGTCGGTCTGTCACTGGTGACAAAAATGATCGGAAACGAATAAATTACAGGTTTAACAACCAGCTTACAACACGGAGAGCACAAAGAACTCGAAAAAACACAAAGAATCATGCACATTTTTCATGTTAATGTGAACAATGAATTTTGAAAATGAGATAATCTAGCAGTCATATGTTTAAGCTAACGATGATGATTAATTCTATTTATAATAGGGATGAAGATTATTTTCCCGTCCTTTATCAGCCAAAGGCTCTGAGTTAATTACCCCATCAACTAACAGATAATAATAATTTTTTACTATTTCTTAGCTCGATTAAAAAACCCGGATTGATCGTAAAATTGAATAAAAAGCAAATTGATAGACAAAGCAAGAAGGCGAAAGACAATTACTGTCAATTTTTTTTTTGACACAATTAAGCTATTTTCGGCTAAAGTTGCTCTGCGCTTATGACAACAAAATTGGACAATTGCGTCATTGGAATAAAGCAGCGTTGCGTAATTTGATATTAGATTTATCAAAAGAAAAAATAATTATAATTTTTACTTCATTTAAGGGTGAAAGAAGAACGCAATTTTAACAATTATACACTCAACAATTATAAAATTCAAAGTTCAAAAATAAACAGTGAAATAATTACAAGAACCTTGTTTTTAGTACAATACAAAATTTATAAAGTATTTATGCACATTAGCCTTGTTGTCTCTCTGGATATAATAAGTTGTCCATTAAGCTAACTTACATGATTTAAACAGAAAAAGTTTTATTAGACTAATTACAGATATTTTTTGATTCGATGTTAGGTCTGGGCGAAGAGAAGAAAATCTGAAAATAAAGCGCCCAGATCTTTCGAATTTTCTATCGGTTAAGTGAAGTTGACGGTTATCAATTTTGCCCGGGGTTTGCAAGTTCAATTGCGAGCTTCTTGCAAGTTTTGTTCTCCTGGTAGTGTTCATGGAAAGCGCACGTCGACCACCCGGGGACTACGTGATAAGGAGCATGTTTTCGCACAGTGGGGGGCCAAATAGCAAAAAAGCGGGAAAAATTCAGTAACACCCCAAGCTATTTGAGATAAGGCCAACAAATTTTTTATGTTAGGTTGTTTGGTGCGCTGAATCCAATGAAACTTTTCTAGAATCGATTGGACCACGGCAAACCATCCAAACTTGTGGACGGTATACGAATCTGCCAATATTTGAAAATAATCTGCCGAATGACTCAGATGGACTCACTCGCA